CTCCTTCCTCACGTCCTGTTTGTTCCCTGGTCTGCTGCGGCCCCCACCGCCCAGTGGGGTTTCTCCCTCAAAGTCCTCAGTGTCCCCCCAGGGGCTCCAGCCACCGCGCCCTCTCAAATCTGTCCTATGTGACTTCCCTGTGGCGTGTGACCGTGCTGACCACCCCCCCCCCCGGGCAGACCTCATGCTCCTGGGTCTGACCGTTTGTCCTGAGTCCATCCTTCTTCTCCTGGGAGGACTCTCTTCATCGCGCGTTAGGTGGTGTCACGGTGGGTTTTCTCCTTGGATGTCAGAACCGTCTCATCCACGGCCCCGAGTTCCCCTGCCACATCTCTGACGGTGATGGCCAGGTCCGCCTTCCAGCCCAGAACCCTGGCCAGCCTGTGGAGCAGCTCCAGCTAGATTAACCAGGGGCACCTCAAAGTCAGCGTGTCCCAAGCCAAGTTTTCTGTCCGCCTCCGCCCACGGGCGCTGTGACAGACGCCTGTTTGCCCCGACAGCTGACCTTGCCGTTCGTATGGAGACGTCGGTGTGTGACGGGCCGGGTCCACCTCCTTGGTAGGACTTGAGGGGACTGGGACCAGGGGTGAGCAGCAGGGTCACCGGGAGACGTCTTGGGCAGTCGTGGGCTCCTTCGTGTTGAAAAGCCCACGTGCTCGCCACACTCAGCTTCCACGCAGTCCTCTGAGTGCACCTGTGCTTGTTTGTAAAGCTGATTTAGACTCCAGGAGCTTGGCCGGAAAAGGACAGGAAATCCCCGTGTGCCCTCCCCGAGCTGCCCGTGATGCTGACATCTTCCGCAACCGCAGCAGGTTCACTGAGACCACGGGAGCCTTGGGACAGTCCTGTTAACACGAAGCTTCGGGGGGTTCGCAGGCGTCCCCACCGTGGTCATGTTTCTGTGCCAGGAGCTGATGCAGTGAAATCCACAGCACCCCCTGGCCATGTCTTGGCAGCTCGTCATACATGTGCCTCCAGCAGTGTCCTTCTGTGTCTGGCTTCTCCCCATCTCATGCCTTTGCTGCCCTTGCGTGCTTGCTTGGCGAGCCTCGTATTCTTCCCGCTGGAGGTGGAGTGGCCCCTCTCCCAGCCCTGGCGCCCTCCCTGGGCTACAGCCCGGCGCCTTCCACAGCGCGGAGGTGGAGTGGCCCCTCTCCCAGCCCTGGCGCCCTCCCTGGGCTAGAGCCCGGCGCCTTCCACAGCGCCGAGGTGGAGTGGCCCCTCTCCTGAGCCCTGGCGCCCTCCCTGGGCCAGAGCCCGGCGCCTTCCACAGCGCGGAGGTGGAGTGGCCCCTCTCTGAGCCCTGGCGCCCTCCCTGGGCCAGAGCCCGGCGCCTTCCACAGCGCGGAGGTGGAGTGGCCCCTCTCCTGAGCCCTGGCGCCCTCCCTGGGCCAGAGCCCGGCGCCTTCCACAGCGTGGAGGTGGAGTGGCCCCTCTCCGAGCCCTGGCGCCCTCCCTGGGCTAGAACCCGGCGCCTTCCACAGCGCGGAGGTGGAGTGGCCCCTCTCCGAGCCCTGGCGCCCTCCCTGGGCCAGAGCCCGGCGCCTTCCACAGCGCGGAGGTGGAGTGGCCCCTCTCCCAGCCCTGGCGCCCTCCCTGGGCCACAGCCCGGCGCCTTCCACAGTTCGGAGGTGGAGTGGCCCCTCTCCCAGCCCTGGCGCCCTCCCTGGGCCACAGCCCGGCGCCTTCCACAGTTCGGAGGTGGAGTGGCCCCTCTCCCAGCCCTGGCGCCCTCCCTGGGCTACAGCCCGGCGCCTTCCACAGCGCGGAGGTGGAGTGGCCCCTCTCCCAGCCCTGGCGCCCTCCCTGGGCCACAGCCCGGCGCCTTCCACAGTGCGGAGGTCGGTGGTAACAGGAGGGCGGGCGTCAGGCGGGCAGTGCCCTCGGGGACAGGCACTGCGGTTATTTCCGTGTTACGCTCTTAATGCCCCCCCCGAAGGACCGGCACAAAGTGGGAACGTGGTCCGTACTTAGTAACGACATGAAGGGTGGCCAACTGCAGGGCGAGTCCCCAGAAGAAGGTGTTTTGCTGCCACAGTTGCAGTGTGGCTTCCCTTCCCGGGTAGGAGGGGTGCCAGCCGGAGGGTCTGACCCACTGCGCTTCATGTCGTCCTCTGCTTCCCGCAGTGACAGGCCCCTCGGTTTGCCTCAGAGACTCTTTCCGTACAGCGTGCTCTGGAACCAATTGTAGATGTTCGTCTGTTACCCACCCAGCCGGCATTGCTGCGGGCACTCCGTGTGGGGGGCCTGCTTACGATCAAGGGTTCCAGTTCTCCGTCACGTGTCTAAGGCGGCGGTCAGAAATCACGACGCGTCATTCGTCGCTGCACCAAACGCTGGTGACTCTGGGCGAAGAACTGGACGTGGCAAAGTCCAGTTCTGTAAGACCCTGAAATCTTAAAGGACAGAGAGGCTGTGACTTCACTCCAAGTTCAGGGAGCGGAGGGTTGTTCTTGTCTCCCTCTCGAACGCATCATAAATGAGCTTCGTGCCTCTAAGCTGATGGGCACAGATTCCACAGAGAACGGGGACAATGACATTGTTCATCCCCACGACGCAGTAGCCACCCGAGGAGGCTGTGGTCACGTTGACTTGTTCTCCCAGAATGAGCAGCTCAGGTCATTGTTCCCTCATCTGTCTGTGACCTCCACCTACCACGGCAGCAGTAACACCTCAGCGGTGTCCGTGTCTGTCACGGGAACAGAGGACAGACAGCGTGCTGTCTTCTCGTGCACCCATAGTGCCTTGTCCTATGCCTCCATTGGATTTGGTGGGGGAAACGGTCCCCATGTGAAAGCCAAACAGTCGTTTTGAAAGCGTTCCTCAGAACATGAGGGGTCCCCACTTAACCCCCCATCTAATTTAGGGGTTTAGCTGGCTTTTCCTGGGACGACAGAACTACCTGTCCACGACTGGCAGTGTGGTTCTGTATTCCTTGCTCGTTGTGCGTGTCCTCGGAAGAGTCTGCAGAGCCTCTTTGCTTAACCCATGCTGACACCTGCTGTCCCTCTGCAGCCCACGACTCTCCTGCGGGTCCTCCGGCCGAGGGGTGACAGCGCTCGCTGCCTCGCCTGCCGTGCCCCCGAGCTCCTGCGTCGAGCACCGTCCCCTCCCTGCCCTCCCACTCCCGGGCCCCCTGGTGTCAGAGCCCGGACCGCCGTCTCTCTGTGGACCCGTGGGCTCCTCACACAGGAGGTGGTTTTCAGTTCCACAGACCTCTCTGAGCTCCGGGGCCTTTCCCACCAACATGCCGCTTACTGAACAGCGAACTGATTTGGTCCCTCAGCCACGCCCGCCGTTCAGTATGTTATCCTTAAATCGATACACTTTAACTTTGTTGCAGCAAAACTCAAAACTCGGTGAAAACAGTAGTGCAAGGGGAGCTATAAACACGAGCTTGTCCAAACCCTGGCCCTGACACGGGCATCATGACGCTGAATGAACCCACCGGCTCCTGGGGCCAGTTGACACCGGGCTCAGCTGGGCCCGCCGCGGAGGACGCCCTCTGCAGGGCTCCCTCGTGGTGGTGTACATGCTGTGGGTGTGGACACATGCACAGTGACAAATGTCCATTACAGTGTCACACTCGCCTGAAGATCCTCTGGGCTCTGCCTGTCCCCCCCCCCCCCCCCCCCGCCAAGCAACCACTGACCTTTTACTGTCTCCGTAATTTGACCTTTGCAGAGGGTCCTACAGTTGCATCACACAGTCTGCAGCCTTTCGGATTGGCTGCTTTCTCCCAGTAGCATGTCTGAGCTGCACTCATGGTGCACAGCCTCATAGCTCATCCGTGCTCACCGCCGAGCCGCATTCCACGGTGTGCGTGGGCCGCCGTCCATCCGTCATCTCCTGGAGGGCTCCTTGGTTGCTTTATTTTATGTTTATACATGTATAGTTTATAATCTACTCTTTCGGTGAATGCCTCTTCCAATCAGTAGAGGATTAGCTCCTCTAGAACTTAGTGTTTGACTGTCAGAAAAACCCTCTGTGAGCAGATGTGTTTAGATCTGGGGCCATACGTTACACCTGGCTGTCCGTCTCTTAAGTGCCATTTACTCTAGAACAGCGCCTTTGCTCCCACACTGGACCTGAGGAGACAGGGCCAGGCCTCCTGCAGGAGGTGGCCTCTGGGTGGGTCAGGTCGCTGCCCGAGGTGGAGTCCCTTGTCCTTCTGTGTGGTGCACATGGGTCCGAGGCGTGTGGGGTCCGGTTCCGCGTTGCTGATGGGAATGCACGGTGGATGGCGAGGTCGCTCTTTGCACGATCGCGTGGGGGTGAGGACAGCCTGGTCCTCTGGCCAGTAGAAAGGACTTGTCTGTTTTCCGTTGGCACCATGACTGTCCATCTCCTCTACAATTTTCCTGCTGGTTTTAGCATGAAACAACCATCCTTGACTAAAGAAAGAATTGCATCAGGGATCTGAAAGTATGGATTTTTAAATCTGCGATTCTTTTTCCATTTGTTAGCTGGCCTTTTCTGGGAGGGATTCCCCTCACGGAGTGGGGCATTGGATTCCCCCTGAAAGACAGTTTTCTTTGTTTTTTAGTTGCCCATTTTCAAAGGAAAGAGCTGTTTAAAAGCTGCATCAGATGAGATGTTGGAGGAATGGAAGTATTTTTTCCAAAGTTCTATGCTCACCGCAAGTAAGATGTCGTGAGCGCTTGCAACGCATCAGGCCCAGTGCGCGAGGCCTCCTGTGTCCTCCTTCTTGTGACGACACCAGGAGCTTTAGGGGTAGACAGGGACATCCGAGGGGTTCAGTACCCTGGTACAGCCCCTTGAGCGGGGAGCGGCAGCCGGAACACACCCAGTCTGTTCCCGTCCAGAACCCGAGCTGCGTTCCTTCTGTACATTTTCGTGGCGTTTTACTTAAAAGCCAAAATCTACGTGTGATGCTGTTTGGATGTCTTCCGGTTCCTAAACACCGGGAATGGAAACGATGCTCAATAATTCTCACGAGGTCTCTTCCCCCCTCCCCTTTGTCTCTCTGTTTCTAACAGTGTGAAGAAAACACTAATTTTCAGGACACTGCCCGCTACCTCAAACTCCCCTTCTCCAAGGGCATCGTCCACGGGAATAATCCTCAAGCCACAAAGACCACAAAGGAGTCTTTTTGGATCACGTCGTTTCTCTGCTCCACGAAACTCACTCAAAACGGTAACGTCTGACACTCTCTGGTTTGAAAGGCCTGTGACAAAGTGCTGTGGTGGGGTAGGCACAGTCCCACAGAGACATGGTTGATCCCTCTGTGTGATTCCCAGTACAATGGAAGCAACCGTGACCCAGTGGTCCGCTAAATGCATGTCATCTGAGGACTTCATCATTATCCCAGCATTAGCATCTAAGTACCCGGCTCTTCAAATCAACCCTCAAAACCCAGCTGCTTGAAAAACAAACAACAAAAAAGAATAAAATGAAAGACAAAGAACCTCCCCTCCCCCGCCGTCCTCTCCCTGGTTTTATGGCTCCGTAAACAGCCCTAATTGCGGCGGGAGGATAAGGGCTGCTATTTGTTTAATTAGATGGATATTGCCTTTCTGGTCTCGCGTTCCTTTTTTATGTCTGCGAGTGTTTAGCAAGTTATGATTAATGAAGCAGGACCTTCTGGGCAAACTGTCGTGGAAACAGTGTCTGTGATGCAGGGAGCACACGAAACGCGGCGCGTTCTCTGTGGTTGCTGCGTAGAGCTTCCGGTCAGCTCCCTGGCGCCGTGTCAATAGTCAGGGTCATCAGTTCCAGGAAGATCACTCGCAACCAGGTGTCGTGTCTCCTAAAGTGCCCCCTGCCGAGCCATCGGCAGGAGCTTGGTCCTGAGGCCCGGGGTGGCGTCCGTGGCAGGGGATCAGCTTCTTCCCTCGGCGTGGGGCAAAGTGGAGCGGTCAGTGCTGACCAGTGTTAGGGTGCCTCTCAGGTTCTCGTGCAGTTCTGTCTATAGAACCCCGGGGGATTCTTTCAGGTTTATGTTAGTTTTGGTTTTCCTCTTCCAAAGTGTTTTTGGAGAAGCATTTTTTAAAACCCACTGCATAGTTTATTTGGGGGAAATGGGAGAGGAGGTTGTTATCACCAAGTGAAGAGATGTCAGGCCATCTGGACTTGACCTGTGTCTGGTGGCCAATGATGTTCCTTAGCTGAGACCTGCATGGGCAGAACTCTGTGTCGTCTAGAAAGCGTTTACCGAAACTTGAGTATTTTTTAGGGGGCCAGTCTACCCCCGTGGAGGTTATAAAGATTATAAAATCAACCTATCATTGACTCCCTTAGACAGAACTTTTTTTTTTAAATCCTCGCCTAAGGACATGCTTTCATGGCTTTTAGAGAGAGGAGGATGGAGAGAGAGAGAGAGGGAGAGAGAGAGAGAAACACTGATTGGTTGCCTTATGTACACACCATACATGGCTCACCAGGGATTGAACCCACAACCCAGGCACGTGCCTTCACCCGGAATCAAACCCACGACCTCTTGGTCCATGTGACAACAGCTCACCAACCGAGCCACCCCGGCCAGAGCCTTAGACAGGACTTGAATACACGCCCTGTGGGTTTGTGTGTGGCTTATGGAGCCTCGATTCACTTTTCTTTTTTTTTTTTATCCTCACCCGAGGATATTTTTCCATTTTTTGTACAGATAGAGTGGGAGGAAGAGAGAGGAAGGGAGAGAGAGAGAGAAACATCGACGTGAAGGGACACATCGAGTGGCTGCCACCCGCACGACCAACCAGGGCCGGGGACAAACTGCAACCGAGGTACGTGCCCTTAGCGGGAACTGAACCCGGGTCTCTCTGTACCGCAGGCCGACGCTCTAACCGCTGAGCCAAACTGTCCAGGGCTCGATTCACTTTTCACTGGCTGCCCCCCGCAGAATATGTTTAGATTGACTAGTTATCCCTCGCTGTTGGAACAGTAACTAACCGTGTTGCCTGGGACAACAAGAATGTGTTGCCTTACTATTCTGGGGGGCGCACCTGAAGTCACTCCCACTGGGCTGAAACCTAGGTGTCAGCAGCAGGGCAGTTTTTCTCCTGACGGCTCCGGGGAGGAGCCTGCTCACCTGTTCTAGCCCCCGGGCCCCTGCGTTCCTTGGTGCACGACCCCTGCGTGCACCTCCAAAGCCGTCAGCACAGCGTCCTCAGATGCCTCTGACGCTGACCACCTTCCATCTCCCAAGGTCCTTGTGATTCCATGGGGACCACCGGCTAATCCAGGATAACCCCTTGTGGAAGATCTCAGGTTGAATCACATGTGTGGAAACTATGTATTCACAGTGTCCAGGAATTAGGACGTGGGCGTCTTTGGGGGCCATTACCCTGCCTGCCACACAAATGAACCTCACAACAGAATATCTGCCACTTAGTCCGAAGGCCTTACTTTGTTCTAGTTCTTGGTTTTAGGACGTTGGGCAGAATTGTGAACATAAATCAGGGAGAACCAAACCCTTACCATCGGAAGTTGCTACTTTGTGGATAGCAGAGGACGTGTTCAGGTAGATGTGAGTTAAATCAGTATAGTGAACACCTCACAATATGGAAGACGATGCTTGGCTCATTTCTGGAGTCGTGTAAGGGGTGAGTGATCACTTTGGCTTAGATTAATCTTGTCAGTGAGACACAGCTCAGAATGAGGCCGGGAACCAGTAGTAGGTGTCAAGGAGGGGGAGAGAGGAAGAAGTCCGCTGATGTTCCTGACATTTGCGTGCCCGACACATGGCTCTGGGGAGAGTAGTCCAGATCCAAGCTGGGATTACGGCTTTGCATTCACTTTGCTCCGCTTGGAACGTGTGCGAACCCCACTGCCATGCAGAGGGGCCTTCAGAAAGTGATGCATCTCAGGGCCAGTTTCCCAAGCGCAATGCCTTTCGGGTCCCCGCGGGGTGTCGTCTGCAGGTCGTCCCAGCACCATTCCCGGGCAGCACCCGAGGCCAGAGCCCGCGGCTGGGCCCCTGGGATCGTCAGTCAGATCATGTGGATGTTTGCAGCTTCTTAAGAAAAGGGATCAGGGAAGAAATTCTTTTACTTCTTCGTTAGCTTCCTCGGGCCCTGAAACACAACTTTTTCAAAATTTAAGAAAAATGAAAACGATGCTTACGTGCAGTCTAACAATTGTGTCATTGCTGACTTCCTCACATCCCTTACCCCCCCCCACCCCAGTAACGATGGTGGTTCAGTCCATCTCCTCCTGAGATTGTGATTTGAAAACAAAACAAAATGAAACAGAGTGGGGACCGTGGCCTCCGCCTCGGCTGTCGGCAGCTGAGGCGCACGGTACACACGTAGGTGTGTAGCAAATGGAATGTGTGACATTGACCTTTTCACTAGTAGGTCTAATTTGTAACGGCTGTATCTTCACACGACTAACCCGGAGACCTGAGAGGGGACATTCTGATCTAACTTGGAGGACTTTGCATCATGATCAATTACATGCACACAGACTTGGTCCTTACTCCTCCTCTTGCCCCGTGACACGCAGCCCAGGGATGCATGAGGCCCGTCCTGATGGGATTGTCCGGACCTCTGTCATCTGTTCCCAGCTCTGCAGGTGACGGTGCTCTACCTGGCTTCCCACCACAGCCTCTGGCCATGTCCCTTTGTCCCAGCAGGTGGGAGGGTGACAGGGAGCGGGCCCTGCCCCTCCGGTCTCACTCCCTAGAAATGGTAGATGTTCAGTATATTCCCAGTCCTTCTAGAATCGTCTACATCTTGCCTCCGTGATGCCTGAGTAAGGCATGAGCATTAAACCATTTGGGGTTTTTTCTGTTATGAACATATCATCCATCTCTTTTTCAGTCAGTATTTGTTATATTCCCACCCTTTACTTCTTCTACCTCCTGCTCCCCCTCCCCCTCCCCCTCCCCCTCCTTGTGTCTGCTTGTTGCAGATAAATGTTCCTGTGCCTGCATTCCTTAGTTTTAGGTCCGTAGGGGAGTTGTCCTCCTCAATCTGGCTTGAGTGGAGGTTGCTTTTTTCCTCCTGAGACCCGATGCTTTTTCTCACCTCTGTTTACTGCATATTTTCTTTCTCATCATAACAACTTCCTTGATTCCTGGTCCATTTGTTTTTTAATTCTGGGGGTTTTGTCTCCATGTGGGTCTTCTTGTCCCTCAGGGAGTGAGTCCCTTCTGAGTCTCCCTGTTCTGCCCGGAAAGCCCCCCCTCCTCTGGCTCTTGGTGACTCTGGTGTCCCAGCCCCACCAGCCGGGGCAGCAGCCCTGCAGCCCCCGCCTCGTCCCCTCCTCCCGTGCCCATGGCCTCCGGACGCCACTGTCCCTGCTCCCTCTGCAGAGCGCGAAGCTGCCGGGAGCCCTTCTGGCCTGTGCACCGGAAAGCCACGGGAAGCTCTTGTCCCCGGTCCCTCCCCAGGTCCAGGCCCCTGTGCTGGCCGATGAGGAAGGAGGAGGCCGAGGAGCTGGGCCTGAGCTGGCCCAGAATCGGGGATGCAGACAGGCACTGGCCTTCCCGGATCTGACCAGTGTGGGGGGCTTGTCACCCATGTGCAGGAAGCTTCTAGTCCTGCCTGGTTTGACCCCGGTGTCAGGAAGGCTTCCATTGCTGGTGGGCTCGATCCGGGGAAGTGCTATGAGCAGGCACCACAGACATGAATGAAGTAGGTTCCCAGCACCCCAGAAGCTGCCATTTTACTAGGAGGAGGCAGAAAGCGATTCAGCAAATACTTGTCACCTGCAGCCGCGTGGCTGCGCTGTTCTGGTGCTGGGGGCACGGCGGGGCCCAGCCCGGCACGGCCTTGTTGTCCTGGGTTTCCAGTCCGGCGGGCACAGGCCGACAACCGTAACAGTGACATCCATGCTGCTGTCACCTGCAGCACACAGGAGGGGCGCGGCGGCGTCTAGAGGTGTCAGGACAGGCTTCCTGGACAAAGCAGCAGCTCACCCGGGCACCGGAGGCTGAGTAGGAGTTCGTAGGTCAAGAACATTGGGAAGGGAAGTCGAATCAGAATACACTGATAAATGCCGTCTCAGGGGGCCGGTCCCGGTCTGGGGGAGCCGACCACTCGGGTGACCAGGCGGGCTGGGCGACGTGTCAGAACCCAACTTCGCCCGTAGAGCACACTGCTGGGAAAGGCTGTCCTCCCATGAGACAGTGACTTTTCTGTTCCGTTTGGAAAGGGGACATGCTGGACCTTCTGAAATGGAGAGCCCACCCGGACAAGATCACAGGCTGTCTCTCCAAACTGAAGGACATCGACGGCTCCGAGATAGTAAAGGTACACGCTGTGCCATCACCCGCCCTCGGAGGTCCTGGGATGAGGACCCTGTGGGAGCGGGGGAGGGGGGGGACAGCCGACCTCTGATGCTTTGTTTCCTTCCGCAACAGTTTCTCCAGGACACACTGGATACTTTGTTCGGAATCTTGGACGAGAACTCCCAGAAATACGGGTCGAAGGTGTTCGATTCTTTGGTGAGTTGGAATCCGCCTCACTCCCGTCTCAGCAGCGTTGTCTCCCCGTGCTGACTTCCCCGGGGCTGTTTCGGAGGCGTGCGCCTGACCGCGGAGACCTCGCTTCCAGGGACCCACACTGCCTCGGGTCGCCTTCAGCTCCACAGAGCGCCATTGTCTTTGTAGGTTCACATCATCAATTTGCTGCAAGACAGCAAGTTCCATCACTTCAAACCTGTCATGGACACGTACATCGAGAGCCATTTCGCCGGGGCGCTCGCGTACAGGTAAGGCCCTTCTCCTGTAACTGGGTTAGAAGAGGGTTCTTTGATGCTTTTCGGAGGGGATCCAGCTCGTGGGAACCTTTCAAAGGGAGCCCGTGAGGATGCCAAGCACGACACCGAGTGTCTCTTGAGACAGCATCTTCCCTTCTCACACACCTTTTTTTTAACGGCTGGAATTTATTTTGAGCAAAAGAATAAAAAGGAACGTTCTGAAGCCTACTTCTGAATTCTAGTCCTAAAACGTGTTTCTTCCCCTCTCTTTGTCACTTGATAGTCTTCCGTCTGTCTAAAATGTCTCATTATGTTTCGCTTTGGCTGCCGAGAGCCCCGTTTATTTAATCATTGTGCTCTTTAATGATTTATACAGAAATAAAAAGGGGAGACAAGCCCTTGCCATCAGATCTTTTAAAAGACATCCATTCAGCCCTGGCCGGTTTGGCTCAGCGGTTAGAGCGTCGGCCTGCGGTCCTGAGAGACCCGGGTTCGGTTCCCGCTAAGGGCACGTACCTCGGTTGCAGTTTGTCCCCGGCCCTGGTTGGTCGTGTGGGTGGCAGCCACTCGATGTGTCCCTTCACGTCGATGTTTCTCTCTCTCTGTTCCTCTCTCTCCCTCCCACTCTACCTGAACAAAAAATGGAAAAATGTCCTCGGGTGAGGATTAAAAGACATCCATTCATTCGTCTGTTCGTGTTTACTGGGGTCCCCTGTGCGCCGGCACAGTCCGTGGTGCCCGGAATATGAAGACCTGGTCCCTGGCGGCCCGCGGCCCAGTCACTGGGCTCCGCCCCATGCTTCCAGCTGCGGTCGGCCTGCTTGTCTGCTCCCACGAGCTCGGGGGTCGCCAGCAAGGCTGAGACAGAGGAGGACATGCTCCATCGAGCACCTGTCTCCATGCAGCCCAGCCCCTCCCTGTCTTACGCACCTTTTCCCTGTCTCTGCTTCAGCTCAGCGCTGGAGTATACCCCAGTGTCCCACCCCCCTTCCAATGCCGACCTTGCTATCCTGCCCCGTTTTAGCTCATGCCTTAGGCACCTGTGGCGTGTGCACAGCCACCTGTTCCCAGAGGGGGGCTGCAAGCACGTGCACCAGGCTTTCACCCCACCTCCCCACCCACGGGGCGGAGAAAAGGTAGGCGGTAAGCCAAGGAGATGTGCTCCTGTGAGCCCGGGCACGCCCCAGCGTGGCGTGGGAAGTTATGCCTCCGATGTTTAAATGAATGGAGTGATTGTGGCCAGACCCGGTCCTCCGTGAGGGTGATTTTTGCAGAGGGTGAGAGGTCACGGCTGCAGGGGCTTTGAAATGTGGGCTCAGCTCCGCCGCTCGGCTTGACGTGGGCCCTCGCTGGAAGGGGGCACTGCTTCCAGCCGAAGCTGTCGCTGGATGCTGGGGAGGGAGAGGACCGTGGCTCACGTGGCAGGGTGGCCAGTGCTCAAGAGACCACTAAGGCCTGTGGGATGTTCTCGGGCTGCAGGTGGTCAGAACCCCCGACATGACCTTCCGAAGGGCACTCACATAGCATCTAGCCGCTGGGGCTCCTCCCTGACTGAGAAGACAGGGCATTTAAAATTGCTGTTTCGCCCTGGCCGGTTTGGCTCAGCGGCTAGAGCGTCGGCCTGCGGTCCGGAGAGACCCGGGTTCGGTTCCCGCTAAGGGCACGTACCTCGGTTGCAGTTTGTCCCCGGCCCTGGTTGGTCGTGTGGGTGGCAGCCGCTCCATGTGTCCCTTTCATGTCGATGTTTCTCTCTCTCTCTCTCCCTCCCACTCTATCTGAACAAAAAATGGAAACTGTCCTCGGGTGAGGATAAAAACAAAAATCGCTCTGTTTCCTAGAGACCAGCATCTGGGCAGAGCTAAGGGAGCAAGGCTGTGATCTTGATAATTTGTGGGCAGGGTGTTAATTCCATTTTTGTTTCTTAAGAAAATAAGCCTTGGCTACTTGGCTTTTCTGGGACTCCCCCCGCCGAGGCACATGGTGACACTAATTCCCGTTCTTCCCAGCGGGTCGGAGCCCTGGCTTGAATCGGGGCGACCGCGGTGGGGAAGAGTCTCCTCCATTCTCTCGCCTCCCCCAGAATGTGCACCCAGTGTCCCCACGCCCACGGGGGAAGAAGTCCCGATGAGCAGGAGTCCGAGGTTGACTGTGACGGTCACGCTTCCCTGCAGCTCCTGGGCCGGAGCCTTTGCTCTGGAGCGAGCAGGCTCCTGTCTGGAAGCCTCGGGGCTGGGGAAGGGTCCAGACCGAGAGGGGCCTCGTGGGCAGCACGGGCTTCTCCTCCAGGGGGCCGGCTTGCGAGCTGTCCCCTCGTAGCAGGCGGTAGGAAAGCCTGGGTGGGAGCAGAAGCCTCCTCGTGACACAGACACGGGCTTGCTTTGTGGGCGTGGCACTGGGAACCAGGCCAACTCTCCCTTCTGCTGTCTTCGTGCCTCAGAGACCTCATCAAAGTGCTCAAGTGGTACGTGGACAGGGTGACGGAAGCGGAGCGCCAGGAGCACATCCAGGAGGTGCTGAAGGTAACCCCCCAACGACGCGGTCCGCAGCGCGGGTCCCCCCACCCAGACGGGCTGGCATTCCAAGTCAGGGGTCGTCATGGCCTCTGCAGAGCTGGTGAAACGGGAAAGGGACTTTGTCAGGCTCACCCCCTGGACCTGCTCAGGGTTGGATCCTTGTTCCTCTGGGCTCCCGAGCTCCGGGAGTGACGTCCAGGAGTGGCTGGAGGGAGGGTTGACGAGAGGAGGCAGGTGGGCATCAAGCTGGGCACCTCCTGGCTCTTGCTTTTATCACCTGACAGAGGCCATCTGAGAACGACTTGCCCTAAATTTTCAGAGTGAATCGGGTGGCTTAGCAGGGGTCACAGCGAGGACACTCGAGGTCTCACCGGGTGTCCTTCTTAAACACTGTCCACCTCTCTGTGCCGTGGGCTTGGCTGTACGTGGAGGAGCTAAGGCCTCGTTCGCACACATGTCCAAATTGAATTCGGATTCTTAAAGGGATCGCCCGGGAACTGCCCTGGTCCTCTTCCGATTCCTGCTGTGGAGTCCGCCCTCTGCGAGGGCAGCAGAGCCAAGTGGACAAGTGTGCCTTTAACGAAACTAGCATTTTTATCCATGATAGATGGATCGTCTCGGTCTGGTTGAAGGGAAGATGCTAAATGGCAAGAGTTCGTACTAGCAAAGCAGAGTCATTTTTGAAAAACAGACTCTCTTTGCTCATTCTCTGAGGATGAAAACACTTTATGTTTGTACCTCCAGAGAATGACATAGAATTTTTATTTTCATAAATTTTTTTTCCTTGTTCAGGTACAGTTGCCATTCAGTATTATACTAGTTTCAGGTGTACAACATAGTGGTTGGACATTTCTGTAACTTACAAAGTGATCCCCTGATAAGTGTGGTGCCCACCCGACACTTTGTAGTTCTGACCATGTTGTCGACTCTTCCCTGTGCTACACTCTCCTTCCCCGTGACTATTTTGTAGCCACCAATTGATACTTCTCGACCCCTCCCCCTCCCCCCAGTCCCCCAGACTCCCTCCCGTCTGGCCCCCGTCCGTCGAACCGTTCGTTAGCCATCAGAGCAGGTTAACTCTCCTCCTACGTATGAATACTGTTCGGAAAGTCTCCTGGGTCCTTCGTGGTGAAGTGGGTCACTTAAAACAGACTGTGGTGCCACGGCCTTGGTGATTGCCCAGCTAGTAAGCGCTGCTGCCGTGCCCGGAAAGTAAGCCCGTGCGCCTTGTGTCTGCAGGCACAGGAGTACATCTTCAAGTACATCGTGCAGTCGCGGAGGCTGTTCTCCCTGGCCACCGGCGGGCAGAAGGAGGACGAGTTCCGCTGCTGCATCCAGGAGCTGCTGCTGTCCGTCCGCTTCTTCCTGTCCCAAGAGAGCAAAGGCCCTGGGGCACTGTCTCAGTCACAGGTAACGTTCCTCGTCGCCGCCGAGTCGGGAAAAGTGAGCCCGCCACTTAGATTTACCCGCAGCCTGAGCGATGTTTTCTCCTGGAGCCGTCTGTCCACCGCTCCGGTGTGTGCTTGGAGCCTCGCTGCCCTTTAAAAAAAATCTTTACTGTTGAAAGTTTTACAGATGTCCCTCCTTTCCCCGCCCCCCCAGTGACCCCTCCTCCTGCTCCCCGCCCCCACTGGTGTCTGTGTCCACTGGTTATGTCTATAGGCATATACGTTCTTTGTTTATCTCTTCTCGCCCCTCCCCTCTGAGCCTCGCTGACTTTGAATGGACTTGAATGACAGGCGTCCAGGTCCTGAGAACCAGAGTAGGAGGCGGGTGGGACCGGTCCCATCTGAGTGGGGGCCTGCGTCAGCCTCCACCCCCCTCCCCAGGACGCACACTCCTGACGAGACGCGCTGTCACCCTCAGCCTTGCGTGTGGAGTGTCCCCAGAGCCCACCGGTGAGGTCCCTGCCCCAGGCCCTGCCCCGCCTGGTCATCTGTCCACACGGACTCCTATCAGACTTGCGAAGCCGCAGGAGTTTCCTTTACTTAACTTTACGCTCGTCGTCCTGGGACTGACCTTACAGGGCCAGTGCTGAGGGGCTGCTGTCTAAATCTGTCACACGGAAGCTGGCTCCATGTGTTTCGTTGAAGGACAGGATCCAACCACGTTGCAAACAGCATGACCTTGAACATGTTCTGAGAGAGGATTCTGAAAACCTTCCTCCATCTTTCTTAATTCTTCTGACTCTTCCCTCCCTCCTTCCCTCCCCCCTTCCTCCCTTCCTTCCTTCCTTCCTTCCTTCCTTCCTTCCTTCCTTCCTTCCTTCCTTCCTTCGGTTAATCCTCACCCAAGGACATTTTCTCCATTGATTTTTAGAGAGAGTGGAAGGGAAGGAAGGAGGGGAAGAGAGAGAGAAACATTAATGTAAGAGAGAGACATGGATCGGTTGCCTCCCACACGACCCCAACCAGGGCCTGGATCAAACCTGCAACCCAGGTATATGTTCCCTTGATTGGGAATCGACTCTTTGGTCCTCGGGCCAATGCTCTAACCACTGGACATCACCGGCCAGGGCCTTCCTATACCCTTTGAACTCTAATGACTTGGTCACGAACTTGTCGGGGGGAAGCAGCCTCTCTGTGCCCACCCCCTGGAGACAGGAGACTGAGAACCATGGAGAATTGAACGGAAGGGAGATCAGAAGATGAAACTTGAACCCTCGGAGGACGGCTGTGATTTGGTGCCTTTGACATGAGGAAGGCGTTCTCTGTGACGCCGAAGCAGCGGAAACAGACCAGCCTTCCCATAATAGCGCCCTGCTTTTTATGGCTGTTACTGTCTGCAGAAGTGGGCCGATCGCCCCCCTGGGCAAGGATACTGTTCGGGCTCTTTTAATATCCTTTGGCCTCTGTCATCAGTGGTCAGTCCCTCCCCTTCAGGGACTTGCCGGAGACTTCAGTGAACGTCCAGTTGCCCATGAGACACACCCTGCGTTCAGATATTTGGAAAGGAGAGTCCAGCAAACTAACCATGTATTCTTTCGATCAAATTGCTCAGGAATTCACCACGCTTACAATAACTATTGCAAATCCGAGCTGCCACTTTTCTTTTTAAACCTTTATCAGTGACAGGGACAAACCCTGATTCACATCTGAAGAGCGTTCTCTTACTTTTAAGAGTCATGGTAAGCCCTGGCCGGTGTGGCTCAGCGGTTAGAGCGTCGGCCCACGGACCAAAGAGACCCGGGTTCAGTTCCCACTAAGGGCACGTACCTCGGTTACAGTCTGTCCCTGGCCCCGGTTGGTGTCGTATGGGTGACAACCACTCGATGTGTCTCTCTCACATCAATGTTTCTCTCTCTTCCTCCCTCTCTCCCTCCTCCTTTATCTGAAGATAAATACAAAAATGTCCTCGGGTGAGGATTAAAAAAAAAAGGGTCATGTTAAGTTGTGATTCCTCGAGGAGATGCCTTCTCAGGGCTGCCAGAGATTCAGAGATTTCTTCTTCTTTTTTTTTTTTAAATGTTTTGTGTTTTATTTATTTATTTATTTTTATCCTCATCTGAGGACATTTTTCCATTTTTTATTCAGACAGAGCATGAGGGAGGGAGGGAGGGAGGGAGAGAGAGAGAGAGAGAGAGAGAGAGAGAAGCATCAATGTGAAAGGGACACATCGAGTGGCTGCCACCCGCACGAACCCAACCAGGGCCGGGGACAAACTGCAACCGAGGTACGTGCCCTTAGCGGGAACCAAACCCGGGTCTCTCTGGACCGCAGGCCGATGCTCTAACCGCTGAGCCAAACTGGCCAGGACGATTTCTTCTTTCTCAAAGTCAGAGGAGCATTCTGTTCCCTCGGGTGTGTTTGCGCTGACCCCTGGCGGCGGCCCAGGTGACCGGGCCCCCTGCACCGAGCGGCCCAGGGCTGGTCTCCTGTCTGCCAGCACCGGCCTAATCCTCGGCCCTCAGTCCAGGGAGAAAGGCCACCTCAGCCCCTTCATAGACCCACTTCTTCCCCATTTCGCCCTTAGCTCTGTGTCGAGGGTAATATATAGCGTGCACACAAGGATTCCGAGTGTCCTCACAAGCTCTGTTCAGTCCTTGTCTTTCGTGCGGTCGTCCTACTTGTCAATTTCGATGTGATCGTGTTATTTTAGTTCGATGCTAAGAGAAAATTGGGATCAAATGATGAAGTGGCTGGTCTTCTCTGTGAAGCAGTGAGGACTTTGTCCCTCTGTGTTTGGGGAGGAAGGGGAGGGTGGCACACCTCCTCCCGGGCGAGGTTCCCTTTTCACCCCACTTTTCTTTTCTTTTTAAAATCCTCACGCGAATATATTCTTCCATTTATCCTCAGATAGAGTGGGAGGGAGAGAGAGAGAGAAACATTGATGTGAGAGAGACACATCGACTGGTTGCCTCCCGCATGACCCGACCAGGGCCGGGGACCAAACTGCAACCGAGGTACGTGCCCTTGACTGGAATCGAACCCGCGGCGCTTTGGCTCACAGATGGATGCTCTAACCACAGGGCTTGACCCCACTTTTCCATTGCTGCATAGCAAATGGCCCTGCCTTCATGGCTTTACACATCACCCATTTATTAGCTCGCAGTTCTGTAGGTCAGAAGGCTCGGTTGGATTTTATTTTAACGTTTTATTTTATTTAACTTTTTGAGAGAGAGAGAGAGGGGAGAGAGATACAGAAACATCATTCTGGGAGACAAACATCCATCGGCCGCCTCCCGCACACCCCCTACTGGGGATGGAGCCTGCAACCCAGGCTCGTGCCCTGACCAGGAATCGAACGGGACCTTTCAGTCCATGGGACGATGCTCCATCCACTGAGCCACACCGGCTGGGCCCGGCTGGATTTTTTGCTTAGGGTCTCCTACAGCCCAAATCAGGGGTTGGCTCTGATGCCTCTTGGGGGGCTCTGGAGAAGAATTCGCTCCCAAGGTCTTTCCGGCTTAGGGAAGCAGTCAGTTTCCTGGTGGTTGTAAAACTCAGGCTCCGGTGTCCTTGTTGGCTGTTAGCCCGGGGTGGGGGAGGAGAAGGGGGCGCTCGGCTTCCAGAGGCCACCCACACTCCTTGGTATGTGCCCCCCCACCCCCCCGCCAGCTCCTGTGTGTAAGTCTGTCACCCCTCTGAGTCCTTCACGAGCCAGAGAAATCTTCTGTTCCAGGGCTCGTGTGGTCAGGCCCATGGACGACCACCCTCCTTTAAGATCAACTCTTGGTGACTGTCATCATACCTGCAAAACCCCTTTCACCGGCTAACACGATGCCCTCACGGGACCAGCTGCCCGGGGCCTGCCCCCACGTCCAGAGCCGAGCCCCTGCGCTGGCTGGGCCGCCCTCTCAGGCTGCCTTCAAGGCGAACGCCCACTGTCCTGGCCCCGCTCTGCAGTATTCCACGCCGGCGGCAGCTCACGGCAGTCCCGTCACCTGGAGGCAGGCCGGCCACCCTGGCATCCTTCGTGTTGGTCCGTGGGTGGTGGCCGTCCTGGGCCTGGGAAGAGGCTCACGCTGTCCTCCGGCCTGAGCCCGGCTCACTCATGACTGACCTTGGTGCCCTGACCGGGCACAGCTGCTGCTAAGTCAGCCATGGAGCCCACTCCCTGGACAGGGCCCTCCCCTGGGGCCCCAGGACAAGAGGAACGGCGGGAGGAGTTGAGGCCCCAAACCTGCCTTAAACTCGGAATCATTATCTGTCTCATTTTTTGTTTGCTATTAGGAAGGTCAAAATGAAATTGAACTTTTTTTTTTTTAATTTTTGCAGTAAAACTCTTTAGCTTAGATGTTTTGGTACAACTGCCTTTCGGCCCTTCATCCTCTGTAACGTATGCATCTGGCGTTGCAGATACCGTCGTAAGTAAGGAATGAAGGGGCGGCCTGGCTGGTGTGGCTCAGTGGTAGAACATCGACCCTGCACCAAGAAGTCGCCGGTTCGATTCCCGGTCAGGGCACAGGCCCAGGTTATGGGCCTGATCCCCAGTGGGGGGCATGCAAGAGGCGGCCAATTGATCTTCTCGCTCATCAGTGTTTCTATCTGTCTCTCCCTCTCCCTTCCTCTCTCTAAATCAAAAAGAAAAAAAATTTAGCCCTGGCTGGTTTGGCTCAGCGGTTTGAGTGTCACCCTGTGGACCCAGAGAGTCCTGGGTTCGGTTCCTGCTAGGGGCACGTACCAAAAAAGAAAAAAGAAAAAAAAAAATTAAAGAATGAATGGGTGAATTAAAGGATCCCTGAGGAAAATCAACGTGACTTTTCAATCATCAGTAAGCTGGGCTCATTTTATTTTATTTTTAGACTTCATCTGTATGACCCAGCTCTTTGCAGAGCGAAATGAAGTTTATATAAATGTGGTTTTTAACAGGGAATACCAACTAATTCACTTTAAATGTATTTGAATAAATCTATAGTTAGTAAGTCAAGAACACTGCGTTTGGATGGTTCTGGCACCCAAAACAGGCCTGGACCCTCCAGGTGTTTCTGCTACAACAGTATAAATTCCACCGCCCATGAATTTGAACTTGATTCCGTGTTTGGGTCACCAGCACCCGCAGACTCGACCTGCTGTCACCTGGTGCCCGACCTCGTGGGGAAGCCAGCTGGTGCTCCCCGCTCAGCGCATGGCCACCTGCCTCCTTCCCCTCGCGGTTCAGGGGAGGGCGGGGCCCTCCTTCCGTTACCCTCCTTTGGTACAATTATAAAAGACCGAGTTTGCTTGTTTGAATCCTAGCCCAGTGTTGGAGGTACGCCCCTTAGGAGTTGATATTAGCATCTTTTTTTTTTTCTTTCTTAAAAAAATGATGATCAGGCTTTTTTCTTCACATAAAGAATATTGTTCTGAGTTTATATTAACTCTTCCAGCGACCTAAGGGGGGAGGGGTTCTCAGGATCTTTTCATTTTCCAGGTGGTAAAACGGAGGCGAATGTGACTTGTCCGAGGTCACAGAGTTGATTAGAAGCTGGGGTTACATACACTAGGACTTCTGATGCCCTGCTCTGTTTTGTTTTGATCATAAATAAGTCAAGAGCTTTAGGGAGTTAATGTATTTGGTGTCTGAAAGGTCAGTGAGATTTAAATGAGCGCTTCAGAGAGCTTCTCCAGAACGGAGGGAAACGTTGGGGAGGGCTTCCCGGGGCTTGGTTTACGTTCTCGCCGCCTGATCAGGCTGTGTTGTGCTGATTCGTGGGCTTTTTTGCCAATCACTTTGCTAATGTCAGCGATTTTCCAGTTTTTGTATGTGGTACCTTTGCACACGTCCAGACATCGTCCTATTTCGCTGCACTTTTAAATGTTAATAACGTTAACCTTTTAGCTTTAGAGACCAGAGACAGCTGACCTTCATCTTCCCACCGCCCCGGCGAGGCCCTGCCCGGGCATTGACTCGCATTTCTCTCCTGCCAGGCCGTGTTTCTGAGCTCCTTCCCAGCCGTGTACTCCGAGCTGCTGAAGCTCTTTGATGTCCGGGAGGTGGCCAACTTGGTGCAGGACACGCTGGGCAGCCTGCCGACCGTCCTGCACGTGGACGAGACTCTGCAGGCTGTGAAGCTTCAGTGCATTGGCAAGACCGTGGAGAGCCAGCTCTACAGCAACCCAGGTGGGTGCGGCCCCGGACGGTGCCGGCAGAGCCCCTCACCCCCGTAGCCCAGGGCAGCAGAAGCAACTCGGCAAACAGCCTTCTGAGAAGCCTGCGGATTGGGATGGGAGGGTGCCTTCGCTGAGCAGCCACAGGCACAAGGATGGCTCTTCAAACTTTATTTCTAGAAGGAAGGAAAACCCTGGTGATTATTGATGATACTCACTAGTTGTGGTGTATGGTACGCTTTCTTTTCTTCTTATAGATTTTTTTTTAAATGTTCACCAAAATTTAACATCTTCTTTCGGGTTGCTTAAAGGGACCGGATTTGATCTGTGTCCCTTAAAACTTTTCCATCATTTGTATTCTGAAAATGCGTGGATGTTTCCGTGTGTCGTCGTTTTAACTTTATCCTAATAGGTGACTGATTTAGCAGTTACTACATTTATTTTGCCGTAATGTCTGTCATGAAATCCCATCACCTCTTGTTTTCTGCTAGTTTTTCCTGAGATAAAATATAACCTCCTTGTAAAGTTTAAGATGTTTCTATCAGTATTAATCTAATTTGAAAAAAATCATTCTATTTAGAATTATATTTCCACATGAATATATGTGTGTGTGTAATATTTTTTAAATAGGTTTCAAATAGAGTAAACACACCTTTTTCACAATTTAAAAATGTTTTTATTGATTTTTTTAGAGAGATAGAAACATTGATGACAGAGAAACAGATCAACTGCCTCCTGCACACCCCTTCCAGGGGATTGAGCCCGCAACCCCAGCGTGTGTCCTGCCAGGAATCAAACCAGGACCTCTCAGTACATGGGACGGCACTCCATCCACTTAGCCACACTGGCCAGGCAATGCACCTTTTTTTTTTTTTGTAAACATCTTATACAGACAAGAATAGAGCATAATATATTTTAAAAAATTAACAAATTTTAACAATATTGGGTATTTGCTTCAGGGCTTTTGTTAAGAAGGTGCTCATCATAGATATACCCGGGTTCTGCTGTGTGTACTCCCTTCCTTCAGAGACCTTCCCACTGTCTGAGATTTCCAGCCCTCATTTCTATGCCTTTATGACACACACCTAAAAACAGATCATACTTCTTATATCTTTTCCATTTTCTTTCATCCTTTAGTGTTTATATGATGACATTATGTGGAGTGTTTGTTGTTGTTGTTGTTTGTATGGATACTATACTCTCATATTCATCCATGCTGCTAGAGATAGCTATAGTTCATTCACTTTTTACTGTTGCATAGTATTCCACTGAAGAATTTATCATGGTTCATGTTTTCCCTCCTGTTTATTTGGACTGTTTGTATGTGTGTGTACACACACGCACAGAGTGTATGTGTGTATGTTATATACACACATATACTGCTCTAGAGAGATTGAGACTTGTATGATGAATTAGCTCTGGCCCTTACGGAGGCTGCGCAGTCCCACGCCGGAGAGGGAGGTGTAAGTTCCGGTCGAATCCAAAGGCAGGAGAGCGACCCAGCTGGAGACCGCAGAGAGAGCACATCCCCTCCCTGCCTTCCCCTCAGGCCTCCGCGGTGGGATGAGGCCCACCCACATTGCACAGGGCCATCTCTTCCCCAGTCCGCCGAGTCGGATGTTCATCTCATCCAGAAACTGCCTCACCCACCCCCGGGATAACGTTTAACCCATGCCTGGAGCCCGTGGCCCATTCAGGGCGGCACATACCATGACCCTCAGAATCCCAGGGGGAGGGCGCGGAGGGGCACAGGGGCTGCGGGAGGCGCTGCAGAAAGAGCTGCTTAGATTAGCGAGTGATAAACACACAGAGACAGACAAACGGCCGCAGACTAGGGTCGGGACCAGCAGAGCCGATGAAAATTTACTTAATCTGCGTCCCATTTCTGCCGCCTCTCCTCCCAGTAGGACTCACGGTGTAGCTGGTCCCTTCTCTCCTCCACATGTTCACGTGGGCAGACCCACTCTGAGTGTGGGATCAGACACACTGTAGCAAATTGAAATGGCCCAGTCTGCTTAGGCAGCGGTTCTCGACCTGTGGGTCGCAACCCCTTTGGGGGTCGAACGACCCTTTCACAAAAATAATTTTAGGGTTGGGGGTCACCGCAACACGAGGCTCTGTGTTAAAGGGTCGCGGCATCAGGAAGGTTGAGAACCCCTGGCTTAGAGCCTTGCATGAAAGCGGATTTAAACCAGCAGTTAGTATACCCTATGATAGGAGGGGAGTTGTGCGGGGGCGTGTTGGGTGCCCTGTAGCAGGGAGACCTGGGTGAGCCTTGGGGCTCGTTCATCCCAGCACTTTGGCCCGCGGTGCCTGGGCCAACACCACTCAGATCTGTATTTCTCGGCCAGATCTCTGCGCTCCAAACCTGCGTAGCTACCTGTCCTCTGCCTCTCTGCTTTCCCAGTGTGTGCCCTTCGTCTTCTCGGTTTTACTTTGGAAGGATGCTCCGCGGTGGAGGCCCGGGGGGACCACGTCCAGGGCTTAGATTAGCCCCGTCCTACACTGTCCGCTTGATGTCGCAGCCCTGGCTCCCGGGCACTCCTTCCCTGCCCGGTCTGTCCTCAGCCTCTGAAGGCTTCTGTGACCCGGACAGTTCAATTCCCGGTGGCTTTGGTCACAGTGCCGACCCTGCGTCGGATCTCAGCGCCCTGCCGAGGGGGCCCGAGTCTGCAGCCAGCAGCTGCGCACGCACAGAGCTGTGCACGGCCGGCACGAACCTGCCCACACGCTTTGCACGCTCCCTCCTGGGGCTGCCACGGAGCAGCCCCTGGGGTCCCGTCACGCCAGCCCAGGCTGGGGCCCGGATGTGAACCACGGAGGGCCACCCCGCGTGCCACCCCAAGACTCACAGGCCTCACAGACGCAGACTTCAGGGACCCTCAGCAACATTGTGGCGATAGAGGAAGCAAAGATTATGACTTTCCTCAAAATGAACCTCAAGGAGGACATGTACCTGCATTCTTAGCCCCACAGCCACCGAGACACATAGGGGCGGCCTTATCCGCTCAGGGGTGGCCCTGCAAAGCCCACAGTGCAGGAGAGTCACTCCTGTCCACGTCCACACTCAAGGACACACCTGCACAGCAGGCTGTTGTTCAGTGTTGGAAAGTTAATGTTTGTGCATCTGCGGTTTTCTCTTCTCTTTCCTTTTGGAGTCCAGTTGTCTCCCCTCGGAGGTAGGAATTAGCATCTGAACCAGTCGGCGTGTTGGGGACTTCCCTGCCCCTGGTGTTGTTGGCATCGGCCGACGGCCTGTGATGGAGGAAAGGCAGCCCTGCAGGCTGGCTGGTCATGCATTTCTCTCTAGAGACACCACACACTAATTATTTGTCTCCTTACTTACTTTCCTGCAGTAGCTATTTTCCTAACAGTTGGTTGCAAATTGAATTTTTCAAAATGCAATCCCACTGGCGGGGGGCGGGGGGCTCAGATAAGCTTTACCTTCCTCCCTAACTAAACCATCACTGGCGTGGCTCCTGCCTTTTAACCCGTCCCTGTCCTTTCTTAGGTTCTTCTTGTCAAGTAATTGGTTTACAAATAAGCAGGGAAGTTCCTGGTCAGGCTGTTTAAAGGAAGCCTGCAATGAATTCCTGAGCTTGGATGTGAATGTTCCTTGTTCGTTTTCTTAAAGGCAGGACAGCCTCGGGCGTGTGTGGTTTGTTTGGAAGGTACCCCTAAGGCCAGACATCTTTGTGCTGCTTGCCCGGGGCAGGCATTGAAAGGAGACTCCAAACCTCACCTCCAACAGAAATCAAGAAGGATCCCAGGAGCATTGATACAAGCACTTTCCCAATTGTGACTCCTTTGTTTGCATCCTTTCTGATTTTTATCAGGATGCAGAATCCTGTATTCTTTTCCCTGCGGTTACACCTCATTGCACTGGCTGGGAGTCCGGTGCAGTGCGGAATCGAACACGTGGACTTGGCCAGCCTGGGCTTTGTCTTCCACTGTGAGGCGTTACGTTAGCTAAAGTTGGGCACCCCGCTAATGCCCTTTATCCATGTGAGGGAATTGCTTTCACTTCTTTGTTGCTTGACAGTTTTTATCATGAATAGAGGCTGAATTTCTCGGGGTTTTTTACATCTTCTGTGAGTATTGTGAATGGCGTTGGTTGTTTTACTTTCTTTTTTTCTTTTTATCCTCACCTGAGGACATTTTTCCCTTTTTTGTTCAGGTAGAGTGGGAGGGAGAGAGAGGAACAGAGAGAGAGGAGAGAAACATCGATGTGAAGGGACACATCGAGTGGCTGCCACCCGCAGACCAACCAGGGCCGGGGACAAACTGCAACCGAGGTACGTGCCCTTAGCGGGAACCGAACCCGGGTCTCTCCAGACCGCAGGCCAACGCTCTAACCGCTGAGCCAAACTGGCCAGGGCAACTTTCAAATGTTAAAGCTTGTGGTCCCAGGATACACTCTCTTTAATTACAGTGTCATATGCATATATTCTATATACCTCAAACTAGATTGATTTTGTTAAAAGTCTTACGAGGATTTGTGCCTCTGTGTGGATGAGAGGTATCAATCTGTAGTTTTCCTAAACCTTGAATGTCTTTGGCTGATGTTGGCCTCAGCGATGCTTGAGCCTCGTTCAATGAGCTCATTGTGTTCCCTGTTTGTTTCATTTTCCGGGAGGATTCACACAGACTTGGTATGATTTCTTCTATAAATCCTCCAGAGAATTCACAGAAGCCATCTGGGCCTGGGATTTTCCTTATAGGTTTTGAACAAGTTTAATTTCTTTGATCAGTATACCGTTATGTAGGTTACCCCTTTTTCCTTGAACGAGTCAAGTGGAATGATCATTTATGCAAGTGTAAGACTCGGGTTTTATAAACCAAGACGATGCCTGAGTTGTGGCACAGGAAGGTCTAGGCCTGGGATGAGCTTGGGGCAGCGGACCGGACCTGGGTGCTGGGGACGAGCTACCCCCAGCGGACAGGGCCAGGCCGTTCAGCAGAGGCCACTGCCTTGCTTGACTTCGGGTTACTGGCGGGTGACACGTTCATGCTTTCGGGGAGGCGGCTGGCAGGTTCCTCCACAAAGAGGCTGACCAGCCCGAGAGAAGATAGCGTAGCGTCTGAAGCGTGGGGTCCCCTGACGGAACAGCGGGCACCTCCCATCCCGCAGTGCCTCGTGGTAAAGACGAGTGGCAGTTGGGGGTCACCCGGTACTGGAGAAAAAGTTTCATGTGGAAGCCTGAGGCCACAGGAACAAACAAGCAAAGAAGGACTTGAAAGAAAAACACACTTCTGTGAGAAAAGAAAGGAAGACATCCAAGACGAGTGCCTGTGATCTCCCGGAGCAGGAGCGCAGTTCGAAGCCGGGGAAGGTGTAAAACGAGATCCTTCCGAGACGAACAGGACGGGCCGCGTCAGGAACATCCGGTCTGAAGATCACCCGAAGATCACCCCGAAGATCACCCCGAAGCCCACGATGCCGGCAGCAGCGTTAGAGCCGGTGGGCCCTCGGACCCCGGGCTGCGTGCCGGGGACGCTGGCCCCGAAGGAAGCAGGGACCCTTGGGGACGAAGTATGTGACGGCATAACCAGAAACACCGAAAAGAAGCCTTGGCCGGGCAAGGAAGGAAATTGTTCGGAGAGCTGGACATAAACGATTTTTTAAAAGTTGGGGGAAGTAGAAGATAGTTTAAGAGATTTCATGTTGTGGCCCTGGCTGCTTCGGCTCAGCGGTTAGAGGGTCGGCCTGAGGACCAAAAGGTCGTTGGTTCGGTTCCAGGTCAAGGGCACGTGCCTGGGGTGCAGGTTCGATCCCCAGCCCCGGCCAGGGTCGTGTGGGAGGCAGCCAATCGATGTGTCTCTCACATCGATGTTTCTCTCTCTCTCCCTTCCTCCCTCCCTCCCACTCTCTCTACAAATCAATGGGAAAATATCCTCGGGTGAGGATTTACAAAGAAGAGAGAGGGATTCATGACGTGTATATAGGCAAAGTTCCAGACACGGGACAGAAAAAAAATAAAAAGGGAAGGAAATAATCGTAGAAATAATTCAAGGCAAGCTCCCAAGCTGAAGGATATGAGTTTATGGATTGAAGAGATCAAGCGATAATCACGACATTTTTGAATTACCAGGAATCATTTCCCAAAAGCTTTCTTTTTTTTTTTTTAATCCTCACCCGAGGACATTTTTCCATTTTTTGTACAGATAGAGTGGAAGGGAGAGAGAGGGAGAGAGAGAGAGAGAAACATCGACGTGAAAGGGACACATCGAGTGGCTGCCACCCGCACGACCAACCAGGGCCGGGGACAAACTGCAACCGAGGTACATGCCCTTAGTGGGAACCAAACCTGGGTCTCTCCGGACCGCAGGCCGATGCTCTAACCGCTGAGCCAAACTGGCCAGGGCCCAAAAGCTTTCAAAAGCGATCAACAAACCCAACCCAAACAAGTCACCAGACATGTGCGAAGGGTTGGAGATCAGAATGGCAGCAAACCGCAAACGCCAATTTTCTCCAGAAATTGTGCTTTGACTCTCCGGAGGCTGGGGAGCAGGAAAGAGACTACGATAGACTACGTCTTACCCACCGTCCTGGGGAGTCAGTGGGGGACCCACCTCGGTGGAAATCAGGAAATAGCCGGAGACACATGATGTTTCCACGCTTGGAAGTAAAACAAACAATTTTTTAAAAACCCAGTTTCAATAAAAGAGTGAAAGGCCTTTTGAGCCCAGGAATCTCGGGCTGGGAAAAGGAACTCCTGTGTTTTCACATCAACTGTATAGAACTGGTGCCTTCCTGACCGCATGTGTTTATAATGTAACAATAATCACGTTCATTTTAACGCTGACACCAGGTCAGTGGTTCTCAACCTTCCTCTTGCCGCGACCCTTTAATACAGTTCCTCACCTTGCGGTGACCCCCAGCTATAAGATTATTTTTGTTGCTACTTCATCACTGTAGTTTTGCTACTGATGCGTCTTAGGCGACCCCTGTGAAAGGGTCGTTCTTCCCCTAAACAGGTCATGACCCGCAGGTTGAGAACCTCTGACACTAGGTGAAGGTCCGCGTGGGACTGGGCAGGTTGGCACTGATGGCCCCTCTCTGCAGATTCCAGGTACATCCTCCTGCCCGTGGTCTTGCATCACCTGCACATGCACCTTCAGGAGCAGAAGAACCTCATGACGTGCGCCCGCATCCTTAGCAACGTCTTCTGTCTCATCAAGAAGAACAGCTCAGTAAGTAAACACTGATGGGGACGGCTCCCCTCGGATGGCTCCTGCAGTACAATGTCTTCAGAGAAACCACAGGGCCCAGCCACCCCCTGTACTCCCTCTGTTCCCCGCCGGGCTGCAGTTGGTGCTTTTCTTCCGAAGGGGTTTGTTTAAACCTTGTGGGATTGCTGTAACCCCAATAACCTGGGTTTCCTCAGCGCGTGCTCTGAGGAAGAGCTGACTCCCCAGCTAGGAAGATAGAGCGCGCAAGGCCTCCACACGTGCTTTAATCCCGGTACTGAAGGCTCCGTGGCGAGAATACAGGACTGTGCGCAGGGAGGGCTTGGGGGCCTGCTCTGGGAAAGGCTGCGGGGTGCTGATGCTCAGAGCTGGGCCCTGACCCCGCGGACGCTGTGCAAGCTGAGGAGAGCCCCGGAGCCTGGGGCACTGGCCCACAGCCGTTCCTCGGCCCTCCCGGGACTCACTCGGGGCCCAGGGAACGCCGTCAGGCCCGACTCTCCGTGCAGTGCTGCCTCACTAGCGCCCATGCCCGTGGAGAGAATCACGGGCCCGCTTGTGAGGGGGACAGCTCGGGGCGAGCATGGCCGCGGCTCGGGGGTCTGGTGTGAAACACACATGCGGAGCCATCCCACTGCGGCTCGTCCATAGCGTCGGTCAATCCTCCCGCTCACCCGCACGCTGACCGAGCGCTAAGGCCTCTGCTGCTCTGCCTCCGGGTGACAGCTGTGCTGCAGGTCCCCGCTTTGTCCCCCTTAGGGTGGCCATCTGAAGGGTTCAGTGGACGTGGGACTCCAGTGGCAGTGCGGAGAGCGGGCCGCAGCCCTGTGGGAGCCGAGTTGGCACCTGAGCGGAACCCTGAGTTGGAAAGTGCACGGCCACCTGGCTGGTCCGGGCCGGTGGTCTGCGTGCAGCCGGGGTCTCAGACCCTCGGGGCGACCTGGGACTGCATCAGAGCGGTGCCCGGGGAGGGCGTTGGTTTCTCCGTGACCCTCCGTCTGTCCAGTTCCGTAAGCCTGGCGACGCTGCCTGGTGAGCACGCGATCGCACCGCACTGCTGAGACGGAGCGCGGGCGACGGAGGTGGCGTGCAGACCGCAGACAGGTGTCCGCCCTGGACACGGCGCTGCTTCCGGGCCCTCCGTGGACGCTGCCGTCCGTCCGGCTCGCTGAGAGTCCATCCGGGACAGAACTCTGCTCCGGAACGGAAACCTGGGTCATTTTCTCACAAGTGTACGGAGGTGTGTCACCGACATCTGGCCAGAAAGCTCTTTGACACGCGCACTTCCGAAACGTTTCCTTCGTGGGGGCCATCTCCTCGCAGGGACCTTGCAGAGTTCTGTGCGCAGGGAGGTCCCAACCCACTGCATGTTGTCGGAACAGCCCGGCCCGGCCCCTCCCCAGCCCTGGGGGCTGGCACGGGGGTAGTTTTGCTTCAGGAAACAGTCCTCACCGAGGTCACTGGCATCAGGTCCCGGCTACAGCTGATGGTACGTTTATCGATCATTTGCACTTCAAACAGCTTTGGAAAATGGCCTGTGCAATTTAAGTATTGAGAAGAGTGATGTAAGCACAATCTGAGATTAAAAATAAATTATGGACTGCTAGAACCAAGGGGACTTGCAGTGGGGGATCAGGCCAGAAAGGCAAACCGACGTGCTCAAGGTCACCCGCCCCGTGAGCGGCCTGTCTGGGCTCTGGATTCATCCGGTGTCCTCGCGGGACCTCACCCCCTCTGCTATGTGTGCCGGGTGCCCGCTGCACCGCTGAGGAGTGGACTGTTGGGGAAGGTGTGAGCTGCCTCCTGCCGCTGTTTTCTGTAAAGGCAGGTCGTTTGCGTAGGTGACTCAGTGAGGTCCGGGCCCATGGGAGCTCTGGGCTCTCTGAGGCTTTGATCCCCTGTTTGGAAACGTGCTTCTGCCCCTCTTCCGTCAGAGACAGTCCCGAGCCAGCGAAGCCAGAGCTTCCCGGACACATTCTCTCTCTCCTCAGGAGAAGTCCGTGCTGGAGGAGATCGATGTGATAGTGGCCAGCCTGCTGGACATCCTGCTGAGGACCATCCTGGAGATCACCAGTCGCCCGCAGCCCTCTGGCCCCGCCGCCCAGCTCCAGTTCCAGGATGTCACTGTAAGGTCGCGGTGGTGCTCGTTAGCGCTCCGGTGGTTCGGAGGGTGGGTGGCCGCAGGGACCTGGAATCTGACTGTGGGCGAGGGACCCGCGTGCCTCTCAGAGAAGTGTCTTGATGAAAAGATCGGGGATGAAGATGTCTGTGATTTCAGAGAACTAGATCCGATATTAGCTGTTGCCTTGTCCGGTTCAAATGAACCTGTCGTCACAGTCATCTTGACGACCCTTCGTTTTCTTTTTATCTGTTGAGTTGCTCAAGGAAGTGAAAATAGTGACATGGAGCCAGAGAAGTCAGGGGTCCTGAGTTCTAATTCTGACCTTTCCTCTATGACTAGTAAGAATCTTCCTTTGGGTGGGTGGGGTCAGCTTCCTCAGCTATGAGCTGAGAAAGTTTGGCGTAGTCATCTCTAAGGTGCCTTCCAGCTCAACTGTTTTATGATTCTAATGTAACATGATTTATATGAAATAGTAAGAAATACTACATCTGACAGAATACGTGTGTGTGGGGGGGGGGGAGTGGTAGATGTGTGGATAGATGGATGGATTTCTATTTAAAACTCACATTCAGTTGACCAAAAATATTTCTTTAGATCTAATTAAGAATATTCTACCCAACGTAATTTTCAGAAATGTCAGTAGATGCTGTAGTTTCTACGTGTAGATGAATGACAAAAACATTGGCTTCTGTCATTATTGTTACAAAGAGTATACTGTAGAACCCCTGTCTTAAGAATGTTTGCTTAGCCCCCAACGAGAATATGTTTAGTTTTTACTGAAAAGTACAGCGTTCACCACGGCTCTCGGGTCGCGTGGGCTGTTTCTGAACGGTCCCCTTGTGTCGACCTGCATTTCCTCTGCTTCTAGAGCTGAGATTTACCTACAGAAACCAAGCTCTGGGTTTGGGGAGTCAGCTCTTTCTTTTAGCCAACTAAGGTTAGAGATAGTATGAAAAAACTTCCTAATACGTAGAACACTTGTCCTGCCTTATTTAAAGAAAAGAAACCCATCCGCTGTGGTCAGATGGTCCCCGACCCCTAGGGCTGGCCCTGTGTGGTTAGCACACCACTTAGTACGCACGTGGTAAGCGCTCGAAACATTGTTGCTAATACCACTGGAGCACATTATGGCTTTGAAGAGGTGGCGTTTGTTATTTAAATTTTTTGTTTTTTCATTTTTTTAAAAAATTAAGCTTTTTATGTTGCAATAATTGTAGCATGCATGCATTTGTAAGAAGTAATACAGAGATATCCATTGTGTCTTCACCCCGTTTCCTGGAGGGTAAGATCCTACGGAATGGTAGTACAGTCCCACACCTTAGGGTACTGACAGGGATCCCATCCGAACAGGTATTTCCTTCACCCCAGGGTTCCTTTCCCTCCAAACCACGCCTCTCCCTTCCCTGCCCCCTCCTCAGCCCTGGCAATGAAAAATCTGTTTTCCGTTTCTACAACTTTGTCATTTTAAGAATGTTGTACAAATGGAATCATACATGTAATCTTCTGTGGCTTTTTTTTAACTCTGTGTACTTCCCTGGAGCGCCGTCCAGGTGACCATGTGCACGTACAGTGTGTTCCTTTTGATTGCCCATCACTGCATGGTGGGATGTACCCCAGTGTTGAACTGTCTCCCCATCAGAGGCCATGTGGGCGGTTCCAGATTTTGGCTGTTCCTAAAAAAGGTGCTATAAACATGTGTGCAAGTGTGCGGAAGCATGGCTTCCTTCCTCCGGGGTAAGTTCCCAGGAGGGTGGCTGTGGATTTCATGCTAATTCCATGTTTTATGTTTTCGAGAAACTGCCAAACCATCTTCTAGCCTGGCTGTATCATCTGTCATTCTCTCATCCACAAATAGATGGACAATCCAACTTGTCCACACCCTAAGCAGCATTGAGCGCAGTCTTGGGGGGGAAAGGTGTTCAGATAGGTAGGTGGTGATCATTTCTGTGGCTTCAATGTGCATTTTTCTGCTGGCTGGTGATGCTGAGCATTGCTCCTCGTACTAGTTTGCAACTACACAACGACATCTCCTCGTCTGGAGAATGTCTCCTCAGTCTTTCCTCCATTTTCTTACTGAATCGCTTTTCATGGCTGGGCTTGAAGAGTTCTTTATCTAGTCGAGATACTAGCCCTTTATTAAATATGTGGTAATATTTTCTCCCCCTCCGTGGCTTGTCTTCTCATTCTTTTAGCGGGGTCTTTTTAAAGCAACATTTAAAATTTTAATGAAGTCCAGTGTATCAGTTTTTCCTTTTATGGGTCACACTTTTGATGCCAAGTCTGAGAACTTTTTCATCCTGAGGGCAAGCTTTTAGTTTTTGGTTGTTGTTTTTTTCCTAAAATTATTCTAGTTTTATACTTTACATTTAAGTCCATGAACATTTCGAGTTGTGTATCCATGCCATCATCCTTCAAAGGGAAAGAAAGTCTCCATCATTATAGTTTGGATGGTAACATCTTTTTTTAAAACAATTTTCTTTATTGATTTTAGAGAGAGAGAAAGGGAGAAGGAGAGAGAGATAGAAACATCGATGCGAGAGAACATCAACTGGCCGCCCACAGCCTGGGCCTGTGCCCTGACTAGGAATTGAACCGGGACCTCTTGGTGCAGGGTGACACTCAACCACTGAGCCACACTGGCTGGGCATTGCATAGTAACATCTTAACTCCTTCCTGGCAACACAGCTCAAACGTAATTCTAGAATTATAGTGGTCCAGCAAACAGTCATAGCAAATGCTGCGTGGGTTAAAGCCAGCCTGAGGTCCAAAGCCCAAACAATTTCTCAAGCTGCGTGTATCCGTGGGAAGGTTCCCGTGTGCTGGATCCCTTGGGGATGTGCGTGGCTTCTCCTCCTTCACACTGTAAAGATCGGTGCAAACTAAGAGGCCTGAGCAGGCAGGGAGTCGGGGTTGTGGGTGGATTTGGGGGCGATCCTCCACTGTCTTAGGAAAATCACATGAAGAGAAACCTTCCTGCGTGAGCACCTGTACTGAGCCTCTTGCTGTGGGAAAAGCCAGCTCCAGGCATGGGAGATGAAGTCTGCTGGGCACATGCACTTAAATTATTTGGCAACTTGGATTTTTCTGTGTTAAGACATTTTCCGAGAGCGCTCAGGCAGACCTGGTTCGAACCTTGGTCTCTCCTTGGGCGACACACCTGCTGCCTAAAGCTTCCGCTGTGTGTGAAACAGAGACAGCAGCCCTCACCTCAGAGTTTGTGCCAGGGTGTCATCAAACCCGTCAACATGTTTAAACACTGTCAGTACACTTCAGTCGTTAGCCATTTCTTAGGGACAGCGGTCACCGTCGGCCCGTTATTACAGGAGAAGGGATCACCGTATCGGTGCAGTTACAGCTGATGCTGTGTGACACCGATGACCATTCACAAGGTCAGTTCTCTCTGGGCACTGAAGACCAAATTCCTTCATCATCTTCCCACAGAGAAAGCTGTCTGAATAGTGTGCTCGGACCTTGAGCACATCTCAGACTCGACAGAAAACGTGCCTAAGTCAGCGGACGCCCTGGGGGGTCAAAGCAGCCCCCGGTGCATGGGGGTGAAGGGCTCCAGCCCCCAGCACCCCAGCCGTCTCCCTGCCTCCCTGTCACCCCAGCCAGAGCCGGGGCTCTCCACCGAATCCCAGCAAACAGCAGGCTCGTTTTCACTGCTGATAGGGTTGGACGTCTGGTTCTTCCACCGGCTGTTGTTTGAACTGGAGACGCTCTCTCCAGCGGAAGGAAACACCACCACCCTAACCGGTTCCTTAAAAAAAATCACGCCGTCCGTGGAGGAAGATTTTACCATTGTTCACACCCTCAGCTCCGTGGACTCCAGAGTCCCTTACAGCTTATAAATGCTGCTTTTCTGTGCCGTTAACTCTGCCCGGCGCCCTGTGGAACGCGGGTGACTCGGCTGGCAGAGGCCACGTCTGAGACGCACTTGGCTGTGCCCATCTAGCTCCCGGGCGCCACGGGATGGGGTTCAGAAAGGGAAAAGAATGCAGGAGCATTCCGGGAGGAATTTCTGGAAACGGCTGTGCCCGTGTATAAGAGAAGGCTTCTGGAAGACTCGCTCTGGCTGTCTTATGGCTCATTCACAGTCGTTAATAGTAATGCCCATTATACACGATCTGTCCTGAACATGGATGCGAGCCACGGAAGCACGTACTGTTTTAAAGGCGATTTATATGTCAAAAACTCCTACACTGAAATTAAGGAAATATTGGGCAGCAATTGTTTATTTATTTACTCTTTTTAACACATTGTGAGTCTAGGGTTTTCATATGGACGTTTAACGTCTCTTAAAAGCAAAACAAAATTACATTACGGATGAAAACTGCATCCGTACAGTTTGCACAGATGTCTCTGCTCTTAACAGTGTGCTAGGAGCCCCTAAGCAGATTAGGTGAACAAATACAGTGATACTGTAGAGTAGATGTTGTGATTGGTGACATGTGATAAAGGTGCCAAGATTAGATGTCAGCCTTTCTCTTTGTCATCTAGCTTGTACTATCTCCAGTGACAAATCTGTCATCCTCCTCCATGTATAACAGGTCTTTTTCATTTGGCTGGTGTTAAGTTTTTTTTTTTTCTTTATTGCTGGTTGTAAACAATTTTATTATAATGTGCCTTGGTGTGGTTTTTATCATTCTTGTGCTTAGGTGTGTTAAAATTCTTTGATATATAGGTTTATCATTTTTCAAAGACTCTGACGTTTCCTATAGTTTACTGGTGCATTTTTCTATTCTTTTTTCCTCTATTTTTTTTATTTTGGAGAATTTCTAGAACCCCGTCTTCAAGTTCAATAATCTTTCCTTCTGCATGGTCTAATCTGCCATTAGTCCTATTCAAGAAATGTTTATGTTGCACATAGTCTTTATCTCTAGAAGTTTAATTTGGGTTCTTTTGATATCTTTCATGCCTCCAATGAACATGTTAGACTTTCCCCCCAGTTTTCTGAATATATAGAATACAGTAATAATAGATATGTTAATGTCCTTGACTGCTGATTCTGTTATCTGTCATTTCTGGTTCTCTTTCTATTGATCATTCTTTCTTCCTTACATCATTATCTTTCATGCTTCTGTGTATGCCTGGTAGTTTTTTATTGACTGTCAGGCATTGTGAGTTTTACCTTGTTGGGAATTGAGTTTATTTTATTTCTAAACATACGTTTGAACTTTGCTATGGAATGAGGTTAGATTTCTTGGGAACTGCTTAGTTCACATCCTGCTTTGGAACTTTCCCAGGTAGGATCAGAGCAACACTTATTCTAACAGTAATTGTCCTGTCGCTACCAAGGAACAGTCCTGTTTAGTACTCTCCCTGGGGCCTGGCTAACAGTGGGATTTGTCCCGTGAGCAAAGGCAGAGTTCCCATCGCAATTCCGAGTGGGCACCACGCTGTTCTCCCGATCCTTCGGGTAGTGTCTTCCTAGCCTTGGGTTGTTTCCTTTTACACAGTCACTGAAATAAGAATAATTGTGCCCTCACATTTTCTATTTCTTGTGTTAAGTATCAAGGGTTCCTCTGTTCATTAATAAAGTACAATGTTGAGCTTAGAGGATATTTCTGCTAGCCCAAACTGGTTAGTTTCTGAAACATTTTCCCTAATAAGTCTTTGGAGAAAATTCTCTTTCATACGTGTGTGTTATAAATGATTTTTCACACGCAGGGAGTCGGGGAACATCTCTGGTTACCCTGGCATGGCCATTAAGTAGCATCTTCGGGTCCCTTGGCAGCTGGGGGTGAGGGGTATATTTGACTTGTCCTGACTTATCTCCTGCTTTTCAGGGCTTTAGTTTCTAATTTTATACGTGATCCTACCATCTCTTTCCCTGTCAACTCAAAGGCACCAGTTTCTAATTAAACTGCATTTCTGTACATTTATAGTCAGTCACCCCTGATTGCTTCTCCCATTGTGCTTGTATTGTTTTCCATGTAATTAAAAGTGTTTAAGTGTAATTAAAAGCAGATAAATCCTTTGCTGAACAAAAAGGGTTGCATTGAAAAGAAATAGTTTAATTAGAAACACATTAGAAAATGAAAATGAGAGCAGTTTTATAAGTCTTCGAATCTATGATGCTATGTATATATTTTTCTTCTGCATTACCGGTTTTTAAGATTTGGGCTTTGTAGGAGTCCATCACGCACGATTGCCGCTGACAAAGGTTTACAAGGAGGTTACAGCCAGCTTGAGCATGGCTTTCTGTACACACTGCTGTTTGCAGATGGACACTCTGATGGGCTAGAGAAGGTCATTTGAATTAAAAAATGGAGCATGAACTTCCAAGAAGAGCTTTGGTCAGTAAGACCTAGGGATCACTCTAGCCCAATGTCTGGCTGTGTACCTCTGGGCAGACCTTTTAGCCCACCAGACCTACATTTTACCTGCTCTATACCATCTGCCTCGTGGCGTTGAGGTGAGGCTCAAATGATCCAACGAGTGAGGGTGGAGGAAATGCTCAATGCACAGTCCGGGGCCGCATGGCCAAGCCTCCTTTGAGTGTTTGGAGTTACTTCCCTAGTGGAAAGCTTTTACCCAAGTAGAAAATCCCCCTCTGAATTTTAAAATTCATGTATAACAAGGAAATGGTAGTCATCCCAGGGAGAAATCTTGACTGTCATCTTATGGCTAATTTAGATTAAGAAGACTTCATAGGGTGAATTTGGATCATAGCGGGTTTTTTTAAGTGCGCTACTTTAGAGTAGTCCAAAGTAAAAGTTACTGATGTTTTTCTATGTCCTTACTGAAAAATATGCTTTTTTTTTTACTTAGGGGGAGTTTGTTGCTTGTCTCCTGTCCCTGTTACGACAGATGACAGACAGACATTATCAACAGCTTCTTGACAGTTTCAATACAAAGGAAGAACTAAGGGTAAGTGACATTTAAAAACTTCTTTTAAGATCTCTTTTTCTCTTCTCTTATTCTTCAGCATTGTTCAGACAGTTCTTTGACAATGGCTTTACCTGTTTCCATTCAATTCTAAGTGACTTTTTCTCAGCTTCATCCACACGTCTGCTTGTGGGTATCGGCTCTGTAAGATTTCTGCCCTCATTGACAGTCATTAACTCTTATTTGGGACAAGAACCTAGGATTGAAAACACCTGTCATCGAAATGCAATAAGCCAGAAACAATATCAGAACTAAAGAGACCAAAGCAAATCGACTAACTCTAGCTAAGTGGACCCAGAAATACTGTCTTCCTGGAAGAGAAAGGCGCTCACAGAAATACAGGGGCTGATTCCGTCCCCCTAAAACCACAGTGAGAAATTCTGGCAACCGTATGCTGGCGGGGGAGGCAGAGTTGTCGTTGATCACTACCAGCTGTAGCCTAATCAATACGCTTGCTGGCCTGACATGCTGACGTTCAATAAAAATTATTGACGCTGGGTTTCCAAATATCCCCGTCTTTGCTGAGATTTGGGGAACTTGAATGCTTCCTTCGTGGTGTTCACTAAAAGCTTGGAAGTTGATGGTCCTCTGTCGGAGAAACGCCTGACATCTGTCCTTATCTACTTTTATTTCTCTCCATCTCTTCGGTGTTCCAGACACGTCGTGCGTGAACCGTCGTAAGGGGAAGGTTGCTGAGATGCTGGGGGTGGAGGAGTCTAGGATGGGGGACAGTCACCCTGTGGTGCTCCAGGGCTGGAAGCCCTCCCAGTGACTTTGGGGAAGACGTGTGCATTTAAAACAGTCTAGGTGGTGCGTAAGGGGCACTTACCTTTGACTCTTCCCTGGAGGGTGTTGTATGATCTCAGGAGCGTCCGTCAGTCACCTTGGCGGTCGGCAAGCTGAGTCTTGCAGCACAGAAGAGGGTTGAGCAGCTGCAGACTCACTTGATTGGCATATACATGCCCACGCCTGGAATATCATGCTTGTCATGCATAGGTTCACTCAGTTTAGAATTGAGAATGGATAAGAAGTATTAGAGCTCGCCCTGGCTGGTTTGACTCAGTGGCTGGAGCATCGGCCAGAGAGTCCCGGGTTCGGTTCCTGCTAGAGGCACATAACAAAATAAATTAAAAAAAGAAGTATTAGACCTCAACATACACAAAGGCACATATTTGGTTGAAAAGGAGGATAATTGTGCAGTTATTAACTTTCATCAGATTTTGACAGTGGAGGACCGTTCGTTAGTTCTTATTTAAGAAGTCGGGGGCTTCATAGTTCCAAACCTGTTAATGCCTCAGCGTCATTAAGGGCAGCTAAGTCTGCCTGGCCGGTGTGGCTCCGTGGATGGAGCGCTGTCCCATGGACAGAGAGGTCCCGGGTCAATTCCCGATCAGGGCACATGCCCAGGTTGCAGCCTTGATCCCTAGTAGGGGGCGTGCAGGAGGCAACCGATCGTTTCTCTTTCACATCGATGTTTCTATCTCTCTCTTCCACTCTCTCTAAAAAATCAATAAAAACAAAAGCACCTCCTCACCCACCCCTGGCGTTATAACATCCGGTATCACTGCCCCTTCATCCGGTATCACTGCCCCTCCACGTAGCGTCCGATATCGCTGTCCCTCCATCCGGTATCGCTGTCCCTCCATGAAGACAGATGCTGGTACATGTCATCGGGAGGGGATTCTCCCAACATCGAGCTCTTGGCTCAGGCAGCAAAACTATGCTTTAAAACAAACAAACAAAAAAACAACTTGAACAAACTTTCCTAAACCAAGATCTTTGCTCTCAAATTGCATAACATTTCATTTGCGAACTCATTCAGAGTAATACGATGGTCGTAGTTGGGGTGTCCGGGAAAGGACACATTGGCAGAGGAAGAGTTATTTGTTTTGTTTTGCATCCACATTTAGATTAGAAATGGAATACATCAGGGAACTAACTATCAGTAAGAAAAACTACAACTTGATAAAGTTATATAATGGAAAATTCTAGCTGATCCTAGGATTAGACACTGAAAGTTTCCCATAATCCTAATGGTTTAAAGGAGTCAGTCAATCTGTGTGTCCCTCTCTCCTCTGGCTACTCTTAACACCCAGGGGGTGTCCTGATAGGCTATTTTCTATGCTGTACACACAGACACACACACACACAGTTTTTAATGGACTCATACAATTCATGGGGGTGGCACTTTCTCACATGATACCATTTCGCGGAGGTTACATAGTCTACCCATCATTCGTCCTTCTCCATCTCAGCACGACAGCATTCAGGACCACCTGCGGCTTGCCTTTGGGAAGGACCCAGCCTGCACGGGTGTGTTGCGCACACGGCTCGCCTGTGCCCTTCCTCTGTGCAGCCAGGGCCCGGGCAGGGCTGTCGGCGTGTGGGAAACGCACGGCTCGTGGATACAGATTATATAGTGAGATTTCTAGGCTGGTATTTTATTGTTTATTCCCAGTGTCACCGCTTTTTTCTTATCGCTTCGAAGAAAGGTGTGGCGTTTCCCAGTGGTTCTCTGAATCACAACGAGGTAGCAAGTATGGGGTTTTCAAGCAGCTGCTCCGACTCCCGGTGTCGTAACTGCATTCTTGCTCGGAGAACCAGGCCGTCTCCCGGGTTCCTGGTGGAGCGGTTCTGAAATGGCCCCTGCCGGCGTGCCCTGCCGGCGCCGTGGCCCCCGTCCTCGTGGGTGTGCTCGTGGGTGTGCTCGTGGGTGAGCGCGTGGGTGAGCTCGTGGGTGAGCTCGTGGGTGTGCTCGTGGGTGAGCTCGTGGGTGAGCTCGTGGGTGTGCTCGTGGGTGTGCTCGTGGGTGTGCTCGTGGGTGAGCTCGTGGGTGTGCTCGTGGGTGTGCTCGTGGGTGAGCTCGTGGGTGTGCTCGTGGGTGAGCTCGTGGGTGAGCTCGTGGGTGTGCTCGTGGGTGAGCTCGTGGGTGTGCTCGTGGGTGTGCTCGTGGGTGAGCTCGTGGGTGAGCTCGTGGGTGTGCTCGTGGGTGAGCTCGTGGGTGAGCTCGTGGGTGTGCTCGTGCGTGAGCTCGTGGGTGTGCTCGTGGGTGAGCTCGTGGGTGAGCTCGTGGGTGTGCTCGTGGGTGAGCTCGTGGGTGTGCTCGTGGGTGAGCTCGTGGGTGAGCTCGTGGGTGTGCTCGTGGGTGAGCTCGTGGGTGTGCTCGTGGGTATGCTCGTGGGTGAGCGGGGCAGGGCGGCGCCGGCAGCAGAGTGGAGGCGCCAGGCTGAGGGCTGCCGCTCTGCCCTGTTGGATCGGTTCCTTCCCTAGAGCGTGGCGATATTTTAGAAATGAACGAAAGCGGAAGGTAAGAAGTGATTAGGGTTTTCCCTCCTTCTGTAGTCAGAAGTGTGGTACTGTACGCCCACCTGCCCCTGCAGGCTGAGTCCTGTCCGTGTCCCCGGCATCCTGTGTATACGGAGCGCGGACGTCTCTGGGTGCGACCTCACGGGCTGGGCGTGCTTTCCGGCGTGCGAGGGTCCGTGTGCTGGGTGTCGTGGACATGATGCCTCTCACCGGCTCCTGCACGGGCCCGCCGGCTTTCACAGTTCATTCTGGTGAAGCCTCGGTCCCCCCTGAACCGTGAGGACGTCAGGTTACCCACAGGACAGAGCCCAAGGTCCGGTCCAGTCTTCCCCATCCTCAGTCCACCCTCCGTCCTGCGAGTCTTGCACCACCTCCCAGACCCCTGGTGCTCCGGCCCCTTCACATTGTCCGTCCGTTTCTAACAGATCCTATGCAAAAGTTGTAATTCATCAGAATCTTTTCTGTTTTGCGTCTACTTACAAAGCCCGTCCCGCCATAACCACACTGCTGTTGCCCAGTTTGTGCCCTCATGAACCCCCTTCCCTGCTGACAGGTCATGCTGTAGAACCCGCTCAGGTGCCCCTTTCTTTCCTTCGCCTCCGGTCCCTCCTCTGGGTGTATTATTTGTCATTTCCTTGTGTTCCTGATGACTGTGGGCCCTGGGAGAGCAGGGACCGTGTCATTGTGTGCCGGACACAATGTATCAGCTCTCCTAATAAACGTCTGCTGGTCGCACCAGCCACTTTTGTCCAAGCAGTTATTTTGACATATGGTCTTTATTTTATTACAGAAAGAGATTTCTATAGTTCTCGAAGACTGAAGACCATGTAGGAGTTATTTTTGCACAACGTACTTAAATAGTCAGTGTTAAGGACGTGAACTTCAATGTGATGATGATGATTAACACCCTTTCATTGAATTTAAACCCAGCCTCAAGGGTGTTACACATTTGGAGTTTGGAGCACATTTTTAAATAACCTCAGACTCTGACCTAAATGATAAGGACAGGAAGTGTGGTCTGAGAAGGCACCGCCCCGGTCTGTCTGCCTCCCCCACGAAGCTCTTTTCTGGGTGTCTCAAGTCTCATGGTCTCAGAATTCCACGTGTCTCTCAAATTCTGTTTCATAGACCTAATTTCTCTCTGTGCTACCCTGATGTCATCATACCATGTAAACATAAGGCAATTTTCATACATTACTGTCAGAAAACCTTTGTAAAACACGCATTTGATCCTCGCACTTATCTGCGTCAAACCCTCCGTGTCCCTACGTTGCCCTCAGGATGACTTTCCCGTTGCTGACGTGGAAACGGTATGACATCTTTCTTTCCTTCCTTCCTTCATTCATTTACTTATTGATCTTTGATTGATCCCCATTTATTTTTCATTTATTTGTTTCCCTTTGATTGGCCCCTGCTTATTTGTCTGTCCATCTGTCTGTCCGTCCATCCATCCAGCCCTCCAACCCTCCATCCATCCTTTATCCCTGTTTATCTTTCGGCTCCATTTCTTGCCACTCCCCTTTGCCACCCGTGTTTCCTGTCACCTCCGAGGCTTGCCAGGGGCTCCTTCGTCCGTGTGGAATCCCTGACCCTCAGACTCATCCTCGTGGGTGATGCGTGCACAGGTCCTTTTGACCTTCAGCTTAACCTTCATCTCTGCCACCAGCGTGTGAGCCCCGGGAAGGCAGAGGCTCGTCCCTTCTGGTCCGGTGCGGAGGTCGCGGGCACTCCGTCCATACTTCTGCATCATAAGTTAAAGACTCGGCTGCCCAGCAGGTGTCCCCAGCCCCTCACACAGGGCCTGGCACGGAGCCCGGCGCCTGGTACTTATGAATGACTTAACATCAGTGGCAATTACTCAAACCATTATAATTGCTCCTACTTTTTCTTCTCTTTGAATATGGGACTTTTTGGGGGGAAGGTTTTCACATAAACTTTCTTACGTGAACCTCTTACGTGGCAGAAAAAGTGTTTCTGTGAAGCTGCGTCTCCCGGCTCCTATTTTATTTTGAACCGTTATTTGAATAATACCCAGCAATGCCGTAAAATCACCGTGCTGCACTGTTTCAAGTAAATAAACTAAAAGAGAAACGGCTCCCAGGCTGCCAATTTTTAAATGGCGGCCTATAAACTCCTTGATTCTTTGTGCCATCCACACAGGAATATTATTATAGCAATGTTCTTTTTAATTATAGAAAGAATCAGTTACTTATTGCTCTGTGTGCAAAATACCTTCACATATTCACAAAAGCACCTATTCAGCGAAATGATCGAGCTGAAACGGACTTAGGAAGACCAGGCAAGGAGGGTCCACCCCATCTGGGGAGGAAGGGACACTGGAGAACCTGGCGTTCAGGTCTCAGGGCCTTGAGATGTTGGAACTGCGTTTGGCATGAAACCTGTCCCACGGGAACTGACGGCAGACACCTGTGAGCCGAATGAAATGGGAGCACCTCTGTGAAGGCAGTGGTGGCCTCATCTGACGAAACGGCCTACAGTTCACAAATAAGGAAAATGTTTGCTTTCTACAGGAATAGATAAATGACTGTGATAACTTTTAAGATCTCTAACTACAGGTGCCATTAAAGCCCTTGCATTTTTTCAAGTATAAGGGCTCAGCTCCAAAGAGGTAAAATAAATTGCCGAGTTCATTGAGCTAGCTAATTGCAGAGCCATGATTAAAATCTAGGTTTTCTGCCCTGGCTGGTTTGGCTCAGAGGTTAGAGCGTCGGCCCGTGGGCCAGAGAGGCCCAGGTTCAGTTCCCGCTAAGGGCACGTACCTCAGTTGCAGTTTGTCCCCAGCCTCAGTTGGGGTTGTGTGGGTGGCAGCCACTCGATGTGTCTCTCTCGCATGGATGTTTCTCTCTCTCTCTCTTCCTCCCTCTCTCCCTCCTGCTCTATCTGAAGATAAATACAAAAATGTCCTCAGGTGAGGATAAAATAATAATAATAATAATAAATAAAATTTAGGTTTTCTAATTTTTTTTAGTACAATGTTCTTTTTAATTTTTTTCTTTATTGATTTTAAAGAGAGAAGAAGGGAGAGGGAGAGAGAGATAGAAACATAACATGGATGAGAGAGAACATTGGCTGCCCCCTGCACGCCTCCCGCTGGGGATCAGGCCCACACCCGGGCATGTGCCCTGACCAGGAATCGAACCAGCAACTTCTTGGTGCATGGGTCGACACTCAACCACTGAGACACACTGGCCAAGATATTATTTTATTATTATTATACATTTTTCATAAATGAATGTGTTGGGTTCTATAAAATTAGATGAAACTTGAATGGATGAGACAAAGAAAAGTTCTTAGGGGAAACAGTTATGTTAATACAGGGTGGGACAAAGTAGGTTTACAGTTGTGGGTACATGAAACAGTTTACTCTTATATTATTTATTAATTGTATCATTTTCTGTATGAACAGCTGTAAACCTACTTTTGCCCCACCCTGTCCATAAGCGATGGCACTTTGAATATGTGACAGGTGGTCCTGCCTTTTATTTTGTGAGATCAGTGGGAACAGGAAACCCGTTGTACCTGCAATAATTTTCCCTTTGTCCCTAGAATTACAAAAGAACCACCAAAGTTGCCCTTCCAGCCATTTTTTCTCGGTGCAACTTACATCACACCGCTACCACACACTCACACACACAGACACACACAGACACACAGTTACAACTCAGACATACAGTCACACAGACGCACACAGTTACAACTCAGACATACAGACACACAGTTACAACTCAGACATACAGTCCCACACACACACAGACACACACAGACAGACACACAGTTACAACGCAGACATACAGTCGCACACACACACAGACACACAGTTACAACTCAGACATACAGTCACACAGACACGCACAGACAGACACACAGTTACAACTCAGACATACAGTCACAGACACACAGTTACAACTCAGACATATAGTCACACACACACAGACACACACAGACAGACACACAGTTACAACTCAGACATACAGTCACACACACACAGACAGACACACAGTTACAACTCAGACATACAGTCACACACACACCATGGCTACGGCACTCCCTCCAATCTCCAATTGGAGGAAAAAAGGTGAAACTTCAGTGTTGTAGAATTTATTTAATTAATTTTAGACTGAAACAGAGGACTCCTTCTTCCAGGGCGTCCTTAGTGTTTGTCTGAGCAAACAGGCCGTGACAGGAAGCGGGGGCGGGTGTGGGGGAAGAGGGAGCAGGCACCCACTCTTGCCGGGTTGTGTGTGGTCATGCCTGGGAAGTCCAGAAGAGAATAAGTTACAGAAATGCATGAAAAAGCACTTCTTAGCATTGCTACCCTAAGGGAGGGCTAGAATGTGAGGTGTTTTCCAAAATTATCCGACCTGCGGCAGGACGCGTGTGGGAAGCTGTCTCTGGTGGGTCTGCAGACATGGCAGGACCCGTCTGTCCTTTGGAGACGGATGACCTGGTGGGCACATGTCTACATGGCGCATACGTATCAACATCTGTGTTGATGCCAAAAGTATTTACCGGCTTGATCAAAGCTGTCAGAGTATGCTACACACACACACACACACACACACACACAGCATGTTTCTTTGTCTGTCTGTCATCTGATGATCTGAGTGACAACCATAATCTTATATTCAAGCAGTTTACATGTTGAACATAATGTGTTGCTGGATTTGACAAATAAAATTTGTGTGTTTGGGGTTATGTTTTAAAAAATATTTGAGGCAACACCTAAAATACCTTCAATCAAGGTATTAGATATATTTCCCTAGCAGCCCTTACGGTTACAAAAACGAATTCTTCACGGTTTCTGGTCTGTACATCCCCACGGAAGCTGGACTACGCCCCCCTCCTGCGAGTCGGGCAGCCCCCTTGCATGCCCCCGGGGTGACCGAGTGCCGGGTGCCGCGGCCCCTGGGCCCGTCTCGGAAGGCTTGAAGAGAGGTCTCCGTGTCGGGCAGTAGCTCCTGGTCAAGAGTGCTCCCAGGTGGCCTGTGTAAAGAGGACATCTCCGTCAAGGCCACTGTCCTCTGGCATGACGTCCCTGTGCAGATGCCTTATAAGAAGGGGATGGTTTCACACTCTCAACTTCTGAGCACCGGCCTGGAGCCCAGCTCTGCGCCATGCGCGTGTGCGTGGGTTCTGCGCAGTTCACGCGGAATCCGTCCATCTGCGTGCCGGCCGTGGGTGCCGCAGCCGACACCCCCTGAGAAATGTGGGCTGGAGCCAGAGGTGCTTCCGATGCATGTGACGTTCTGCATGGTCACACACACACACACACACATACACACACACACACGCACACACACACCCCGGGAAAGCGGAACTGAGCCGCTGTTCCGAGCTCTCGGGAGTGGAACTTGCTGGGGTTTGGGACACGGCAGCGGAGGACAGAGACTGTCCTTGCCCACTCGGCTTCTGTTCCCACTTTTCCGTTTTCCTTCTAAGACCTAGACTTTCAGATGGTGTGAAGACAAGTGAAGAGTCAACTCCACTGCGCACGAGAAAGAGAAAGAACAGGGCACGTGGGGCGGGGGGCCAACCGATTGGGTGCGGAGGATGGGAAGGGCAGTGGGGCTCTGGGGTCACGCACCCAAGTGTGCCTCCCTCCTGCCGTCATTGCTTCAGAAATGGTGACCGCGGCGTGTGTGCTGCAGTAACCGCTGACGCAGTGACGTGGTTTGTCTCCTCCCGCCCCCAGGACTTCCTGCTGCAGATACTCACCGTGTTCCGCATCCTGATACGCCCCGAGACGTTCCCCAAGGACTGGACCGTCATGCGCCTGGTGGCCAACAAGTAAGATGATTCCACTGATGATACTAAAAGCTCGTCACCTGGGGGTGGAGCCGAGTACAGGACGCTGTTTGAGTTCGAGCTCGAAACCCCCAAGGCCTGGCCCCTCCTCTCTGCCTCTGAATGACCTTCTCTTGCTCTGTAAAAAGTTCATGGCTATTTGTTTGAAATAGGTGATACATGAATCGGTGCAAAAATCAAACAGGAGAACGGAGGGTGCGCTGAGAAGGCCCCGCTCCTTGTCTCTCCCCTGCCTGTAGGAACTGCTTGTTCGTTTCTGACTTGCACGTACATGGTCCCTGCATCAGGGAGTCTGTCGGAGAGCCTTGCAGGGAGCAAAGTATACACACTCTTCTGCACACGGCTCTTGGCTTCAAGAGTTTGACACTCTCTCCACAGTAATTCATACAAATCCCCTCATTCTTTTCTGTTTTTTTTTTTCCCCTTTTGTTTTACAGCTATGTAATATTCCATTGAATGGATGTACCGTAGTTTATTTAACCAGCTCTGTTGCTGGACACTTGGGTCATTTCTGATGTTTCTTAATTCATTTGAACTGATCAGACGACACTAAGCATCTGCCACGTGCTGAGCCCTGGGGATGATGTGGGGCCCTGGAGGTGCACACGTGAATGTTGAGGGGCCTTTCGGACACCTCATTGGTGGGGCCCGTGGAGAGTCAAAAATAGTGCTCTGAGGGACGTTTGGAACTGGAGAGACATATTGGGGAACTGAATGTAAAGTTGTATCTCCGCAGGGAGTTGATAAAACGAGCTTGTGTGAAGCATATCCCGCAAAAAACATGCAAGGATCTGAGGTCCGCACTTGAGGGAGCAGGAGCCAGGGAAGGAGACGGGGTCAGGGGGCAGGGCCGCACGTCCGGAGAAGGTCAGGGTTTACCTGCTCGCTTGTTTCCTGCCTCGGTCATCTCAGGATGCAGAATGAGGACGAGTTCTGTGGGAAGCTGGCCTGATGCTCAGGTCCGTGCTCGGAGTCCACCCTATTTCATAAGCATTCTTTCCTTCAAGCCCACAGATGCTTGTTTCTCCTTCCTCTCCTCCGCCCCAGCACCCTCGTGCTCAGGATGCTGGTGGGATGCTGCGGGTCCCACAGGCCAGAGACACCCGTGTCTCCCAGGTGCCCGGGCAGCGTGGCGGGAAGAGCCTGGGAACATGGGATCGATCGTGATTAGCTAGGCCAAGCAGGACGCGTGCCGCCCGACGCAGGTGCGGACAAGAGGTGTGGACACGGCGGCCCAGCACCGTGACGTGACGGACAGTGTGGGAAGCAGGTTGCATGCCCCATGCGTGCAGAGCAGCTTCTCCATTCGGAGGATGCACGACACCCCCAAAGTGGTTCTCTTCAGAATTCAGCACGTCCAGTGTGAGATCTGTGAGGAGAATCAAATGTGTCTTCGTCTGGATGTTTGACGCTGCAGATTTACATGGGAGTTGTCAGTCCCGTATCTGGGCTTATTACCAAACATCGCCTGGGGACCCAGGGTTGGGGGGCTGTGAGGGGATCCAGGGAGCCAGAGGGGGTGTCCAGGGGGCCGACACCATCATCCACAGCAGCGGCTTTTGGTCATTCTGCCTGCCCTGTGCACAGAGGGACGCTTTGACTTGAGTTAGAATTTTTGGTGGCAGGAATTCAAACTGGAAGTAAATTTGACATTTTGTTTTTTACATACCCAGGCTCTGCTTCAGCTTCCTGAAACCATGGCAACCATGTGGCTTTTTTGATAATAAATGCCATCTCTCTCTGTCCTCCCCCCCACTCCCCCCCAAAAAGATCTCTGTTCTGTTTATGAAACGTCACAGTCCCACGAGTGGGGAACACACCTAACAGTCTAGATCCTGCTTTTGCGTAAACATGTCACGTTCAACATTTTCATCTGCAGCGTCGCCAGAAAGGACCAGGATGTCGTTAGAGACGGGCCGTATGTAATGCATCTAATCAGGCTGCTCCCGTGGCAAAGCCGAGAACAAGGCCATTAGGCGCTGCCAACGGCAGTGATCTTGTTCCGTCGCCTCCCACGTCTGTGCCCACAGGAATGGGCACCGTGTTCCCACCACGTGGCTGTGGCCAGGCCCCGTCACTCGCAGGCAGGACTCCAGGGCCTGGGGCGGCACCTGCCAGGTGGGAGCAGACCCGCTGCTCTGTGCTGGTCCACACCCCCTTCCTCCCCTCCCGCCCCACCCTGGCCAGTCTCACCCAAACCGTGAGCGCACACGAGACTCTTGCTTCATAAATGAGAGGCGGCCCAGAAATAACCCTTCAAATACTTGAACTTTATCTGTAAAAAATATCCACTTCTATGAGATCGGCAGGAGAATACATTTCCCAAACGCGTTGAAGATCTACTACAGATGTTGAAGAGCAGGGAAGGAGGAGGCTCCCGCCCCGCTCCAGTGCAGACACCTTGTAGGGCCGAGTCTCGTCCCTGGAGTGGACATAGCCTCCTCCGACAGAACGTGACCAGCGCCCCTCGCAGAAGCGTTCGAACGCCAGCTCCCACTTTCCGGCCGGTCCGTGTGCTCAGCGCATGTCGGTGGAGAGTCCCTCGCTGAGAAGCCACCTTTGCACTCCCTTGGATAGCTCATCCCTCAGCATATATATTATTTTATGTGATGGCTCTTTCTCTCTGTGTTTTCAAGTAAGTTCAGTGCCCCTGACGTTCATCCGGAAGCTGTGTTGTCCCCGGTCCTGTGCTTCCCTGGTGAGGTCCCGCCGGAAGCTGCCCGGACCCCTGGGCGTAGGGGGTCTTCTGTGCGGTGCCACCTGAGCGGCTGCGCGTGGGGCGGTCACGAGGCGGGAAGCGCGGCCCCTCCCTTCTGCGTGCTCACAGAGCTGCGTCGGGGGGCCCCGGTTAGTTCCCGGGAGATGCTTCAGATGAGGACGAGCGCCCAATCCGAGAAAACAGGCACATAAGGGAGACGGAATCTAAGTACCGAAAATACAGGCCACTTTGAGACGGGCTTCCTGCCACCGCCTTCCCATACACGTTGCAAAGTGCAGGACAGAAATAGTCTCGGCTTCGTGCCCGTTTCCAAGGAGCTCACCTTCCGCAGGCGTACTTCCCGGGCAGGGCGATGCCCACTGGTCCTGTGCGAGAGCGCGGGCCCTCTCCGGGGTCTCCCGGACGCCCGCCGGCCCTGTGCGAGAGCGCGGGCCCTCGCCGGGGTCTCCCGGACCCCCGCCGGCCCTGCGCCAGAGCGCGGGCCCTCTCCGGGGTCTCCCGGACCCCCGCCGGCCCTGCGCCAGAGCGCGGGCCCTCCCAGGGGTCTCCCGGACCCCCGCCGGCCCTGCGCCAGAGCGCGGGCCCTCCCAGGGGTCTCCCGGACCCCCGCCGGCCCTGCGCGAGAGCGCGGGCCCTCCCAGGGGTCTCCCGGACCCCCGCCGGCCCTGCGCGAGAGCGCGGGCCCTCCCCGGGGTCTCCCGGACCCCCGCCGGCCCTGTGCCAGAGCGCGGGCCCTCCCCGGGGTCTCCCGGACCCCGCCGGCCCTGTGCCAGCGCGCGGGCCCTCCCCGGGGTCTCCTGGACCCCCTCCGGCCCTGTGCCAGAGCGCGGGCCCTCCCCGAGGTCTCCCGGACCCCCGCTGGCTTCACACATTCCGTACATTTCCTCTTGTTCTCTTCACTAAGCTCTGGACTGTTTAGTTGACTGTTTCCTTTAACCAATTTGGCTTTCAAATGGCATCTGGATAGCAAATAGGAATTATGGAATCAGAGTTTCTGAGGCAGACCAGCCGTGCCCTCATTGACCCGTTCATTCGGGAAATGTTGCCCAATGCCTGATGTACGAAATAAATGCATGAGGAGAAAGAGCACCTTTCTGTGAGATGTTTACGCATCCTGCTCTGCGCTGGACTACGATAGGTAGGCTCTTTCCTGAAGGAGTGAAGCCTGAGCCCACAGTGATAGCAGGTTTTGACATAAACAGTCAAGAAGAAGGTTCTTGACAGCCGGAATAGCATATGCAAAGGCCCTGTGGTCAGAGTGAGTATGGCACCTTCAAGGAACTGAAAGACTGCTTAGTGTGGCTAAAATATAAAGAGGGAAGAAACCAGCCAAGAAAGACGAGGCTGAAAAAAGGAGACAGGGCCCGGACATTGGGGGTGAGGGGGGGCAGAGAGACGAGAGAAACCAGGAGGGACCAGTGAGGAGCTTCACACAGCAATCAGGTAAGAGAGGGTGATGGCCTGAGCAGGTGGATGTCGGTGAAGGTAGCGAGAAAATTGATTTTGAAGACAGGGATGACAAGACTCGCAGATGACTGGGTGGGAGAGAAAAAAGGAAGCTGGCCCTTAGAATTTTGGCCTGAACTGCAGGGCAGATGGTGATGTCATTCGTTTAGGCGGGAAATGCTGGGAGAGGGGCGGCTTTGGGGGAGGGGAGGTGAAGACTCCTGCGTTGAACCCCAGTGTGAGAGGATGTGAGATACCCACGTGGAGATGTGGACGGGGAAGCCAGGTTGCATGGAGCCCAGGGAGGAGCTCAGGGCTGGAGATGGGCGTCGCAGGGTCAGAAGTGTGTGGGCTGTCTGAGCGCACCCAGGAAGGAAGGACAGACCGAAAGGACAGACGTACCTGACCTGGGCCTTGGAGCAGGCCAGCGCCGCAGAGGTCGGGATGCTGAGCAGCAGCCAGGATGGAAGGGGAGACCAGCGGAGTGTGACAGCCCCTAAGAAAGGCTCCTTGCAGGAAGGAGAGTGGGAGTCCGGGATGATGCAGACTGACAGTTGGTCCTGGGACTTGGCAGCACGGTGGTGCAGACACTGGAGCCCTGACAAGGGCGGAAGGCGGAAGCCTCGCTGGATGCGTCGAACAGATAAGCAAATGGCAAGTGCAGGCGGCTCTTTAGAGGGCGTTGTGTTGGAGAGAGCAGAGACAAGGAGCTTGAGTGACCTATGGAGGAGGTTTTAGGAGGTGAGCTTTCTGTAGGGCAGGGACAGTGTAGCTTACAGAGACTTCCTAAATCCCAGAATACGGGGGCGCCTGGGAAACTTGGGGCGGTAGTGTTGATTTCCGGGGCAGCTGTTCCTGTTATGTAAACCTTTGACCATGCTCTGCCCACAGAGCATGTTGTCCACCGTGATCCCTGCATTCCTTTGGAGATCCCGGTCATTCAGGGGCGCGGACGTCCAGCCCGCCGGCCGTAGGAGGCCCTCGAAGTGAACACCAGCTGACATCCCAGGCCTCACTAAATCAGCCTGACCACTACGGCAGGCTAAGGGTTCAGTCGATCATTCTGTACGGCCTGCGCATGATGCTGTAAATATCCAAATGGCCCTTGGCAGAAAAAAGTCCCCCACCCCTGATGGGAACAGATTGCAGTCCTCTCTGGCTGTCGAAGCGAAGTGCTGAGATCTGAAATGTCCCTGGATTCAGAAACTGAGCCATGAGTCAAAGAAACACAAAGGAGCCATGTGGTTTTGGGGAAGTTGGAACAAGTAAAGAAAGATTCCTAAACGCCACAGGTATATACCACAATGAAGGAGCAATCATGTAAAAATGCCTTTAACTGGCTTGGGGACCTGTGGGCCAGGAAACTGACTGCCCAGTTCCCATGAAACACTGGGGGCTGCCTCGGTGGCTGAAGTCACACACGTAACGGGGAGGCACGTGAAGTGGAGTCATTGCCGTGTGCAAGTCTCCTTCTTAGAGGTCTTGCCCCTCATCCTGGCAAACATGTTCCATCCACACCCCTGCCACCTTCGACACGTGTCTTTTACTGAACAGGAAAAAGTGAAGAGCAATGTGTGCGTTTTGTTTTTTACGTGATGGGTCCACGCGGAAATCAGTTCATGGCCACGGGCTGTGATTGCTCAGTGTTTCTGTGTGTTTCTCGGCACTTCCGCAGATCCTTGTGAAGTTATAAAAAGTGGCCTATAATTTCCTCAATGTAATAGAAGCTGCACGAATACGAAATTGGACAGTGAGGGGTGCTGGCAGCATCGATTCTGTGGACATGTCCCTCGTCATCTCTCAGGTTCATCATGGATCCTGTAGCCTTTGCAGGGCTCAGTATTTCTCAGAGCCCGCGCCGCTCCTGGGCCCCGTGCCTCATGAATGAGCCTCCGCGGCAAGAGCATGAGGAGTTCGGTCCGCAGCAAGGACACGTGCCCTGTTGAAGAGCCGTAAAAGTAGCCATTGGATGAAAATTCTAGAAGCCGGGAGAAGGGGAGGCAGAGCTTGTGGGAGGAGTTTTCTGACTCAGGCCTCTCTCGAGCCAAAGGGTGGGCGGTGGGTCAACAGCATGAGTGTCCCCCGGAGCTGGTTAGAAATGAGGATGGCAGGCCCACCCCTACTCTGCTCTCACCTAGATCACCGGGTGCCCGTCCGAGGCTGAGCAGCTGTGTCTGGCTTGGGAGGCGGGACTTTTGCTCCGAGGTTCAGGGCCCAGCATGTAGTAGCCAGCGGGTCATCCTTCCCCAGAGCGGCCTCTCGCCGGAGAATGGAGCTGGTTGGCTCCTTTCCAGAGCGTTAGGCTGTGTCATGTTTCACTGCCACCAGGGACTGTCTCTGAACAGCCACCCACGCTGGAGCTGTGGGCCAGAGCTGGATCTCCACGGAAAACTCAGGTGGAGTGGGACCGTGTGTATGTCTCTGTTGCATGTTCAAGCAGAAAGTTCGTCCTTATAATCACGTATTAAGGACGCAAAATGTCTCCGTTAAACTTAGAGGGCCAGTGATCTCCCACCGGGTGCTCAGAAAGGACCTGCTCCCTTGCCCGACGGCTTCTGTGTTCTGACCATTAAGCGTCAGTTTCATGTAGTAAGGTTCTCGAGGACGCTCCTTCGGGGCCTCCAGATTTGTTCATTGTCAGCGTTGACTTGGGCAGTACCGATAGGGGATTGCCACTGCGCACAGTTATTTGCAGGTGACTTACCTCTTCGCTGTGAGATTCACGTCTACGTTTTGGGGGCTTGGAGACACCATAGGACTTGCCCGTCTCGTGGGCTTTACTGGTACTGAACATCCGTAGGCAGTTTCCTTGAAAGAGGAACTGGCGTGTCAAGTGTACACGCGTGTACCACGCGCCTGCTCCCGGTAGAACAGCTGCCCCCGGAACGGGCATTTTCTTCTCCGTCCCTTTCTCTGCCCCGAACGTCACCATCTGCCTCCTCGGGTCTCCCTCCCCACCAGAAGGCTGTCAGGGTGAGTTTCATAGCAGATAACAAAAGTGAACTTTTATGTCCTTCACAGACTAGAAATATTTCTCTAATTAGTAAACACCCTTCTAATCTGCATGTTAGCAGTAGGGTAAGCAGGGCGGGGCATTGGTGGAGGTCTTGTTCCAGTCTGGTTTACTGAGGGTCACACTGCTGCCCCTTCGAGTCCAAACCCACGACCACAGTGGGACCGAGCGGGACCCGGGCGCCGTGGTCCAGCACCTCTCAGAAGGCCTGTCACCCGGCCCCCACGTTTATCTCCAGGCCTTTGAAGAACGGCCCACCCTGTTTCCATAGAATGCTCTACCCGATGTGACACGAACCAACCGGAAATGCACTCGGTTTTAAATATACACACTCAGAGCTACCAGCAGCAGCAGATTTCGGACAAATTACGTAACTCTAGAATTAATCGAGCATGCCCGGCGATGCTTTTTTAAATCTCCCTAGAAGATGCATATGGCTGCATGCGTCCCCTCTGCTAGGCTCCCCCTCATCTCTCCAGCCCGGGTGCCCCACGCTGTGGGTCGCTGGGACACTGTCGGCGTCACAGGGCTTGGGGCTGGGGGAGACAGTTGCACAGCCTGGCATCACTTCGGTCGGGAGGTCTTGCCACCACTGAGAAGGAGTCTGCCTTCCCTAGCTCTCCCCCTGACACCCTCGGCAGGGGAGAGCAGAGAGCAGAGTATGTGTTTTTAAAAAGTACGGTTTCTGCCCGGCTGGTGTGGTCAGTGGATGGAGCGTCGTCCCATGGGCTGAGAGGTCCCGCCCGGTTCGATTCCCGGTCAGGACACATGCCCGGGTGGCAGGCTTGATCCCCGAGGTGGGCGGGCATGCAGGAGGCAGCCAATGGATGTTTCTATCTCTTTCTCCCTTCCTCTCTCTCTAAAAATAAAAAATTAAAAATTAAAAAAAATCAATGAAAACCTATTTGAAAATAAATAGTATGGTTTCTTCCCTGTTGATCAAACTTGGGAAATTATATCCATATTAAATGATTTGCTTTGTTCAGAAAGTAATAAAAACATTATAAAACATCACGAGGTGAATATATTTCCATCTGAGTCATGAAGTCAGCTCTCTCTGTATCCTTACAAAGAACCTGACCTCAGGGATAGATTTCTTTCTTTTTCTTTTTCTCGTTTCCTTTCTTTTTGGCCAGGCATCTCTCTCTTTTAAAATTTCAAATGTGAAGAATTACCTAATCTTGTTTCGCAGGCTTACTGAAGAAGGTTTTCTTTGATCTTAGTTGCTTTTTCTTCTTATCTAATAAATGCTTTTCATTGGTGTGACGTTTCTAACTTACTGTGTATTCTTTTTGATCGCTAGCGTCATTATCACCACGGTTCTCTACCTGTCAGACGCTCTTCGTAAGAACTTCTTAAATGAAAATTTTGATTATAAGGTGAGTATCACACAACTATTCGACGTGGGCTAAAAGAGTTCACACAGCACTCAGGAAATTGTCTCATGTATGTTTTTTTCTCTTAATAAGAAGATAAATTTATTGCAGCTACCTAAAATTAATCTTGGGCCATCTAAGTTTTCATTGTGAATACTGTTAGAAGAGTTTTCACTCTATTTGTGAACAAGTTAGGACTATAATCTTGCTTACCCACCCGGTGGAAATTCTAGTGCTATCTCATTACCATAACTTTTAATTCTTGTTCTTCATATGACCCCTGTGCATGACCAAGGGGACTTAGAACATAAGGTTTTTAAGACATATCTTAAGGTAGAGTTTATATGAAGAAAACATTTGCAAAGTAATCCCATTGTTGCCTGTACATTTTCGTCTTCCCATTTTTTAGAATAAATTAATGAAAAGAAAAAACATGAAAGATTAGTAAGATTCTTTAAGGCAGTTGTACATCTGTAGTATAATGTCATGTGCCTGGGTCTCTACGCGCTCTTGAGAGCCTGTTCTTTCAATAGCAGATGGCAAAGAGATGGGCAGGGTTGTATTGGTGTTCCTGTTAATGACGTCTGTGTTTGGGGCATCTTTATTTCTTCTTCTTTTTTTTAAATAACATTTTTTACATTAAACATTATATAAAATGTCTTTGTTGGATAACTAGGAAATGCAGAAAAAACAACAACTCCACACAAATACAATAAGAACAATAGATTTTAATGGTTCATAATCTTTTTTTTTTTTTATCCTCACACGAGGACATTTTCCCATTTTTTTGTTCAGGTAGAGTGGGAGGGAGAGAGAGGAACAGAGAGAGGGAGAGAAACATCGATGTGAAAGGAACACATCGAGTGGCTGCCACCCGCAGGACCAACCAGGGCCGGGGATAAACTGCAACCGAGGTACGCGCCCTTAGCGGGAACCCGGGTCTCTCAGGACCGCAGGTTGACGCTCTAACCGCTGAGCCAAACCGGCCAGGGCTGGTTCATAATCTTTATATCATGCTTTATCATGATTAACATTACTGTTTCATAATCAGAGCGCTACTTTTTAATACTTAAGTTGTTTCTAGTATTTTGTTCTTACAAATTACTCTTTTTATGTACATTCTTACGAAATAAAACTTGACCTATGTCCCTAATTATTTCTTTGAATAAATATATATATAAGTAGAATTGTTGAGTTAAAGGTTGTACCAATCATTTGATTATTTATCTACGCCAACACAGGAAGAGACCCCTTTTCTTTTGACAATTTGATATAAAGTAAAATCTTGTTTGCTCTCATTTGCATTTCTTACTAGTTATCAGTTATAGATTACTTACTAGTATTAATTATTGACTAGAATTCTTATTTTGTGAATTGTCATCCTGGACCTTTGTTCATTATTTTGTTAGGGTTCTATCATAGTTTTTATTTGTGAGAGCTCTTTATATATGAAAGATATTAATCCTTCTTAACATTTCTCCCATTTATTTTTAAAGTTTAGCATGGTATCAGTAGAGGATTCATTTCCTTTTGTCATAACCTACATGTTTTTGGTTAAGTTTATTGCCAGGAATTTTATTCTGATCTCTTTTTTTTTTTTGGTGGTATGTACCCCTAGCGCAAACCGAACCCAGGTCTCTCTGGTCTGCAGGCCGACGCTCAACCGCTGAGTCAAACTGGCCAGGGCTATACTGATCTCTTTCTGATGCTGTATGGGGATAAGAAAACTTTGATTCAAAAGAATTGTCTGGGCAGGGAATTTTTATATACTGTCTGAATTTAAAGTAATTAGCATTTCCAAAGAAGTGTGTGCTTTTTTTTTTTGGTTCTACATTAAAAAGAGTTCCAAAAAATGAATTCACACAGGAATAAAGTAATCTATCTCATACTTCTGCCTCCTTGGAGACTCCCAGGTTATTAGAAAAATAGAATATCTACCATTTAGTATATACCAGAGAGCTGAACCTGGGATACAGCCTGGAAGCAATAGAATAGAATAGTATTTATTTAGTTTACTTCTTTGTAAACTAAATGTAGAAAATGTAAAGCATATGTAACAGTAGAATAGGATAAGAAACCCCCGTGTACCTATATCCAGCCCCGACTGTGACCAATTCAGCACCAATCTGATCTCAACCATGGTCCATCCACTTACCACTTTGGTAGCAAATCCAAGTATCATGTCGCTTCACCTGTCAGTATTTCTGTAACACCACAGCATGTAAATATTTCCTTCTTGTTGTAGATCTGGGATTCCTACTTTTACCTCGCAGTCATTTTTATAAACCAATTGTGTCTGCAACTGGAGATGTTCACACCTTCCAAAAAGAAAAAGGTATTAGAAAAGTAAGTACCAGTGTGCAATCAGGTGGGAACAGGAGGCATGGTGGGCGAGCGTGGTGCCTTTTAAAGGGTGTTTAGTTCAAACGATTCCCAGGTCAGACATCCCCAACTGGGGGTTACAATGGAGAGGTAATGAGCAACAGGCCAAGAAGCAACCTTTCCTGGGAATTTTAATATTTTGAGCTGATTTAAACTTTTTTTTTTGTCCTCAGCTTTCCATGATTTAAAATTACTACCGAAGTGAAAATTATGAGACAAATCTGTTTTTACTAAAGGATTTATATTATTTGAATTAGAGGCATCAAGACATGTACATTAATCATCTTTAATTATACACATATTGCCTTTTAACTCAGACTGATAGATTTTACCCTAAAGAGACACAAACACGTCTTTGTCTTGGAGGCCTTGTATCAGGTTTGATTCTTGTTCTATTGCAGGTATGGTGACATGCGGGTAACCATGGGCTGTGAAATTTTCAGCATGTGGCAAAACCTAGGTAAGTGGCGAAAAGAGAAGCCATCTGCATTTCACAGCTCATCACTGTATTTTTAAGTGTCCGAACAAAGGGCAATTTACAGTGACAGCATTTGAAACCAAGTTTCTACATCAGTGAAAGTATCTATGCAAAATAATGACACTGTGGCATTGGATAGGGTTACAACTAACTCTTTAAATGGGTGTCTGTCTGCAAAGAGCCACCTTGTCTTTGTGAGTGTCATCATTATTGAACGATATATTTTATAATCTAGCATCGCTCCAATAATACACACAATTTTAGCAATGTGCTCGCCTTTCGGAATTGCAAAGTTTCTAGAACTCTGAATTGAGGCTGTGAACCATAACAACTTTAGATTAAACTTCATGAAAATTGAAGCATCACTTGAGCATCACTACTCTTTAAAAAACATAAAACCGTTGACCTATATCATGAAGAGTGTAGCCAAAGGATTAAAAAGCATCTGCCGTTGCTAAGAAACAATTAGATCCAATTGAGCTAACGGACCACAGCAGACAGAGTGCAATACTCCAGGAAACTGAAGGCACAGGTTGGGTTACATAGAAAAGAATCGTATTTGGAAAATAGACTATTTCAACATCTCATTGGCATGGGGTTTTGCTTATTTACTTATTTCATTTGGTATGTTAACTATGCACGTTTGTCGTATTTAGTCACTGCTACAGTGTGGTAAACCCTCTTCATAGTCTATTTATTTATTTTTTTATTCTCACCTGAGGACATTTTTCCATTTTTTGTTCAGATAGAATGGGAGGGAAGGAGGGAGGGGGAGAGAGAGAGAGAGGGAGAGAAACATCGACGTGAAGGGACACATCGAGTGGCTGCCACCCGCACGACCAACCAGGGCCGGGGACAAACTGCAACCGAGGTACGTGCCCTTAGCGGGAACCGAACCCGGGTCTCTCCAGACCGCAGGCCGAGGCTCTAACCGCTGAGCCAAACCGGCCAGGGCTCCTCGTGGTTTATTAAAGCGACGAACCTGTTGGATTGGATTTGTCCTGACCTGGAGGGATCTTGGCTCACAGCTTGGCGATGGCAGGGTGCATTTTCTGGAAGTGAAAATAGGAACACTGTCCTCTGACTTCCTCTCCTGTCACAGCGTGGTGTTTCCCCAGGACGTGTGCAGTTCTCGGCCACGCAGAGCGACTTGAGGAAGCCTGTCATGCAGTGACAGCTTGGCATTCCCTGCCGCCTGGTCCCTGCGGGGGAAGGGCGCGCCCGAGCATGAGCTCCAGCTGTCTGAGGTCCATGGGGTCCTTGGAGCCGGCTCGGAAATAGCAGCCCTTTGTCTCACTGGGCGAGCCCCCCTCTGCGTGTTCATGTCCCACGACCCTTCGTGTCCTCGTTCTTCCAGAGGGGATCGAGGCCGGCGGTGTGTCCGTATTGCGCTCGGCATTGATTTAGGGAGATGCTCTGCGAAGAACACTGGGCGGAAACCCTTGCGTGGCTGTTTCTCTGGGCTCTGGTCCCAGCTCAGATGAGCAGGCCAGGGCGGAGTGGCCGGTACCGGAACGTTAGACACCGCGGTTTCCCCTCTGGGGTGGCCGTGGCATCGCCGTGTGTGGGTATTTGGGGTATTTCCAAGTCAACCTTTTTCGGACCCAGGACACCTGTGTGTTTAGGCCTAGCCCCCCGGCTTGCTCAAGAAGGCTTTACCTTTAGTCTCCCTAAAGTCATTGTATACGTCATCAACTTTTCTCCTCCGTTTTGTCTTTAAAAGATAAATATTTGTAACCCTCTGGGCTTAGGTTAAAGGATTTCTTCCTGTTCCCGGGAATCTTAGAGACTAAACCTCGATGCACATCCTGACCAGCAGCGTGTTGTTATGTCAGCGCCCTGGGGGTAGTGCTCAGAGCCCTGGGGGGTGCTCAGTGCCCTGGGGGGTGCTCAGTGCCCTGGGGGTACTCAGTGCCCTGGGGGGGTGCTCAATGCCCTGGGGGGTGGTGCTCAGTGCCCTGGGGGTACTCACTGCCCTGGGGGGTGCTCAGTTCCCTGGGTGGTGCTCAGTGCCCTGGATGGGGGTGCTCAGAGCCCTGGGGTGGTACTCAGTGCTCTGGGTGGGGGTGCTCAGAGCCCTGGGTGGGGGTGCTCAGAGCCCTGGGTGGGGGTGCTCAGAGCCCTGGGTGGAGGTGCTCAGAGCCCTGGGTGGAGGTATTTAGTGCCCTGGGGTGGTGCTCAGTGCCCTGGGGGGTGCTCAGTGCCCTGGGTGGGGGTGCTCAGAGCCCTGGGTGGAGGTGCTCAGGAGACCAGCCGCAAGCATCTCCCAGAAGCCTGTAAACAGGCAGGTGCTCGGGTCCCCCCAGGGCTGCTGGAACGGAGTCTGAGGGTGGGCACGGCACCCGGAGTTTCCGCACGCTCGCCAGATGCTTCGGAAGCTCCTGGTTCGGACTGAAAAGCGTTGCTGTGGGCGCCTCTGGCCCCTGCCCTTGTTGCCTGCCCGTAGCCCCGCCTGGCACAGCTCTAGCATCTGTGAGATGGGCCCATCGCCCTCATCACCCTCGGCTGCCAGCTCCCTGGGCAGAGTTCCGGCACCGGGCAGGAGGCAGTTTCCACGTCCTCCCGTGGTTTCTGCGTCATTTCCCCGAGTCGTGTCCTGGCTCTTCCGAGTCGCCCGAGCATCGGGTGACTTGTAAAGGCGAAACGAGACCTGGAAAACGTTCAGAAATGTGGAAGCCGCTTTTCCCATATATATTTTTATAAAGTAATAAGAGCCCTGGCCGGTTTGGCTCAGCGGTTAGAGCGTCGGCCTGCGGTCCGGAGAGACCCGGGTTCGGTTCCCGCTAGGGGCATGTACCTCGGTTGCAGTTTGTCCCCGGCCCTGGTTGGTCGTGCGAGTGGCAGCCACTCGATGTGTCCCTTTCACATCGATGTTTCTCTCTCTTCCTCTCTCTCCCTCCCACTCTACCTGAACAAAAAATGGAAAAATGTCCTCAGATGAGGATAAAAAAAATAAAGTGATAAGAAACATTAAGCATTTGGGGTACAATTTCAATGCCCCTTCTAGACCTTAAGTCAGCTTGTTACTTAGGAATATAAAAATACATTAGTCGTGGCGGGGAGGTAGGAGAGGGTTAGGGGGATAGACAGGGACGGAAGGAGACTTGACTTGGGGTGGTGAACACACAACACAACATACAGATAGTGTGTTATAGAATTTTACACCAGAAACATACAATTTTATAACCAATGTCAGCCCAGTGAATTCAATAAAAAGGGAAAAAACAAAATAAAATAAATACATTAGTTAAAATTTGGCTTACCTATAAATATATCATACTGATTTTTATTTTTTATAGATTCGTATTTTTTAACGGAACAGGCTAATTCAGTTGAACATAGTTCATGAAGCACTGGCTACATGCAAGTTATTTGGGGGGACACAGGGAAAGATGATCTGTTCCTGTTAGGAACTTAGTTATTTGCTCAGCTGGTGTGGCCCATGGACTGAGAGGTCCCGGTTCGATTCCCGGTCAGGACACATGCCCAGGTTTCAGGCTTGATCCCCAGTAGGGGGCGTGCAGGAGGCACATTGATGTTTCTCTCTCTCTCTCCCTTCCTCTCTCTTTAAAAAAAAAAATAATAATAAAAACACATATACATATATATTTATAAAAAGAACTTAGTTATTAAATGTTATATTTTAAACTCCCCTCCAGTGTACGTGGGAACAACTTGGTATAGACACACTCACCACGTGTTCGCAAAGCAGAAACACTGTCACGATTCCGCACACCGAGATCCTCAGTGGTTTTGGCAGAAACAGAGCCCAGCTTGAGAACAGGAACCGCTCAGGGCCGCGAAATGCCCTCGTTGCCCCCTGAGCCGGCCCAGTTGGTCCCTCGCCGACACCGGCTTTACTAGACAGTGTCCTGAAGTCATTGATGTTTACCTCCGAAGTGTGGCAAGGACTCGGTTCCGGGGTTCTGAGGACTGGGACACAAAGGCACGCCCAACTTAGCAGTTCTTCTGCTTCCAGACTTAGAGCTGCAGGGTGTTCAGATCCGATGACTGTTTAGATCTCCTGGGAGCGGGGGTCGCGGGGTCATTCTCTCCCCATTTGGTGGCTCCGCTGTGCTGCTCTCTTCCGTGGCCGCCCCCCCACTTCCGTGCCCCCCAGTTTCTCCACATCCCGCCAACACCTGCTAGTTTCTGTGTTGTTTCTTCAGAGTAGCCGTCCTAACGGGCATGAGGGGCTGCTTCCTGGCGTTTCGATCAAATAATTTCTTTTTAAAGAGTGAAGACCTAACAGTAATAGATAAACCGCTTTTCTTTTTTTCCTCACTTGAGGACATTTTTCCATTTTTTGTTCAGATAGAGCGGGAGGGAGAGAGAGGAAGAGAGAGAGAGAAAGAAACATCGATGTGAAGGGACACATCGAGTGGCTGCCACCCGCACGACCAACCAGGGCCGGGGACAAACTGCAACCGAGGTACGCGCCCTTAGCGGGAACCGAACCCGGGTCTCTCTGTACCGCAGGCCGACGCTCCAACCGCTGAGCCAAACCGGCCAGGGCTAAACCGCTTTTCTTAAATGTCCCTCTTTAGTATTTTCATTTTCTTGTTTTAAATTTTAACTTATCAACTGCCTGGTGTGAGTAACTGGTTGAGCGTCAACCCCTGCACCAAGAAGTCACCGGTTCGATTCCCAGTCAGGGCACCTGCCCAGGTTGTGGGCCGATCCCCAGTGCAGAGCATGCAGGAGGCGGCCAGTGGATGTTCTCTCTCATCCATGTTTCTGTCTCTTTCCCTCTCCCTTCCTCTCTCTAAAATCAATAAAGAAAAAATATTTTAAATTTTAATTTATCGTTTTTATTGGAAGTATAACAGATGTCCCCTTTTGTTCCCCCATTGAGACCCCCTCCCCCTCCTGGCCTTCCCACACTGTTGTCTGTGTCCATGGGTTACGCATATGTGCATATAAATTTTTTGGTTACTCTCTTCCCACCCCCACCCCCTTCCCTCACTTTCTAAGTCTAAGAACTAAAACTGTTGTGTTGAGAGAGGGGAGAAGGCATAGGTGTCCCTCCCCCAAATTGTATACGTTCGTACACACACTTTCTAGACTCGTCTGCCAGGAAGGAGGTCCATCCTCACCACTCTGTCCCACATTCGGCTTTCATTGTTCTGCTAGGTTCAGTCTCTTCCTATTTTTAGTTGAACTAACATTCTTACTAAATATAAAGGGGGCGCTTTCTTCCACATTTGCAAACACAGCATCTCGTAACCACTGTGGAAACACCAATGCTTCCCTCGATAGCTGCGCTGTGCGCATAAATCTAAAACTCCAGCCGCCCTACATACTTCCCAGCAGGACCACGCGGCTGGCAGTTAGAGGTGGCGAAGGTGTCGCCCTGGGGAAGGAGATCATTTCAGGGGAGGTGACTGTGCCTTTGCCATGAATGCTTTGCTCAAGACTGTGCTTTGCTGATTGGGCAGGAATGTGGTGTCTGTGGGGGAGAGCTGGACAGGTGTGCCCTGAGTCCGTGTCCCCAAAATGTGTTCTCAGCGGACCCGGCCGTGGTCCTGCATCCCTGGGTGGTGCTGAAAGGCAGGTGGGCTGCCCACTTTGATGGGAAAAGTCCACTGCTACATGTAGCGGATGGACTCTGGGCTGTGACAGAAAGAGGGCAGCTAGCTGTAAATCACGCCCGAAGACAGTCGAGGGACTTTTAGTATAAGCTGGATTTTAGATTAATTTACAGAGTTATCGTTTGCCTCGGTTAAGCGTGAGAATGGCACTGGGATTCTGTGTTCATAAAACGTCCCGCTCATTAAAGATGCTTAGTGCCGTGCACCAGTGCAATGCTGAGGTCGCAGACGCGGCTGACGGTCCCCTGGGGGGGGGGGGGGAATAGCTGGGGTGATGGGGAACGAGACTGGCCCAACACGTTAATAATTATTGAAGCTAGATAATGGGTAGGTGGGGATTTGTTTTACTGGTCTTTGTAACTTTATGTACATGGAGATTTTTCAGAGTGAAAATTTTTAAAAAGAAGACAATCATATCATAAAATGTGTATAGATTGAAAAGATTATTTTTCTTAAAAGATTCAGAAAACAAACAAAAAAATTAAATGGAAGGTATGTAACTCCAAAATCAGCAGGTAACTCCAAATAGTGTGATTTTGTGTGTATTCGGCCCTTATCACAAAGGTCAAAGGTAGAAAAGAAAAATAAGAACGAATGATCCTCTTTCCTGAAGACACCTGACTTCTGGTCAGCTCCTTCCCAACCTGCTCTGTGGGGTTCTCAAGGGATGCTTTTGCTCATGATGCTGAAGGTTAGCTCTTGAGAAATCGTGTTTTCGCGAGCACACAGTTTTCTGGTTATGAAAACAGAAACTCGCTGAGATTTAACACAGGTGGTTAGGGTAATGGCCTGGAGTCAACCCCCATCTGCCAGATGAAATGATCTCCATCCACCCCACCCTCCCATCCTCTGGATTATTCATTCCAAACCTTTGAGCACTTGCTAATTCACTGTTTTGAGTTCACTGTGGTCACAATGTAGCCTTTTCAGAAAATTGTTGAATTCTGGGTTTTTTTTGGACCACCATTTAGATTTTTATTCAGGCTGAGTGTTTATGTTGTAAACACACACACACACAAAATAATACAGATTGGAACCACCTTTTTCATATATAAAAATCCCCTACAATCTCACCACACAGATAACTACTGTGGTTAACCTTCAGGGATATAATGTTCTAGACTGTCGTAGTTTTTAAAATGAAAGCTGTACCTGTACAGTCAGCACTACTGAACCTCACCTTCTCAGTTAATTATGTTGAAGGGCTTGACCTATGTTTTCCTTCTTCAACCTCATTTTCAGTCGCATCATAAAAATTCCAGTGTGTGAATAGTCAATGGTCAATAGTCCAATGGTCAACAGTATATACATAGCCAATTCCTGATGACTTATATAATTTTTATTGTACCCTATGGCCTTTTTTTTTTTTAACTGGGAAAAAACGAATCCTCTAGTTTTTAATAAAAATGGAGAAGTGTTCCTCAACACATTGAAACTTACTGTTTGCACATCCGCTTAGAGAAATACTTCTTGCTTCGAGGACAGTTATCATTGAGACAACTATACTTGCAATAGCTTTAAACACATTTCATCATACTAATTTTCTGAAATCATGTTAAGTCTAACTGTACTGAAATGCAAATATTTCATTTGATTCAGGAGAACACAAGCTTCATTTCATCCCTGCTCTGATTGGCCCCTTCCTGGAGGTGACCTTGATACCACAGCCAGACCTGCGGAACGTCATGATTCCTATTTTTCATGACATGATGGACTGGGAACAGAGGCGGAGTGGCAACTTCAAACAGGTAGGCAGGTAGACCCCCAGAGTGGGTGAGGCTCTTCGTTCTCTCTGAGTGTCTCTGAGCTACCAGATGCGGCTCTGAGCTGAGAAATGAGCGCCAAACCGGCCAGCAACAGACCCGATTCCAGCTTGGCTGGCCCTGTCCCAGCCAGGGGCCTTGGACACCTCTCTGGTCCTGTGTTCCCCTAAACCTCCAGGAAGCCCCCAAAAGTAACTGCATCCCCTTCAGCTAAAAATATCCTGCAATTTTCCAGGTCTGTGTTTCAGAACAGGCAGAGACTTTCTTTGCTCCCCGCTGGACACAACACGGAGGGAATCGGAAGGTTAATGAGTTAAAATCCTTGAGTTCACCGTGGTCTGCACGCTGTACTTGGGGAACGGCTTAGCTCTGAGCACTGGATGTGCAGTGTGTGTTCCTGCCCTCTCCTTGAAGCGTTGAGAATCAGTTTGAAGGGGCGAGCAGTGGAAATTCCTGCAAAGGAGATTCCAAGCAGAACCTGTCATTTCTTGTTGAGTTAGGTTCACACAGCTCTGGCCCAGTTTTCCAAAGACCCATGTTCTTATTCCAAAATCAGATTGCATAAGAAATCAGCTGCTCCTGCCCTGCCGCTCCAGCTGGAGATACTAGGCCTACTTCCTATTCACACAGTCACTGCACTCACCTGCATACATTCACCTGTATGCACTTACCTGTATACATTCACCTGCATACATTCACCTGTATGCTCTCACCTGTATGCACTCACCTGTATACACTCACCTGCATACATTCACCTGTATGCACTCACCTGTATACATTCACCTGCATACATTCACCTGTATGCACTTACCTGTATACACTCACCTGCATACATTCACCTGTATGCACTTACCTGTATACACTCACCTGCATACATTCACCTGTATGCTCTCACCTGTATACACTCACCTGCATACATTCACCTGTATGCACTCACCTGTATACACTCACCTGCATACATTCACCTGTATGCACTCACCTGTATACACTCACCTGCATACATTCACCTGTATGCTCTCACCTGTATGCACTCACCTGTATACACTCACCTGCATGCACTCACCTGTATGCACTCATCTGTATGCACTCACCTGCATACATTCACCTGTATGCACTTACCTGTATACACTCACCTGCATGCACTCACCTGCATACATTCACCTGTATGCACTCATCTGTATGCACTCACCTGCATACATTCACCTGTATGCTCTCACCTGTATGCACTCACCTGTATATACTCACCTGCATACATTCATCTGTTTGCACTCACTTATATACACTCACCTGAATGCACCCACCTGTATACACTCACCTGCATACATTCACCTGTATTCATTCACCTGCATGCACTTACCTGTATGCACTCACCTGTGTACACTCGCCTGCATGCACTCACCTGCATACATTCACCTGTATAAATTCACCTGTATGCACTCACCTGTGTGCACTCACCTATATGCATTTATCTGTATGCGCTCACCTGTGGAGAGGACTTGTTCTTGGTTCATGCTTCTCCAAGTAAAGCCTTTTTTGAATCCTACAACAACCATCGTCCACTCTACCAGCAAGCCGAGAGCTTACACAGAACCATCCTATGGCCAAAAGCACCCCATGTCACCTGTATCACCATCCACAGTTATTTTCAAGAGAGCTAATAGGTGACTGAAAGGCTATTTAAAAATCACGTTGGGGATACTCAGTTATTCCCTCTCTTGTTCTCCCCTCATTGAAATTTGATTCAAAGGAATAACTGGGCTTAGTCCTGCGGCCAAGGCAGAGGCCCTGGTCCAGCCCTAGTGCTTCCTCCTCTGCCGGAGCGTCACCTCCGGCCTCTCCTGCCAGCTCAGATAGTTCTCCCTTCTGATGACAGTCGAGTCCCAGCGGATTTCCAGTCTGGAAGACACGACGTTTGACTCCAGTTTTCAGGAAAGATGCCCTTCCCCCGTCTTGCTGCTCATTGCTGCCAGAGAGTATTTCCACGGACCTTCCCTCTGCCCGTGGCGGGCAGGGTCCCACTTAGCAAACATCCCACACCACCTTGAACTGTTCTGAGAAAGAAAATAGAAACTGCATCAAGGATTTAAATTAATGTTTGTGGATCTGTTCGTTTGCTGCTGTTCCTATATATGTATAGTGATTTAAAAAAAAAGAAAAGTAAAGCAATTGGACTTGCAGTTTTTATAGCTCCTAAAAAAAATAAAAAACCTCAAACGACAAAAACGGGCTGCGAGGATTTGTGTTGGAATCAACAAATAGATGTTTTGGCGGCAGAGCAGCCCCGCGGGGAGTTGGAAGTCGCGGCGCTCTGTCTAAGTGAGTCCCTTAGAATCCTGCCTACGGTCAAGCATAGCTGATCGGTCCCTTCCACACGATCGACCACGGCTCTTTCTCTCGCGGACAGAACCATGTCTCCGTTTGCCTGGAAATGCGGCTGGTGGAGACTGAGCCTTGGGTGTGTTTCAGGTGGAAGCCAAGCTCATTGACAAATTGGACAGCCTGATGTCGGACGGCAAAGGTGACGAGACCTACCGGGAGCTCTTCAACAGTATGTGAGTAAAGCGTCCCTCCGCCGTGGGTTCTGTCTGGGCACGTGGGGTCAGCGCCAAGTGTCTGGGCTGCAGACGGGTCTCGCCAGCGTGCTGTGTGTCTGCGGAGGGCGAAACGCCGCCGCGCCCCGGGACATGGTTAGTACACCGATGATCAGACGTGTCGTCTGGTTTCGATCTCTGACTAGGACCGGCCAGGTGTTCCACAGCAGATGGCACCCTTCTCCTGCCTCATAATGTGAGAACCAGGGCTGAGGGTGAAAGAGGGTGAAGGGTAGAGAGGACCCGGCGCAGCCTGCTTATTGTGGCTGTGTGGGTACACGTCGCTCCCCAGGGCCACACGTCCTCGGCTGCTGTGCTGTTAAGAAAATGAACTTGGCCTTTGTCTGCTCTTCGATGGTTGATCCCATTCTGCCACCCTGGGTGTACTTGCTTCCTCTCAGAGTATCAGAGAGGCAGATCGTTCCTAGTAATTTCTGCAGCAGGGATGTGTATGGGGAGAGACAAGTTTTGCTACAAGGGACTTTGAGATTGTCCTTGTCATAGAGGGAGGGCAGCCCCAGGGTGCACTGCTTGTGCCAGGTACTCACCTGCCCAGGACACCTCTGCAGGTTTAGGACTTCAACCCGAGCCCTGGTTTTCTCTGCCGCTAGCTACGGCTCTTAGTCCTTTTCAAACCCAGGGTACTTGCAACGTGTCTCTCATGCCCAGGTGTCACCCGAATGTAAGCGTCCACGCTTGTGTGCTGGGAGCCAGGCACCGAATTCTGTAATCCATGCCCCGCTCATAAATGCAGAGCCCTGGATGCATGAATATACATAGGTTTGAACAGCGTTGTTAGTGACGGATAGGTTTCAGCTTGCCGGGTTCAAAATCATTCTTGAAGCTTTTAAGAAAATTATATTGAAAAGACAAGCCAAGAAAGAAAGGGGCGCACAGATTTCTGGTGGTGAAATGTGCTCTTTGTACTGAAGCCTGAACAGCACCCTTTTCTTCCGATACTGTAATTAAACTGGAACTTGCGGTAATTATTCACCAAGCCCTCCTTCCTTCTCCTGCACAAAGCGTCTGTCTTTCCTGGTAGCTGGAGCTGAGCAAGAATTCTGATTAAAACCTCATCCAGCATAATAAATTGCTTGCAGAAACGGCGCTCACTTTAGTTATGAGTCCTTGGTTCGAACAAAGAACTGGAATGAGAAAGCACTCGGTGCCACGAACCTCTTGGGCTGTGTGATTAATTTTCATAATAAATCCACAAGATTAATAAATACGCACCTGCTTCTTATCTACTTAAATAAAGGCCTGGAGGTGTGCAGTACGGATCACCTGTGTGTAAATATGACTTTGACATAGCAGCTATGCCTTGGCACCAAAATCAAACCAATAATTAAAATAGTAAGCATCTGTAATTAGGACTGTTTAAAGTGCCTGGTTCATTCAAGGGAGATTTTTATGCTTTTGTTGATTTTTAACAGATTACGAGAAATGTTACTATGTATATTTTTCTTTCATGCTTTTGTGATCAGTCTATCGGGAATAAGTAACACCTAAAGTGATAATTACGTATCGTTACTACCTGGGCTCAGAAAAGGAAGTGGAAATCGAACTGTATTTCGGGTCACAGGGGCATGCTTTTCGGGGCCGTAGACATCACAATGGATTGGTATGGTCACAGTGACCCTGCACACATTATGAATTAGGCACACATGTCGTCATGGTACAGTCTCATTTGTCCCCCGCACTTCATGTCTAAAACTTCTTAAAATGTGTTCGGAAACTGAAAGCCGTTCCCTGCCTCCCGAAAAGGTGGCACTTGCCAAACTAGCCTTCATAAGAGACTGGCCGTGTACAGTGCCTCTCTGAGGACTGGAGGCGTCTTCCTCCGACCCTAACAGCATCTTTATTTACCCAGACTGCGTCTTTCTGAGATAGGTAAGAGTCAGTGTGCATTCCTCTTAATAATGCTGACACTGCGGGTCGCAGGCACCAGCGTGAGCTATCAAAACAGAGTGTGGGAACCACACTCGCCCCCCTGCCCCCCGCCTAGCGCCCCAGTTCGCTGATTCGGCCTGATTGAGCACCTCCCTGTCCCAGGACTCTCCTAGGCGAGGATGCAGCAGCCAGTGTGCTGTGGGAACACACAGCAGGGCACCTTGAGCCTTGGGGGTCCCCAGCGAGCTTTCCAGAAGAGGCAGCTCCTGTCTCCGCCCGTTCCCTGGTCCCTAACTGCATTATGTATGCTGCTCAATAATTCAGTAAGACTCCACATCACTGCAGAGATCCTTAGTGGGTGATCACACAATTACAGTTTGGAGCCGGGCTTAGCTCTGGCGCCTCCTAGAGGTACACGAGGCCCTCTTCGGGTTGAGCCAGCAGCACAGACACAGGTGTTTAGGTCGGCGTGATGGCCCCTGCAGAATCCTGTCAGGACCCAGAAAGAGGCAGATGGAGTGTCAGACGCCCGCTCCCCCCAGTGTTCCTTCATAGGGCAAAAGCTGAGCACTCTGTCCCCCTGCAGGACCGTGGGGGGGGTTCTGCAGCCCCTTGTAGAGTCCTGTTGCCTGTTAGCAAAGAGATACCACCTTGTATTGTCCTTAGACGAGCCTCCTGTGTGCTCAGCGCGGGCACTCGGGCATGACTGTGGGCCAGGGGAAAACACCTCATCTTCCCCACGTTACCCAGCGAGACCCTACGTGCTGCTAGTCTGAGGTCTGTATCGGGTACAACGGGGGGATGAGCTTCCACACACAGAACCAGCCTGGCTGCCAAAGCCCGTAAGCTGGATCGTAGACTCGGCCCCAACCTCTGGGTGTTGGGTCCGTCCAGGAAGGGGCTCACAGAACTCGGCCCCTTCTCCGAGAGGACCGCACAGCTCTGGCTCCAGGCGTCTCCGATATTTTTAGACGGATTACTTAACCGGAGCACTTGGTTTGCCAGCCTCGGAGTTGAGGCTGTGGGCTGGCACTTGGGGGCGGTTCTGCATCGGCCCCGTTGGTCTGGAGGCAGGTTTCATTCGAGCACTTGGTTCAGTACCAAGTTGGCATTTAAATCTGAGATGGTGCTATCGAGAGGCTGTTTTTTTTTTAAAAAAAAAAAACAAACACATTTTAATCAAACTAGGGGACCATTCCCTGGGGGATCAGTCAGGGAAAGCTCCATCCTTTGATACGCTACCCCACCACCACCACCGTGCACTCGCGCGCGCGCGCGCACACACACACACACACACACATACAGTCTAGGAATGAACTCAGGATAAACCTGAAACCAAATGATCAGGGATATGTAAGCAACAGCTCAGGAGATGAGACAGGCTGGGTACTGGGATGGCCATAGGCAGGGTGGCGAGAAGGAAGAGGACACAGCCCCAGCCCCCCCCCACCCCCCCACCCCCCAGTTAGCCTGGACAAAACAGTTCTTTTCCTGACTGTTTCTGTTTCCACGAAGCACAGTATACGGCAGACTTAGGTGGTACTTGTAAGACATGTTTCCTGTGTTATTTCTGAAACCCAGGGGAAGGGGACACAAGGCTTTAGACACGACGATGGTGGCGTCCAGAGGGCTGAGGCAGCCTCCCCGGGTCACACTCAGACTCTAACTTTCAGCATCCAGGGCAAGTTCAGTGCTGCGCAGCCCAGGCTGTGGTTCTCTGCGGAGAGGCCGGGGCGACAGTCCCACAGAGGCTGGTGGCTGTGGCTTAGACTTTCGTGTGTGCACAGTGCCTCTGCCCAAGGTGCTGGAGGTCAGGGGCGGAGGTAGGAAGCACGTGAGTTCGGCACCTGTCCTATCCCGGTAGCGCCCCGTAGAGAACCCCTGTGAGGAATGACGCAGGCAGGGGGCTGTTCCGTGAGTGCACAGAGTAAACACGGATTGAGTGGGCAAATGTGAAGGGAAAGGGAAAAACACGCCCAGCGCCACTCCGCCGGCACCAGGATTCCCTGTGGCAGTGCAGGCAGATCGCTCGGACCGGGATGCACTCCACCGAGAGGTAGGAGCCTCTGCCCGGGCGCAGAGCAAGGCTTCCGTCAAGGTGCACCGGCAGGTGCTGCTGTCCCCCCGCGTCCTGTGCTGTGGTCCGGCGCGAGCTGCTCCCGTGAGCCGGAGGCGAGGGGGATGTCTGAGCCGCGAGGAGCCTGCCTGCTTTGAAACTGTGTTCGTGTGCATGTGTTCGTACCCTAATGACTTGGCTAACCTGAAAATGCGTTTGTTTTGTCAATGCTTCCGGATTAGAATTCCGCTCTTTGGTCCCTACCCTAGGTAAGACCTCCTTTGCCTCTCGGGCTCCTTGTAAGATGTTGCCGTGGTTGCTAAGGCATGTAAGGTACCGATGCAAGTGAAACGGTCGTCATGGTGACCGATAAAAATAAGTGTTGAAAATGCCCTGGGTTCTCTCTTTTTTCCAGCCTGCTGAAGAAAATTGAGCGGGAAACATGGAGGGAGAGCGGGGTGTCGTTGATCGCCACGGTGACCCGTCTAATGGAGAGGCTGTTAGATTACAGGTAAGCCGAGCCCAGGATTTCCAGGTGTGCTGCGCCCCGGTTAGGGAGCCCGAGTCAGAGCACAGTCCCCACCACATCCGAGTCCTTCATGCGGGAACTGACCCTCAGACACGGCCCGAGGCCGTGAAGTCTCGGACCCCTGACTCACTTACCTGGGTCTTCGCCCTTTGGGTTTTCTTTCTGTCTGCAGCTCTCTCCTAGTCTCACTTGGTGAATGGAGAGGGTTCTGAGAGTCCCCTTAGCAAAGGGCTGTTGTAGGTTTGCTCTGTATCTGGACTCACCCGTTAGAGCCAGCAAGCAGATCCGTCCGTCGTAGGCGGTGTGACAGAGAGTTAGACAACCATGCTGTTTTCTCAGCGTTCTTATTTTTATGCTCAAAGGACCTCAACGGAATGAAACCTTCATTCCCCTGGTTGGTGGCCAGGCTTACCAGCTCCCTCCCACCCTCAGGAGGTGCATCATAACCGCCTTCTTGCCGCCCCAGAGCCCTCCCACCCCCGCCCACTGGGGGCTCCCCGTCCACCCGGAAGTGAAATGCTCCCTCTGAAAAGCAACGTGTTTCTCACTCCCCTGAAGAGCAAGCTGTGTCAGCCCCCAGGAAGGAGACCCTGAGTCCTGACTTGCTCTTTGTTTCCAGGGACTGCATGAAAACGGGGGAGGTGGACAGCAGGAAGATCGGCTGCACCGTGAGCCTTCTGGTCAGTGACCCAGCCCTTCCTCCCCTGGCCTCACGTGTTAGGGTTTTCACAGACATGCTCTGCTCTGGTTGCTTTCACTGTGTTTTTATCGGGATGTTTCTTAGAAGAATTTAGACATCTATCTAAAAGATGCCTAGTGAGCGTCCGGTTGAATTAAACCTCAGGAAATTAAATTGCAGAATGACCCTGCATCCCAGCAGCCCCGTGGCAGACCCGGGAGATCCCAGTGGGTGCCAGCGGTCTCCTGGGGCAGGGCGACCTTGGCCATCCTCTTCGCTGCTCTGCAGGAAAAGGGGAATCCCTGACAGAGTGCAGTGTCTCTCCATCCCTCCTTAATCAGTACCTGTGATCTCTTCTTTTGTGACCAATGACCATTTTCTGTTAAACACACTAATCTTCACGCTCTAGCTTCTTTGCACATTAAACCTATAATACCACTATTGCTAAGGTTTGGATCATAAGGAGGAGGATTATATAATTTGCCACTCAAACAGGACATTTTTGAGAGTGAAATTAAACATTATGTAAGGAGAACAGGCTCAACGGGAACGGTTCGGAGAAAACTGCATTTATATTAAACTGTCTCATTGCCAATGATTCCACTGAGTGGCGTTCTCACCACAGGGCAAAAGAATGACTGTACCTGTAGATATTCACCGGTCAGTGTTCAGAAAGGGTAAATCCATGTGTTTGCGCGTTCCCCGCAGTCGGATCTGAAATGTACGGCGAGGTGACTGTTTCCATTCCTCAGTGTGTGTGTGAGGGTCCCTTTGTTATCTTTGGAAGAAGGAGTGAAACCTCACCCTCTGTGCTAAGTACTTATTCTCATTCGGACTCTCTCCCGCGCTTGGCTGTCCGGCATTGGCCTGGACCTCGGAAGTGTGTTCTGCCCCCCACTCTGATTCCGTCTTGTCCGGTTCATTGGCTTCAGTCTTGTTTTATTCAGTTCGGTTGTTTAGTCCGCAAACAGCCCCTCTTCAGAGCTCCAGACTTTTGCCCGGCTGGTGTGGCTCAGTGATTGAGACACACGCCCAGGTGGTGGGCCCCATCCCCCGTGGGGGGCATGCAGGAGGCAGCCGGTTGATGTTCTCTCTCCTCGATGTTTCTATTTCTCTCTCCTCCCTTCCTCTCTCTAAAATCAATAAAGAAAAAAAGTTTTTAAAAACAAAGCTCCGGACTTTGCTTTCTTACGACTGCCTCGCTGTCTCCCTAGCTGACGGTCTCTGCACTGTGCTTCATCTCTGAGCGCGTGACCGCATTCCCGGCCACACCCCAACCCTCCTCCTTCCCATGTAACTGTTACATCTCCACCTCCAACATCAGTCTCTCAAAATAGTGGGACCTGAGCGTCCTCCATCGGCCCCACCTTGTACATCACTGTCGCCCCTAACTTTCGTCACCAGACTCAACAGTCACCTCCAGGCCCTCGGGCCAGCCCATTTCCCCCCCCCCCCTTCACACTGTCCCTGACCTTGAACTTAGCCCCTGAGTTTCTACGTCTGTCCGTTGTGTGTCCCCCAGTTTCTCACCAGCCTTTCGCCGTGGTCAGTGTCCGTAGCCTGAGCCCCTTCCACATCCCCCGTTCGACCGGGGAGAAAGCTCCGCTCTCTGGCTGCTGTAGGTCTTCTCCATTTGTCTCCCTTCTCCTGGCTCCACCCCAGCCCCAGGCACAACGTCTCAGGAGTCACCCCAAAGGGAAGTCTTGACCTTGTTCCCAAAGCATCCTTGGCCGTGTGGCACCTTCCTCCACAGCCCCTCCGATCGGAGGCAGACGAATTGCGGTCCCCGTCCCTGCGTCCATCCCCTCCCTCGGCAACACAGGGGAGTGCGTGTCCCCATGAAGGAGGTCATGCTCTGCCCTGAGCGTGTTTCCTCATCTCCCGGTGAGCACGAACCAGAGACTCCGTAAGATCAGGGCCCCTCCGTGTTCACTCGCGACAAAGAATGTCTCCAGCTCGCTTTTTGCTGAGAAAATGTCACCGTTTCGAACGCTGTTCTAATTTCATCCAGCCCAAGAACACTTCTTATGAAAGGAGCCAGCACATAACATTGAAGCTAATCTTCCTAGCTCCTGCTCCTCCTGGAAGCTTCTTGATGTTTTCTCTGGCAGTGTGGCTCCCTCCAGCCATGCACTTGGTCCGGGAGCTGCCCTGCCCTCCAGGAGATGGACTCCGGGTTGGCTTCCCAGGGCTGTGGCTGTTACCTGGAGTTCAGTGCGGGTCTGGGAAATGTGATTATCGCTTGTTCTTTGTGTCTCAGGTTTCCCCGGACATATGTGAAAACTTCTCATCTGCTGATGGGAGAGCGTGCGTGCATGTGTGCGTGTGTGTGCGTGCGTGCGTGCGTGTGTGTGTGTGTGTGTGTGTGTGTGTGTGTAAAGAACTGTTCACTTACAGAGTGAGCCCTTATTTCATTCTCAAAGACAACAGCTTCTTAGGAGAGCTATTAGAGCATATCACCCTTTAATAACAATGTAAAACCTGCCCTGGGGCCATGAGCCTTGTGTTTATGCTACAACAATTCTTGCTAATTAAAATGATTTGGGTTATAATGGGGGCTGTGAATAGCATTGTTTACTGAGTCGCTTAAAGAATGCCAGGCTTTCCGGGACAAGAGAGGGAGAGGGGGAGAAAGTGGTGTAAATAGGAAAACGGTATTTTTCTGTTCAACCAGATGTCAGGGTCTCCAGGTTAGGAGAGTCTGCAGGTCAAAGGAAGGACAGCTGGAGGTAGAATCCCAAGAGAACACCAACGGCGGACCTCGGGCTTGACGCTCAAGTACACTAGAAGGAGCCACGCTTACTCTCGTCCCTTCCCAAAGCCCTCTCTGGCTAATCAGCTTCAAACACTTGGAGAATGCATGGTCTTCGCCCCTGAGAAAAACCCTCCCTCCTTCCAGTCATCAGATGTATCCCCGTCTCTACTCTTTTGCCTTTTTTCCTTGTCCCTGGTGGCATCAGAAACAGGAGCGGTGATGGTGGGAGCTCAGGGCTGTGAGCGGGGTTTCGTGTCCCGGGACCTGTTCGGAACGGGCCTCATGTAAGTCAGCGCCCTGCTTCTGCTGGAGTCCACCTCCACCCACATGTGCTCCCCTGTTTACGAAGTTCCACGAGGGCTCGTGAACCTTCTCACGTGGTGAGGACAAGTGGTCCTTCTGTGCAGGTCACATACTTTGAAGTGCCAGGATCCGGAGCCCAGGTTACGTTCAAGTTGAGTTTGTGGTCACATTAAAACGAGTTAGTGACGTTTGGTAAGATCGAGATACTTTTTTTTTTTTTTTATCCTCACCCGAGGATATTTTTCCATTTTTTGTACAGATAGAGTGGGAGGGAGAGAGAGAGAAACATCGACGTGAAGGGACACATCGAGTGGCTGCCACCCGCACGACCAACCAGGGCGGGGGACAAACTGCAACCGAAGTACGTGCCCTTAGTGGGAACCGAACCCGGGTCTCTGGACCGCAGGCCGACGCTCTAACCGCTGAGCCAAACTGGCCAGGACTCGAGATACTTTTTTATACATGGAATATGTTCAGTAGGCTTCTCTCTATAATAATCATTCGAAACAAAGTATCTTGTTATTAATCCCATTACCTTTTGTTCACACACTAGAAACATTTAAACTCCAGCGCAGGTGAGAAACTCCAGTAACATCCTAACCATAAAGAGCCTTTTCATTTCTCCTCTTCCAAAAACGCTTTTACATTGTTTTGACTCTGCCTTACTTCTGTGTCTTATTTTTCCTTAGAGTAAGTGTGTGTTTGAAACTTGAAAGAAACTCCTTGGAATATCACTAATTAAAATGAATAAATAGGTTCATCTGTTACATGTTTCACTGTTGTTTAGTTGAATAAGCTGATTGTCCGTTGGCAGTTAAACTAACCAAAAAGTGATAGAAAGTTACAAGAGAAATGTTCATCAGTGGTAATGATACCACAGAAGTTCCCAGAGCATCCAGTGACAGCTAGGTCACACTGAGCACAGTGTGGAATGAAAAACACGTCACTGGGCCTCCTTACTTCATGTTTGTAAAGACATTTATATGACCAAAAAAAAAAAAAAAAATGTATCCATTCTCTGGGTTTGATTTCATGAAACTTCAGCAGAATAAAAGGCAGGTGTTTGCAGGCCTGACTGGAGAGATTAACTACACGTGCATTATTTTTTCCCAGAACTTCTACAAGACTGAACTGAACAAGGAAGAGATGTATATACGCTACATTCACAAACTCTACGACCTGCATCTCAAAGCACAGAACTTCACAGGTAATTATCTTCCGGCTTAGGTTGGCAAGGGGGCTAGACACTGGTGTATGACATGATAAATCCTCTGCTTTTTAGAATTAGGCCTCAAGCGTTTCTACTTTAAATTGAAATTTATTTTTTACGTAGTTGATCCATCTTTTCTTATTGTTCTCTGATTCCCTGCCTCCTTAATCAGATGAAGAAGCAACTCTTTTAGAAATAGAAATGTATCTTTAACTGGAGTTATTTGTTCTTTTTTTTTTTTTTTTTTTTTTGGTACTTCATTTTAATTTATATATTGGCTTTTTAAACTAGATCTCTTTGCATAGATTTTTAGAGATTGTTTTGGGGGTTCAGAAAGGCATCCCTATCTTTTCACAGTCTACTTAGAGCTAGTATTTCATCACCTCAAGTTAAATTGGAAAGTTTACAACTCTAGAGGATGCTTTATCGTCCACACTTTATGTGGTAATTTTCATACATGTATTCCATCTACATACATGTGAAAGCCTCATCAGGTGATGTCATCATTTTTGCTCTCAACAGTCATACCTCATTTAAAGAAGGACAAAAATGGAGTATTATATTGACAATGTCTACTGTTCTTTCTTCATCTACAAAGTTCCCTATTTCCCTGTTATTATTTTTGTTTTGTTTTTTTTATAAAGAACTTGCTTTACTGTTTCTTTTAAAGCAGATCTAGTGGTGAAGAATTAGTTCCCTTCCCTTGAGAATGTCTGTACTTTCCCTTCTGCCCTGCAGGATATGTTTGCTGGGTATAGAATTCTACGTGGGCCCTTCTTTTGTTTCAGGACTTTGGAAAATGTTGTTCCACTGTCATCTGACCTCAGTGGTTTCTGATGAGAGATCTGCTGTCATTTAAATGGTTTTTCTGTCCATAACATGTCATTTTCTCTGTTATTTTTCGAGATTTTATCTTTGGTTTTTCAGCAGCAGTTTGGTTATGATTTAGATGGACATGATTTTCTTCACATTTTCCCTGCTTGAGTGTGCTGAGTTTTTTCAATAGATAAACTTATTTCTTTCACCAAATTTGGGGAGTTTTCAGGGGCTGTTTACTCAAATATATTTTCTGCACCAATCTTTCTCCTCTCTTTTGGGACTGCAGTGACATGCATGTTAGGCCTTTGGGATTGTTCCATAATTTCCTGAGGTTAATAATTTTTTTCTTTTTTTTTCCTTCCTGTTGTACATATTGGATGATTTCTGTTGGTCTCTTTTCAAATCCATTGATTCTCCTCTGTCAATGCCATTGAGCTATTGGAGCCCTTACAGTGAAATTTTAATTTTTGTTATTGTGCTTTTCAGTTCTACAATTTTAATTTGGCTACATTTTTATAGCTTTAATTTCTTTGCAGGGGAAAAAAGTGTTCATGGAACATGGTTATCATAACTGCTTCTTCATATTATTTGTCTATAATTCAAACATCTGAATCATCTTGTGGTTGGCATCTGTTAATTGCCTTTCGTTTTAAGATTTGTTTAGTTTTCCTGTTTCTTTGAATATCAAGTAATTTTTAATTGTATCCTGGACATTTTTAATGTCTTATGAGACTCTGGATTCTGTTAAAATCTCCTGGAGAATGTTGACTTTTTAAATTTTATTTTCACAAACCATCAATCCAGTTTGTTTTAAACCTCAAATCCTGAACCACCTTCTGAAGTTTGGGATCCTAATGTCTGTTTAGTTTTCAAACCTCAGCAGGGCCATTCTAGGCTCTCCTGCATGGGTGTCACCCGGGGGAGTCTGGGACTAGACAGCGAGGATGCCGTAGCTATTTCTCAAAACCACCGTGTGGATTCTTGTCTTTTCTGCCCTTGTGCCGCTTGGGGATGAGCCCATGACGTCATCCACAGAATTGTAAAAGCCCTTCGTCCAGCTCCCTTCTCTGGGTGATCTACCTCGCTCTTCAGCTCTCACAGGGCTTCTTTCCTAGAACTCTGTCTTGATCACAGCCAGAATACTCAGCGCCGGGGCTTGGGCCTCTCCGCACCACAGTGCACTCCCTACAGTTGGTCTTCCTAGAGGCCAGGTTCACAGTCCAAAGCCTGTGGGGGCTGCTGCCGCCACTTAGCTCGTCACCAGCGCTGGTTTGCGGTTCAGTTCCTGGGACTCAGAGTAGCCAGAGGAGTAGCCCAGAGTGGTCCATCCCCCAGAAGGGCCTTGTCCCTGTCCTCTGCCTACAGGAGCTTCTCTGGGAGGATTTTCTGCCGTTCCCATTTGTATTTCCAGGAGACTGGGTAGTGTGAGCCAGGAGATAGGAAAAGCAAAAAATGAAAGCAGGGAGCTCGCCGCTCCAAAGCGATCATCTCGGTATTGATCTTCCTATTCTAATTTACTTTTGAGAGTCCTCCAGTGGTTGCTTCCGTATCTGTTGAGAGTTGTTTCTTGCGATCAGTGGAGACAATGGGGTAGAATGTGCTTATTACATCTTACCAGAGCCAGGACGCTGGACCTGGATTTAGGCACCACCGATCTTGGTCTTTTTGCTACAGTCTTCTTCCAAGAACTCCTGAATGGTGGCCTCTCCCTCGCCTTGTAAAGAGCGAAGGAATCCTTTCTGAAAGGGTGCCTGTGTCCCCAGAATTGAAGGCTGCCTCCAGCGACAGCCCCACGCTGTCCACGGAGAACACCCCTCTGCTCGGTGGGGAGATCTCGAGGTGACCTTGGGTCCTTCTCTTCTAACCTCCCTCAAGTAGCCATTCATGACGTCCTGTTGCCGTCCCCTCCTGAGAACCTCAGAAACATCGCCGTTCTTTGTGCCTCCGTTCTCTGTCGCGCGTGGGTCTCTCTCATCTCCCACCTGGACTGCTTCTTACCTGTCAGCAGATTGTTCTCGACAACAGCGTTCAGCCCGCTGTGGCCTGCAGAGCCACCCGCTTTTGGAAAGAACATTTGGTGAGGACCCGGCCAGGCCCACTCGTCTTCCGATGGTCTGGGGCTGTCCTCACGCTCCAGCGGCCGACGTGCGTAGCCACCGCAGAGACCCGAAGGCCTGCGCAGCCTCACCTGACCCAACAGCTACCTGCGCAGCCTCTGGGGCTGCTTCCTCCCTCCTTCCCACCCTTCAGGGCAGCTCCTTTACTGTGTTCCCTTGCAAGCTGCACCTGCCTGGACTTCTCTTCCCTCCCTCCCCCTCATCAGCTCCAGGCCTCAGCACCCACCTTCGTAAGCTGATGTTCAGGTTTCCATAGCAGCACTGTCATATCGCTGTTATCAGTAGTATGTAAGGGGTGTGTGTGCGCACGTGTGCGTATGTGCACGTGTGTGTGCGCACACGTGTGTGTAGGTAGGTGGATAGGTAGGTAGGTAGATAGGCAGAAAAATAACCTTATCTCCAGTTACAGGGTGCATTCCTGGAGGACGGAGGTGATATATTCTTCTCCTTGGTCTTCTCTGTTCTTAGAATAGCGCCTAGGAATATGAGCTTTAAATAAACGTGTGGCTAATGAAGAGACGCAAGGAAATGTCAGCACCCGGAGCAGGTTTTTCTCCTGCAACGCTGGTAATTCCGTAACCACTGCGAAGTCCCAGGATCTCTTCACACACGTGTCGATAGTTTTGGTTCAACAGACGGGGGTTTTGGAGCTGATCATTTTGCCTGAGAGTTTACATGGACATTTTTGAGTATGGAGTTGGTAGCCAGATTTTGAGAGAAATGGTGAGCCCACTCTCTCTGTCTGTGGGAAGAAAACCTGGTAGGCTTGTTTTATTTAAAACCCATAGAAAAAGAAGCGAGAGAAGAAACTGAGAACAAGGCCTTGCATATACGTAACAGCTGTGTCCTGGCTGCTGAAACGGAGGCCAAATCCCCGAGGGTATGCCTCCAAAGTGGGGACGGCTCTCTTCCTATTTATTTGCAGTTTCTATGTTCCCCAGAGTCATAAGAAATAAGTCCTTTCCCATATAGCATCGTCTCCATCTCTTTTCCATCCTCATTTTTGTTAGTTCTTGGAGAGAGCGAAAGTGATGGGGAAAGTCTTCTATCATCATCCTGGGATTCGGCTTAGATGCGTGCCCCTTTGCTGCCTGTTGACGCGCCCTTCATTGTATCTCGTCCCCTCCCCCCCGTGTGTCAGCACGTCTCACGTCCCGTCGGTGTCCTCGCGCCACACGTCTCGGGATGATGGCATGTGATGGCCCACACTCCAACAGTCCCTGGTGCCTTCTATTCAGAATTACAAACACTTTTACAAAGACTGTCCGTTGGAGTTTGGGAGGTGATTCGTTCTTCCCTCTTCAATACGCACTGTCGTCTTCTAAAGATAGAGAAAATAGGTAGCCGGCAGATCCCAGCCAGATGCTGCGGTGTGTGGAAACGTTCAGGATCCTCCTCCATCCTCTGCTCTGTTGTTCATGCCTCCAGGGTCTGTCGGCTTCAGGAATGAAAATGTGTACGGCTTCTTTTACAAACACCGTTGACCCCCGATATCCGTCATCGTTTTCCCAAATCAAATTCTTACGCAGGTGTTTTGTTTTTGTACGGTCCCCATGTCACCGTCCAGTCATGGGTTGGCGTCCTCTGACGGCCTGCCCGGGGCTACTTGCTTTGCCAGGGGCAAGTCACCCACACTTGACCTTCCAAGCACCCTGGGCTATCCTAGGGCGAGCATCCTTTGGAAAGCAGTTTGCGGACTAGACAGCCTTCATCGTCGTTTTCTTCTTCTTCGTCTTTTTTTTTTGTGGCAAAATGTGCCTAATATAAACTTCACCATCTTAGCCGTTTTTAAGTGTGTAGGTTGAGTACATGGATATTTTTATGCATCACCATCCATCTTCCAACCTTTCGTCCTCCTAGACGGAACCCTGTGCCTGTTCGCCAACAGCCCCCCTCCCCGAACCACGGGTTTTCTCTCTGTCTCTGTGGCTATGGCCGTCCGTGCCCCCAAGTCCTTCTCTGTGGGCAGCTGCAGGCTCAGCTGCAGAAAGGCCTCCCTCTGCCCCTCATGTTTTTCATGTAACATGACCAGTCTCCAGGGTATTTTCTGGGTGCTCCCAAAATAAATATTTTTGGTTCATTTATCTTTTTTATTTAAAAAAATTTTTTTCTTGATTTTATTTATTTAATTATTTATTTAAATAATATTTTTAGCCTCACCCAAGGACATATTTTTTGCATTTATCTTCAGATAGAACGGGGGGGAGGGAGAGAGACATCGAGTCGTTGCCACCCACACAATCCCAACCGGGGTCAGGGACAAATTGCAACCGTGGTACGTGCCCTTAGCAGGAACTGAACCCGGGTCTCTCCGATCCACGTGCCGACACTCAAACTACTGAGACAAACTGGCCAGGGCTCCTTGATTGATTTTAGACAGAGAGGAAGGGAGAGGGGGAGAGAGAGAGAGAAACATCGATGAGAGAGAACATCGATTGGCTGCCTCCTGCATGACCCCCACTGGGGATTTGGCCCACAACCTGGGCATGTGCCCTGACTAGGAATCAAACCGGTGACCTCTTGGTGCATGGGTCGTTGCTCAACCACTGAGCCACACTATCTGTATTATTTTATATTCAATATTATTTCGTTCTAGTTTCAGGTGCACAGCATAGTGGTTAGATAATCACATGCCTTACAAGCTGCTCCCCCTGACGCTCCCCCTGACGTGCCCAGTGCCCACCTGGCACCATACATGCTTATTACAGTCTCATTGGCCATATTCCCTGCTGTAGTCTACATCCTTATGACTGCCAATCTGTAGTTCTCGATCCCTTCGCCCTTTTCACCCCGTCCCCAACCCCCTCCCCTCTGGCAACCGCCAGTCTGTTCCCTGTGAGGTCAGATGGGTTTGTCTTTCTCTGTTTGACTTGTTTCCCTTAGCAGCATACCCTCTGGGTCCACCCGTGGTGTCGCAGATGGTAAGATGTCATTCTGTTTTGTTGCTGTTCATTCTCATCTGAGGGTATTTTTTTTCCACTGATTTTTGTTGGTTTGTTTAGAGAGAGTGGAAGGGAGGGCGGGGGAGAGAGCAACAATGATGCGAGAGAGAGACACATCGATTGCTATGCTCTAACCACTAAGGCTTCCTGGCCAGGGCAGATGTCATTTTTTTTATGACCAGGTAATATTCCATTGTATATTTGTACCACCTCTTCTTTTTTTTTTTTTTTTTTATCCTCACCCCAGGACATTTTTCCATTTTTTGTTCAGGTAGAGTTGGGGGGGAGAGAGAGGAACAGAGAGGGAGAGAGAAACATCGATGTGAAAGGAACACATCGAGTGGCTGCCACCCGCACAACCGACCAGGGCCGGGGACAAACTGCAACCGAGGTACATGCCCTTAGCGGGAACCGAACCCGGGTCTCTCCAGACCACGGGCCGACGCTCTAACCGCTGAGCCAAACTGGCCAGGGCTGTACCACCTCTTCTTTATCCATATGTGTGCTAATGGGCACTTGGGCTGCTTCCATATCTTGGCTGTTGCCAATAACGCGGCGGTGAACACAGCATGGGGGCCCCTAAACCAATTAAAATGGAACTGCCTGAGGACCCAGCCATTCCACATCTGGGGATGTAGCCAAAGAAAGCTGGAACACTAATTAGAAAGAATATATGCACAAAAGAAATTTGAGAGAGAAGGATGCTAGTTCCTGAGCTGGTACTTTAAGAGGAGGTAGGAGCTCCCCACAGCCGAGGGGCAGGCTTGAAGGAGCAGCAGCGAGGGCCCGCGGGCGCGTCCGTGCGTGTGAGGACCCACGTTGGTTCAGATGTGGGAGAAGAGCGTGGATGGAGGGCCCGAGATAACCTGGGTTTTCTTAGGTGCTCGGCATGTGGGATAAGGAGACATGGGAATTAGAGCTCCGGAGACCATCTCGGGGTCGCCGAGAACCTGGAAGGTCATTCGGAATGTAGCATGGACCTTGTGGTCTGGATTTGTCACCATTCTGCCCCATCAGCCGCATCTTCCATAGCCCCCACCTACAGCATGGCCGTTCAGCCCTGTCTGTGTCCACCAGTTAGCCAACACCCATAAGTGGGCCTTGTGCTCCTCCAGGACGACGTCGGCCAGCACCCACCTAAGAAGGCTCCTCTGGCCCTGGCCAGTTTGGCTCAGCGGTTAGAGCGTCGGCCTGCGGTCTGGAGAGACCTGGGTTCGGTTCCCACTAAGGGCATGTACCTCAGTTGCAGTTTGTCCCCGGCCCTGGTTGGGTCATGTGGGTGGCAACCACTTGATGTGTCCCTTTCATGTCGATGTTTCTCTCTCTGTCTCTTCCTCTCTCTCCCTCCCACTCTATCTGAACAACAATAACAAAATGGAAAAATGTCCTGGGTGAGGATAAAAAAAAAAAAGAAGGCTCCCCTGTCCCGTGGAGCGGTGGTGGTCCCGGCTGCCCCTGCACCAGGACACACCTGTTTTTCCACCCGAGCTGAGAATAGGGTCAAGGGCTCCACTGTGGGGTCTGGAGGCTTCTTAGAAGGGACAGTGGAGGCTCCTCCCCATCTGTACTCTCCGGAGGGACAATGGGGACTGGGAGTGGGGAGGTCGGTGGGGACCAGCTCATCGCCAGCCTTCTCCGTCACTTTGGGAAGCTTGAATGTGTTCAGTTAGCTACTGAGCATATTAGCTCGTTTGAATTGGGAGCAAAGGCCATCCGCATGGACAGATCTCCCTGGTAACACCGGGCAAACCGAACGGAGGGGGATAAGAGACCACAAAGCTTTTGGGACCATCAGAGAAGCCAGGAGACTGAGCTCCCCAATTAGAGAGAAAAAGGCCAGAGTCCGTGTCCCACAGGACGGCTACATTTAACAGGCAAAGGAAGTGGTAGGGACCAGACCTTTCTCACCACCACTGTATTCCATACGTCCAGCCGGCCGAATCGCAGCTCCGGAATTCACGTGTTACCTGACTGCTGTATCTGTGGTTACCCTTAAGGCAAACAGATGCAGAGAAAGAAAGTGAGCCTCCCCAGCAGCGCTGAAACAGCTGTAGCACACGCCCTTCGACATTCTCATCATGCCAGTGAATATGGGCACTCGAGAAAAAAGAAGGGAAGGAGGGAGAGCGAGAGAATGAATTTGAACGAATGAACGAGTGAATGAACGAATGGATACATACAGGGACCCAAACGATCAGACACAAATCTCTGAGGAGTCCACCCTCCGGGAACGGCGACGTTCGTCACCCTGCTGTCGCGCACATTCAGGGATTTTTCTCCCGTGTCACCTGCTGTCTGTCGCGCACCGGCCCGCTGCAGGTTGCCCCTTGCCTTGCAGAGGCCGCCTACACCCTCCTGCTGTATGACGAGCTGCTGGAGTGGTCGGACCGGCCGCTGCGCGAGTTCCTGAGCTACCCCGTGCAGACCGAGGGGCAGCGGAAGGAGCAGCTGCACCTGGCCATCATCCAGAACTTTGACCGCGGCAAGGTGGGTGGCCCCGAGGAAGCGGCCGCGGTGTCTTCCTCGTGTCCGGCTCACCGACGCACCTGCTCACGCAGGGCCTTCCCGTGTCAAGGTGCACTCAAAGCGCCCAAGGTTTGTCCCGATCCCCGTTCCCCGGCCCCGCCCTAGACCTCTGATCAGGGAGGTCAGGCGAGGGGTCGGGATTCTGTGGTTTTAATGAGCACCTCGGGACCCAGGTCGTTCATGCTCCGAAACACCCTTATCACCTGTCACTCAGCCCCTCCCCAAACCGGCATGTATCCTACCCCATCCACTCCGTAAGGTGAAGTAAACAGAAATGAATTTGTTTGAAGAATTCAGAGAGGCCCAGGGAGGAGAAATCCTGTGACACAATAGTGCAGGTCAGCTCCCCCCTCCCCCACCCCTTCCCTCTCAAGGGCTTGCCGGACCTACTCCTTAAAGAATCTGTGGGTCCAGTCACAGTTGTCTATTTTGTTTGAGCACTTGGATGCTTTGGTGACATCTCTGCAAGTTGTCAACATTAGGCAGAAAATAAAATTACAACCAGGGCCTCTCCTGCTTCCTCCGAACATACCATCGGTACGCCTGGAAAACGGCGCAGGGGATGCTTCTCTCCCATCTTCTTTGCTATTTCTCCAGCCACACTGACATATCATTGTGTTATTAGCAAGGAACCGCCTGCGTGCCCCTGGGGGTGTTTCCTCCGGAAGGGTGGGCTGTTACAGAACCCGGCACGGAGCACCGGCGCTCAGGAGCCTGTGCTGGGTCAGCGGCGGCCACCTCCGGCCCGTGGGTCCCGTGGCTCGCCGCCAGTCTCAGCACAGCCCAGCCTAAGAACCGCTTTTCATTTTCAAATGGTGGAAAGCGGTAGAAGAAACCGGGCCTGTGAAAACGATATGAAATTCACATTTGGGCTGGTAGGTTACAGTTTGATTGGAACCCAGGGAGCTGCCGCTTGTCGGTGGCTGTTTCCTGCTTGAAGGCCACAGCGCATCATGTGACAGGCTGTGGGGCCCACAAAGCCTGCAGGGTTGAGGGTCCGGCCCTCTGCAGAGCTTGCTGGCATTCCAGCTGATGCTCTGAAACACCCTTATCACTACCACACTGACACATCATTGTATTATTAGCAAGGACTGACCAGCTGGGTGAGAGCCCCCCAAGCCGGCCCCAGTGGACAGGTGGGCCTTGGGGGTCGGTGGTAAACCCCTCAGCACAGTTCATCTCCTTGGCCATTGGAAACGAGTAATTTCAGGATGATGATTCTGAAATGACACCAGAAGTGCTGTTTCTGCCTGCGTGTCAGTGTCGGTGGGGGTGCATCATCATTTCCAGCTTCCTAGAGGCTTAATCATTTACACGTGACTCACATGCTGTCTTCATGCTTAACGTCACAGCGGTCCTTCTGTGGCCGGTTGGCGGGATGAGGAAGTGAGGCTCGGTGCTCTGGAGGGGGTCCCAGCCCCGGGGTGGAAGTCGGCCAGGGCTGGGCCGCTGACTTCTGTCCTCGTTGGCCCGCAGTGCTGGGAGAACGGGATCATCCTCTGCCGGAAGATCGCCGAGCAGTACGAGAGCTACTACGACTACCGAAACCTGAGCAAGATGCGGGTAAGGCGCCGGGGTGCGTGCCCGCCACGCCGCGGCTCGGTGTTGGCGAGCTTGCTTTCCCGCGGACGGGAGCTGCGTGGTCCTCCATGCGTCTCCTCGGAGGCCTGCCGGGCTGTGGCGCAGGGACACAGCGCATTGCTCTGCGTGGGCTTTGGCTGAGCACACCGAGAGGCCTCGCCTAGGCCAGCGATTGTCACCCTTCTCCGCCTCGGGGCACACACGGACAGTTACTGAGATTCTGCGGCACAGCGCAAACATGTCTCTGTTGATCTGACAAAAAGAGAGGTGTAATCTTTATGCATTCGCACCATACGGCTATTGCTGTGTTGGCTGTTGTCACCTTTTTTATTTGACCATCGAAGAAAAAAGAGGTCAGTAGGTCAGTGCCCCTGACTACAAAGTCAGGTGTTCTGAACGTTTTAAAATTTTTTGCCGTGTACCCATTGAAAATCGTTTGTCTAGGCTAAACACCACCTCAGACGACACGGTGGAGCCAGGATTCACACTGGACTGAGGGAAACCCCCCCTGAAACAGTGTATCATTCTCAGTCCCCCGTCAGTGCCGCAAGAGTGGAAATGGCGACCTGACTCATTTTAAAGTGTTTGGGGGCTACTTCTACAGGAGTCACCTCCCTTTAGGAGAAATGTCTTTGTGTTTGCTAAACCTAAGCCAAGGTCCACCCAGGACCTCAAGGAGTTGAATGTCCTCTGCAGTGAAGCAGGTCCTTCCTCGTAGTGTCGTGAACACCTGTGTCCTCCTGCCATCCTGAAACTCTTCCAGGTTTCTAAAACAGGGTCCGCTTTTCCGCGTAAGAAACGAGGTGGGGATGTTGCCTTTTAATTCCGAGGCAGCAGCTGGAGGGGTGGCATCATGGACCTTTGACTGCCCACGTCGTCCTTCCCCCAGGTCACTCACTCAGCGGGGAGCAGCTGGCCCATTTCATGTCAGCAGGTCATCGATATTTCTCCTCCTGTGACAACTCCTAGTTCTAGCTCCTAGTTCTAACTCCTGTCCGTCACACTGGCTCCGGCAGGCACGACAGTTCCCTAGAAAACCCTGCCCCTGGCACCCTGTTCCTGTGACAGAAGCGAGGTTTCCATGTTTACCCAGCAAAGCCCCCGGGTGCCATCAGCACTAAGATTTCTATAAACCCAAAGCATGGCACTTCGTGCCAACTGCCCTTTCAGGAGCTGTGAGGGGGGGCGGGGGCAGGAGAGATTCCAAGTACAGTGTGAGTCTTCCTCGGGAACCCCTGGGGGCCGTCGCACCATGAGTGGGGAACCACGAGCATCGTGTGCGCTGGAGTTCGCCGCCGTCAAAGCCACAGGCGGCAGGTCGCGTGCAGCCCGACGTCACCTACCCTGTGGGCCTCTGCTTTGGGGGGTCAGCTTACCCCATCTGACCTGAAAAAATTTGCACCCCCCAAATGTCCTGTGTCCCCATGTCTCACGAGAAGCAAACCCACAGGGCAGTACACCTGGCGTGGAATTCTCCAGAACGGTTTGCTTCTCACAGTTCAGGTTCATTTTTATTTAATCAGGAGGAAAATACGTCCTCAGTGGACTGCGTGCATACAAATCATTTTCTCGGGCAAAGTCATGTCATAACGCATCCGCTCCTTCAAAGCCTGGTCCGCAAACAGCCTGCGAACTAGAACGAAGTTCTCTTTCGTATGCAGTGGTTCTCACCCTGCCGGTCACGACCCCTTTGGGGGTCGAACGACCCTTTCACAGGGGTCGCCTAAGACATAACAGTAGCAAAATTACAGTTATGAAGTAGCAACGGCAATAATTTTATGGTTGGGGGTCGCCACCACATGAGGACCTGTATTAGAGGGTCACGGCATCAGGAAGGTGAGAACCCCGGGGGTAGAGGAAGTGTCCTCCCCTGTAACTCGGGGGGTGAAAGGTGAGAGAAATGACCGGAATGTGTCCTGCGCTTTTCCAGATGATGGAGGCCTCTCTGTACGACAAAATCATGGACCAGCAGCGTCTGGAACCAGAGTTCTTTCGAGTTGGATTTTATGGGAAGAAATTTCCATTTTTCTTAAGAGTAAGTAGTGCACTGTTTAATTCGCTTTCGCACACCCAGTGTCGCTATCCCCGAGCAAAGGCTGAGCGGTTACTGACACTGTCCTTGCAGACAGGTGAGGGCGTCACAAGAGGTCCGTTTCCCCTTCTGGTGTGCAAAGCCCATCTGTATCTAGAATGCCTGGTTTTGAATGATTGCCCGAGATTGCAAACCATCTTGTGATTTTGCTTCCTGAGTTTGGAAGTTTGCTATGCGGACGAGCAGTCTGGTAATTAGAGTGGTTTTCCTCGTGGGACTGATGTCCCCAGTTGGAGTCAGCCCGCCATCCACAGCGTTAGCGTTAGAGCAAGTGCGGGCCCTGCAGGCTCAGGGTCCCAGCTGCGACGACATTGCAGGTCACCTCTCCCCCCAGATCTCCACCCCGCCCCCCACAGTCTGTTTCTGTGCTGCCAGTTTGTTTGGTTCGTTTTCCTTCTGCCTGCAGAACAAGGAGTTCGTATGCCGAGGGCATGACTACGAGCGGCTCGAGGCCTTCCAGCAGCGCATGCTGACCGAGTTCCCGCACGCCATCGCCATGCAGCACGCCAACCAGCCCGACGAGACCATCTTCCAGGCCGAGGCGCAGTGTATCCACCCCGGCGCCCAGCCCCAAGCGCGCCCCCTGGCGGCGGCCCGCAGCACCCCGTGCTGGCTGTTCCTCCGCGCCCCCCCCCCCCCCACCGAGCTCCTCCTTATCACAGACTCCTGTATCAGCATGATGTCAGTTGAAAAGGAATCTCTTAAAGATTCTGTTTGTTTGTTTTTTTCCTCTTTTAATTTAAACTTTTCTATATCTCAGCCCTGCTTTTAAAGCTCTCTTAGAGGATCCCGTAGAACCACTTTGCTCTGGCAGCCAGTGGAAATGACTTTGCTCAGGACATACTAGCCTGTGTTTCCGGGAGCATATCATTCACCCCCTTTCACTTTCATTTTTCACCCTGGAATGAGGAAGGCAAGAAAGAGAGGTGCCCCGTATCTTTGGGGGGCTCTTCACCATGGCACCCTGGACAGCCTTGTATGATTGTTATCATCGAAACGCCCACGGTCTAGACATAAACGACTCAACTGAAATCACACGGGGCTGGAGAGCACGGACTTCACCCAGCACGGGGCCTCTGACTCCCTGTCTCCGCCTGAACCTGGGGTTCTTAAAGACCAGACACTCCCTGAGCATTGTGGGTGCCATTTCAAAGTTGAAACTAAAATGCAACAGAAGGAAGGAATTACATAGAGAAAAGCACTTGCTACCCTTCTTTGAATGAGAAGAGGAGGTAAAGGTACAATTACACGTAATTTTAAAAATATTGACAATAAGCCCTGGCCCGTTTTGCTCAATGGTTAGAGCGCAGGCCCGCGGACCGGGGAGTCCCGGGTTTGGTTCCCACTAAGGGCACGTACCTCAGTTGCAGTTTGTCCCTGGCCCCGGTTGGAGTCATGTGGGCGGCCACTCGATGTGTCTCTCTCACATCAATGTTTCTCTCTTTCTCTTCCTTCCTCTCTCCCTCCTGCTCTATCTGAAGATAAATGCAAAAATGTCCTCGGGTGAGGATAAAATATATATATATCGACAATGAAACCTGGGGTTATCAGTACAAGATTTGGGGGAGTGGGCTCCACACATGTGGGGAGGCTGTGGTCCTGGTCATATTGTGTTTATTAAACAGACAGACACACGTACCAAGGGCCGTGCGTGGACTAAAGACACGCGTATCTCCTACAGTGACTGAAGATACAGGGTTAGAATTAATACGATTCCGAGCACCTAGGATCCAAACAATTTCCACCCGCTCCTCAGAAGAGTCGGTGATACGTTTATGGGTCATAGAAATTCCAGGCTGATACTTTTCTCAGAATCCCTTCCCCGTAACTCGTCCAGGGCCTGTCGTTTGAGAAGTGACCGTGGCGAGCTGAGTTCTGGGCACTTCGTTGGGAACGCCGGAGGGGAGTGCACACCGGTCCCCGGGCCCGCCCCCGCCACGGTGCAGCCCATCCTGGCCTCCGCGCGCTTGCCCGCCCAGTGCGTTGCTCCTTGACCCTGCCCTCCCAGACTTGCAGATCTACGCCGTGACCCCCATCCCGGAGAGCCAGGAGGTCCTGCAGAGAGAGGGCGTTCCGGACAACATCAAGAGTTTCTACAAAGTGAATCATATCTGGAAGTTCCGCTACGACAGACCGTTCCACAAAGGCCCTAAAGACAAGGAGAACGAGTTCAAGGTACGTGCGGTTCTGCTCGCGTGCGGTTCTGCTCGCGTGCGGTTCTGCTCGTGTGCGGTGAGCAGCGGCGGCTCCGGGCTCAGCCCCTCGCCGAGGGGGACGCGGAATAAAGGCAAGTGAACCGGGAGGGCGCAGACACCGTTGGTCCCCTGGCTGTCTGTGCTGCCGGGTACCAGAGTGACGTGGGCGCTTTCTCACCCACACGACTCCTGGCCCCCAGCCCAGGAATTGCGCTCGGCGGGCCTGGTGCAGGCCTTGGCATCAGCTTCCCGGTGACGGTTCTGACGCCAGGGGGCGCCGTCCTGGGGGCCTCCCGGTGCAGCTCAGTCCTCTGTTTACTGGTGGAGAGCCCCCTGTGGGAACGACGTGTAAAAATTCCCGATAGAGAGGGTTTCTGGGCAGAACGTGGGCGGACGCTGGTGCTGTGGAGGAGTTCTGTGCTGTCTGGGCTGCTTTTCCTTGGCAGAACGGCTGCATTCGGTGTCCGAGGGGCCCAGCCAAACAGCAGACCGTGGACCTTGGCCTGTGTTGAGTTCTCGGTCCTCGGCCGCTACACCTGTGACTCCGCCAGGCAGGGGCAAGGTTGTCGCCCAGATAAACGATAATCTGTTCTTTCATAGTCTTTTTATTGTTCTCACCCGAGCACATTTTTGCATTTATCTTCAGATAGAGAGGGAGGGAGAGAGAGAGAGAAACATCAATGTGAGAGAGACACATCGAGAGGTTGTCACTCACATGACCCCAACCGGGGCCGGGGACAAACTGCAACCGAGGTATGTGCCCTTAGCAGGAACTGAACCCGGGACTCTCTGGTCCACAGGCCGACGCTCTAACCGCTGAGCCAAACTGGCCAGGGCTCATAATCTCTTTTTAAATTAGTTTATTTTTAAGATCCGTATTGATTTTCCAAGAGAGAGGAAAGGAGAGAGATACCAATGTGAGAAACATCAGCATCGATCAACTGCCTCCTGCACACCCCCTACCAGGTTTGTGCCCTCAGCCTGGGCATGCGCCCTGACCCGCTGACAGCCTGCTGGTGCCTGAGACAGTGCCCACCAGCTAGGCCACAGGGCCAGGCCTGCTCTCTCATAACCTTAACAACAGCAACGTAGGGAGAACAGGTAGACCCCCAGGCCATCCGTATTCTCCTCCCTCAACTAAGAATGCAAATCCAGTGCATCATTGCGGGTAACTGGCTCAGCTCCTCTTTTTCTTTAAAAAATAATTTTTTTAAATTGATTTTAGAGAGAGAAGAAGGGACAGGGAGAGAGAGAAACATCGAGAGAGAACATGGATTGGCGGCCTCTTGGTGCAGGGTGGACGCTCAGCCACTGAGCCCCAGGGGCCGGGCAACCTTGGCTCCTTTCCACATCTTGCTGTCGGACCTCACACTGATGTTTATCTGGGGTGAAGTCGCCTTGCCGCCCGTGCCCGAGCCCCGAGCAGGACCCAGGAGTTCTGCGCAGCCCAGTGATGGGGAAGCGGGGTGCTTTCGCAGCGCTGTGAGCGGGCGGAGCGGACACCAGGGGTCCGGGAGTGTGGACGGTGAAACATCGAGGCTGGGAGACCAGCAGCAAAGAGCTCGGGGTGTTACTGAAAAGATCTGTAATATTTCCTGCGTCCTTTTGGGACACACAATTTCCTTCTTGACCCTCCAAAACCACCTAAGACGGAGTGTGAGAGAGCTCTCGCTGCCAGTGCAGAGTCAGACCCCTCTGGAGTCGGCCCCTGACTTGCTGGGAGACCCATTCGAATTCCCGGAGACCCCGCCCCAGACCCGCCCCTTCTGGTACCTTCTCCAGCACCTGTTCCACCACACTTCCGTGGGCATCACCGTAGATACTTATTGATGGTATCGCAACCCCCTGAGAAAACCAATGATAATAGTAATCAGTGCGGCTCCTCCTTCCCGCACACCCCCCTGGACAGCCGGCCCCACGCTGCCCCCCGGGCCTCGTCCTCACGGCCCCCACCCCAGCTTGTCTCCAGGTGTTGCTGTGCCCTCTCCACCTTCCACCTTCCACCCCCCGGCGCCCTCCCTGGGAAGTGCTGTCCTCGCCCTGGATGCTGCCTTGGCTTCCTCCTCCATTCTCCCGGGGCACCCCCGCGTCCCTTCCTCTGCGCCCCAGCCCTTCGCCTGCCCACCTCCCCGTCAGCCTCGCTCATGTCAGCAGGTCTTGGCTGGCTCAGAGAAACCCTTCCATTTTTTGGTAGCTGTTGAATACCTGGCGCTATTTCGGGAATGTCACAGGTCTGTTCTCTGGGGAATAGGCTTTGTTTCGGGAAGGAAAGGGAGGTACGGGTGCAGAAGCCCAGTGCCATCGGCTCCTGTGGGAGGCGGCACAGCTTCCATGTCCCGGGTGCTGGTCCTGGCCATCCAGACCCGCCTGGTGACAGCGGTTCACAGGGGCGCAGAACAGGCGCATTGAATGGAGCCACAGGAAGCCGGGGGTCTGGCTCTGCAGACGGTGAGAAGGCAGCTTGCACACTGCCACCTGGGTCGCCGCGGCCTCTCTCCCTTTAACAGGGAGATCCCGCTGTGTGATTGCCGAGGCCTTGCCTCCTGCCAGAGGCCGTCACCTTCGTGTGGGGACGGGCTGGTGCATGACCCTTCCCCACGAAAATGGCCAGGCCTGGAGGAGGAAAGAGGTTAGGGTTAGGCTTGTGGAGACAGAGTGGAGAGAACACCTGACAGCCCGTGCTGGTTCCTGAGCTTGTTCCTGAGCCTGTTCCTGAGCTTGCTGGCTGAAGGGAGGGACCCTCTGCTCCACGCAGGACACTGCCAACGAAATGCGGGGACATGACACGCACTCCAGCGCCGTGTCCTCGGGCTCCAATGGCTGCCTGGGTGTGTGTGTGGGGGGGCCCTTCCCCGCCAGGAAATGCCGACAGCAACGAAGGGCTAGCACGAGCCACGCTCGGCGCCTGGGGGGGGCACTCGGGGACTCACTGTGCTCTGTGTTTCTAGAGTCTCTGGGTGGAGAGAACGTCGCTGTTCCTGGTGCAGAGCCTGCCCGGCATCTCCCGCTGGTTCGAGGTGGACAAGCGAGAGGTGGTAAGGACCAAGCGTCTTCTAAGTACTTGCTTTCTTTTTTAAAAAAATCCTCACCTGAGGTCCATGCCCTTGGCTGGAATAGAACCCGCGACTCTTTGGTCTGCGGGCCGACGCTCTAGCCGCTGAGCCAAACCGGCCAGGGCCTGACTGTCAGTACTTCCCCATGGCGGGGCTCCCCTGAGGTCCTGCCAGGGGCTAGCTGCTTCTGCCTTCGACTCAAAGTCCCTGGAAGCCCTCAGAGCAAGTCGGTGAGTGAGCATGAGTCTGACCACCACGACCGGGGCTTGGAGGAGGACACTGTCCTCGTCCGGCCTCCAGAGGGGGGCCGCAGAAGCAGCCGGGTCTGAGCTGGCACCCAGTGCCGCCCGAGCCAGAGGAACTGGGATCGCAGCTCTGTTGTCACTGCGGCCACGTGACTCCGTGCTCACAGGTGCCAGGCAGTGCCAGGACGGTCACTACAGTGCCCTTCAGTCCCCACGGCCCAGCTGTGAGCTGTGTGGTCACAGCCCCCCTTTCACAAGTTCTGGAAGCTTTGCCGGAGGTCCGACAGCACGATGTTGAGGAGGGATAGACCTGAACCCCGATTTTTCTGACTCAAAGCCAGTGGGGTTCATCTCTTCTAGCCTCAGTTTCCGTCTAGGTTCGTGGGGGGGCCCAGTGCCAGACGCACAGTAGGTCCACGCTGGTAGAGGTCACCATGGCGGGATGCTGTGGGTCAGTCTCCCTGGGAAGTCCTGCAGGGACAGCTGGAGAGCAGCGGGTCACCCAGGGGCTCTCGGGTAAGACACCCTCCAGCTCTGGTCCCCAGTGCGGACAGCAAGAGCAGCCACCAAAGGCAGCCACGTCTGGGTGGAACCCCGCCCTCTGCCCAGCTGCTCTGTCCGCTGACAGCACCTGAATGTCAGCCACAGCCCTGCGGTCTCAGGCACCCTGTCCCTCCCTTGGCACCTCATCGGGACCGCAGCAGCCCTTGGACTCCCGCCGCCCTCTCGCTGATCGGAACCATGCCCGTTGTGAGATGCTGTTTGCGAACAAGCCCGCTCTGTCCCGGTGGGTGAGAGCAGGCCCTGCCCAAACTGTCCGCGAGAACGGCTCGTCCTAGCTGACCTCTCAGCACGGACACTGCCCTCAGCTTGTCAGGTTCCGCTGGGTAGGGATTGGATGGTGCTTTCCCTTGGCCAGGAAATGCAGACGGCGCCCGAACAGGGCAGTTGTATCCCTGCAGGGCCCGGGGCACAGGTCCCCACGCCGGCTGCTTATACGGTGCACCCTGGTGCTTCCCGGGGAGTAGTTCAGGCTGCTGAACACGGGGCTCAGAAGGTCTTACTGTTGTGCTTCCTTCCGAATGGCCTGGACTCAACCCACAGAAAGTCCCTAGTCATCCCCCGGAGATCCCAGGAGCCCTCTGGCCACTCGCTCCCCGCAGTGCTCGGTCCTGAGTCTCAGCAATGGTCTTCACCCTCGAAATATCACACACGCTTACATACATGCATGCATACCAACACGCTTTCATATGTGCATGCACGCAGAGACACGCTTACATGTGTGCACGCACAAGACACGCTTACATATGTGCATGCACACAGAGACACGCTTACATATGTGCATGCACAAGACACACTTACATATGTGCATGCACACAGAGACACACTTACATATGTGCATGCACACAGACACACGTGTGCATATTGTGCACACACATGCACGCGCAGGCGCATGCACACACAGACACGCACGCATGCATACAGTGCACACACATGCACTCACCTCTAAGGAAAAGGAGCATGCTGATAAAGGTGAGAGGAGCATACTGAAGACAACCTTTCAAGCAGCTGCCCGCGTTGTGGGAACAGGCGACCTTATATTCTGTCCAACGGAACCAGTCAAACTGGGCCGTGTTGTTCCCTGAACACAGCGCCCTCCGAACACCCTGTCTTCCTCCTTCCCGTTGCCTGGCACGGTTCTCCCCTCCCCCTGGCATCGAAGTTCCTGGTTCCCTGCTTTCATTCCTGGCACAGAAGGTCTTCAAGGTCAGGGGCTCGTAGTAGGTCCCCAGTACACACGTGACGAACAGAACTGAACGTCCTTAGTACGTGTGATTCTGAAAACCAAAATCGAAAAGATTCTGGAAACCAAAGGGTGTTTTCAGAAGTCGGGCTCCGAAATAATGGCCCTGCCCTGTGGGGTGTGAGACCGTTGGCGCTCTCTCCCTCACCGTGTGGGGTCACATGTTTTATGGAGAAGCACCGATGCCTTTGTCTAGAGGGAGCTCCCCTGGACGCCACTCGCGGGGTCCCCAGGAGACGTGTGCCCTTCTTTCTGAAACCTCTGGCACCAACGGCCTACTGTTCCCAAAACAAAATCTGTACTTTTTTCTGATGAAAAAATAAGCTTATTTCAAAAAATTTAAACAAGATTTAAAATCTATGAAATCAAATGAATACCTGATGATGGTTCAACTCCAGCGAACGACAGTGACTACGTCACACTTCACACGCGCGTCTGTCGGAAAAGCCTGTGCTCTCCTTGCAAGACAGTCAGGGCCTCCCGACCCGCGGCCGCCACCATCTGCTGCCTGAACGCCGCGCCGCGTCTGGACACACGCGGGGAGAAGATACAGTGAGCCTGTGGGATCCATCCCTCCACTTCAGCGACTATGCCGGAGGCCGGCGCGGTTCCATCTGCACCTTGACCCTTCTCTCTCCCACCGGGTGTTTAAGCAAATCCCAGACACCGTGTCATGTGGTCTGTTAACAACAAGAGGACCACGGTCATATACGTCATCGCATCTGAATAATTAACACGAATTCCTGATGGTAAATCTCCAGTCGCTGTCCATTCACACTCCACCTAGGGGCTTTGTCACGTGTTGTTTGGAGCCAGAGCCTAATAAGAGCCTCCTGTCGCCATTGGTTGACATGTCTCCTGAGACTCTCTGGGTCCCCAGCAGCCCACTCCACCGCCACCCGTCTTTTTATCCTTGCAAGTTGTTGTTTTTCCTGGAAGGTTTCCTTACCTCTCGATGTTGCACCCTGAGAACCAGTGGGGTAATTTATCCTGTTTCTTCGTCCCTCTGTTTTTTGTCAATCGTCAGATATAACAAAATGTTATCATTTTGTGTTTGTTTCTGTTTCATTATTATTGTTGTTGTTATTGCAAGATGATGTCAAAGGCTGTGTTATGTCTCTTTTTCTGTGATGGGCGCAGCTGCTGGTGGCCACTGCCCAGGTCCATTCGGCAGCATGGGGATGTGTCCTCGCTCCTCTGTCTCTTCGTGGGGGTACTTCTGTAGAGGGAGACGTCCCTCAACAACTGTCTCGAAAGGAAGGGTGATGCTCTGTTCCTCCCCTTTACTTACCAGTTTTCAAACATGGGTCCCCAGAGGGGTTTTGTCTGGGTGGTTTTGTTAGGAGTACGAACGGTGACCATGGATGTAAATGTAACCGTTTGGTGTGGCCCGTCGGACGTTACTGCTCTCACTCATTATGAATGTTCCATCTGGTCCACTGGAGACTCTTCAGATTTAAGTGGTGTTTAAGTGGTGTTTGTTTCGGACCCAACAGGGGACCGAGTTGCCAAATCAGACATAGGACTGGGCATCACGCTTCACCCATAACTTGTCAACCTAAGAAAGTCCACACCTGGAAGAATGTTCTGAGTTTATTAGAGTTTGTTTGAGCCGAACCCACCGAACAGGAAGTGCGCCTGGAGCAGGGTCTCAGCAGACAGAGAAGACCTTGGACAGTGGCAGTCTGCGGCTGCTGCTCCACATCTGGGATGAGAGGGGAGCGAAGGGGTGACGTGAGGCGGAGGAAAGGCAGGGGTGGGCTCCAGGAGAGGGGACAGGCTTTGCGCCCCGGAGGGTGCGTAGCTTCCTGGCCCTGAGAGAGGCGTGGCAAAGGCTGCGCACCTCTAGGCTGGAGAACAGTGAACAGGGCTTGCGTCAGGCAAAATAAGCCTTTCACTAAAGAAGGTAACAGGCCTGGGGCGTGACCACCCACCGTGACCCGCCCAGTGAGGGGTCTGTGGTCAGATCACCTGGGAGGTCACTTTTGCTGGACTTACGACAGTGCCCCTTTTTGTCCACAAGCCTGAAGCCGATGGAGAGGCTCAGACCAGCAGGGAGACATCGGAGGCCTCAAGCTGGTCCTTGGTTCCCGCTCAGTAGCAATACTTGGGAATACTACAGGGGCGTCCCCGTGGGAGTTCCCAGGGCTCCTCATACGGGGGCATTTAAGCTGTGAAATTGAGTTACGAACATGCCCTGTTAGACCTCAGAGAGAGGTGAAAGCATCTCTGTGTCAATGTGAGAAACATCCAAACCTGTAAGAATCTTTTCGTTTATTTGAGCCAAACTGATGACAGTTGCCAGGAAGCAAAGTGTCAGAAGGCTCTGGAGAAGGGACGCTTTGCCTCTTGATTCCTACAGGAGAATCAGAGGGAAGACAGGAGGGGCGGCAGGAAGTCCCCGGGCGGGACTTAAGGAGGTGGGAGAAAGCAAAGGGGAAATTTCTGGGATCGGATAAAAAGTAAAAGGAACAGACCGAACTTCTTTTATGTAGGTGAGTATAGGATAGTTAACAGTCAGCATTGAACATGATGGCCCTGGCCGGTTCGGCTCAGCGGTTAGAGCGTCGGCCCGCGGACCGGAGAGACCCGGGTTCGATTCCCACTAAGGGCATGTACCTCGGTTGCAGTTTGTCCCCAGCCCCGTGTGGGTGGCAACCACTCGATGTGTCTCTCACATGGATGTTTCTCTCTCTCTCTCTTCCTCCTTCTCTCCCTCCTGCTCTATCTAAAGATAAATGCAAAAATGTCCTCGGTGAGGATAAAACAAAAACAATGATTATGGTAACATAACAATGAGGGGGTCTGTGGCTCCTTCTGGTTGAGACGGTGCCCTGAGGGGTCTGGGAAAAGGGATTATTGAGACCTTCCAAAGGTAACCTTATTTTTTTTTAAAAAAGACAATAGACAGGCTGAGTTAGGTAAAGGTTGACCTGTGTCAGGGAAGAGGCCAGCCTAGGACATGACTACCTGCCATAAACTGTTTTTAGTTAAAAAGTTTTCATTTCAGCCCATCCTGTGTGGTTACTTGGGGTTCCCGGAGTTTGCAAGGCTACCGGGCAGGCCTCCCCACACTCGTCAGGTTGGCACGTGGCCCCTTTTCATCCACAGTCTCCTGCCCCGGACCCGAGAGAACCAACCACTTCTCCAGTAACTCCTGAACCTCAGGCCAACAGTGTTTGTAGATCCCAGTGGGGGCGAGAGGAAAACAGTTCTTTCATGAACACTGCACACCTCATTCTTTGCACACTTCTTTGACTGTCGCCTTAGAATAACCTCCCTGGAAGTGAATTGATGTATCAAAAGGTCCACAGTTTCACCTTCGCTGCATAGATCAGCAGCGGCATGTAACCCTGTCTGCCGTCCGGAGGGACCCGTTCCTGGGAACACCTACGTTCCCAGCATCTTCTCCAACACTGGGCATCGTATGTCACTTAACCTTTGCAAATAATAGGCCGACTACGGTCCTACCAGGGTTGACTCGGGGAGGGGGCATTTGATGAACGCTGGTGAAGGTGGTATGTTTTCATACATTTATCTATTCTTTCCATTTCTTTTGTGAGCGCAATGATCATGGTTTTTGTCAGAACGAGGCGGTGCAGGGTCTGCAGATGTGCAGGTTTATTGGGAATCAGCCTGCCGGACTACCTCTGAGGAGAGAGTAGCAACCGGCTTGTACAGACTAAGGCTTTTTAAACTCAGGGCTGGAGGGGGGCTGGTCATTCAGCCTAAGAGACATGGTCGTCTTTGATTGGTCAGGCCTGGGGTCTACTGGATTCTTGATTGGTCGGGGGCTGGGGTCTCCTGAAACTTGTTTTTCTTGTCAAGCGACCATTTGCAGATTGGGGTGGGTTAGGGGGTTTCCGTCATTCCTTCTGACTGGAGTGATGGGTTTTGGTTTTCTGGAATGAAAGGCTTAGGGAAAGGTTAAACAATAAGAGTGATGGGTTTTGGTTTCTTAGAATGAGAGGTTTAGGGCAGTAATATGGATGCTAAGAGCTAACAGTTTTCTTCAGCATTGGAGAAATGTCAATAATTTGTCTGGGATTGGTGTTGGAAATATTTCCCAAGTTGTCTATCTTTTGTTTGCCTTAATTTTTTTTCCATGTTAATAGCCTTTGCCTTTCTAGAGAGGTGCGTGGATTTATTTATTTTTCATTGTGGTAAAAAAAAAAACCATAAAATTTACCCTCGTTACCCTTTGCAAGCGTCTGGTACATGGGGTTAACCGGATGCACTTTGTCATGCCTGCAGTTTTCATCCTGTAGAGTTGGCACCCTTTGTCCATAGAAGAGTCCCCTCCCTCTCCCCCACCTCGGGCAGCCAGCTCTCTGCTTCCTCCTTCCACCTAGAGGGCTCCACCATCCTCGCCTTCAGGGTGTCCATCCCCTTGCTTAGTTCAGCGTGTGTGTCCCGCTCAACACAAGTCCGTTCAGTCCTGCCTGGTTGTGAACTTGATGTAACAGTGTCGTCCTGTACATATTCCCTTGTAACTTGCCTCTGGGACTCAGTCTTACTTGTGATGTTGGTCCATGTTATTACATGGGTCTGAAGATAGTTTTCATTGCTGTGTACTATTCCACTGCAGGATCATGCTGCAACATGTGTATGCATCTTATTATCAGATGCACACATGGACTTGAGAGATGGTTGTGAATCTTTTTTACACATTTCCTCGTCCACCTGTACACACATGTCCACTTTTCCTCAGATGTGTGTGAGGAGCAGACGGCAGCATCATCAATACCATAAGCATCACCATCCACTTTAGTCCGGAAAGCCAGACGGCTTCCCAAAGGGACTGGAATCAGCGCCTCAGAGCAGGGACTGAGGGGCCCCGTGGGTGCCGTTCTCACTCCATTGGCTAATATCCTGTTTGTTTTTGCTGTTTCGGTGAGTGGTGATTCGTAGATCACTGTGGTTTTATTGTTTACTTTTCGGATCACAAATGAGATGAGGCACGTTTTCATATGTTTATGGGCCTTTGGACTTTTCCTTTGGTACGTGGTTGTTTCAGTCTTTTGTCCATTTTTATTGGGTGGTTCGCCTTTTTCTCATTGGTTTGTAGGAGTTAAATATCCTGGTCTTGGGCTCTCTGCGGCTTCCCTTGGAACAAATTATCTCCTGTTTTCGGGCTTATCTTTCCTTCTCTTCAGAGTGTCTTTTGACGAATATACAGTGTCAGTGTTGACGTAGTCAAGTTATTCTAGTAGTTCTGTGTCGGTTTAAAATGATCGAAGTGACCTTTAAACACGCTAATTTGTTTCCTCAGCCGTAAGAGCCAATAAATACGTAACTGCGCTGACTGTGAGCCTGAGTTACTTCACAGCCGAGAGCTTGGCAGACCTTCTCTTGACGAGAATGTCAATGACAGTAACCGCCACGACGCTGCGTGTTGGAGGGGCACGTTCATCATTTTCACAATTAGGGGTCCCCTGTAACCTAGACTTTGTAAGTCACTGTGATTCTGTCTAGCTGTCCTTCAGCAAACAGCCCCGTGGCACGTATGGTTGTCCTGCTTTCTGTGGCTCCCACCGTGGGCCGTCCTGTGCCACCTTCTGATGCTGTTACATGGGCATATGTGGTCCAGACGGGTACGGGTCCCATTTCCCAATCAGGCTGAAAGCCCCTTAGCCTCAGTGCGTCTTCGTGTCCCCCATCATGCCTGGCATTCGGTGAGAGCCTAGGCAAGCAACGATAGTAGGCTCCTGGATGTTTAGCCCTTGAGAAGAGAGAAAAACAAGTTTTTAAAGTCATCAGATGACCTTTTTCCTTTTAAGGGTTACACCGATTGGGGCAGTGCTGACAGACAACAAATGACTACTGGTGATCCAAACCGCATCCCACCCGGTGGCGGGTCACCATCCGCTGCTAGACCTTCCCAGGGAACGGCTGATTCCTCTCCCAATCTGTTCGTTCTCCTGGGTGGCCCCTGGGAGAGAGACGGACGGAGGGACAGGGGAGGGGCGCAGACCATTCAGAACCTGGGGGGTCTCCTTCGTCTTCCTGAGGGTCTCCAACCAAGTGCCTGTCTGTGCTCCCTCGCTCCTCAGGTAGAAATGACTCCTCTGGAAAACGCCATTGAAGTGCTGGAAAACAAGAACCAGCAGCTGAAGACGCTGATCGGCCAGTGCCAGACCCGACAGATGCTGAACATCAACCCCCTGACCATGTGCCTGAATGGGGTCGTGGACGCTGCTGTGAACGGCGGAGTTTCCCGGTACCAGGAGGTGAGGGTCAGGATCGTGTCTGAGGGCTCTCGGGGGGGTTTCCCGGGGTTTCAGGAGTCCCGGTTCGACATCGGCACAGGGGAGCTAGCAGGGCGCGGGCGCGGAGGTCTCGGGCGCGGAGGTCGCGGGGGAGGGAGCCAGCAGACGCGGTTGTGATGCGCGCTCGTCCCGCGTCCCAGTGTGATGCTTTGAGGATAAAAGTCCGGGCGCACCCGGGCGTGTGTTCTTGGGTGAATAGAAGTTGTGAGGGTGTTGTTTAACAAATGTCTACCTAAAACCGTTTCTCTGAGCAAGGAGGCCCGTGGGCATAGAGAAGCCTGACTTGTTGAGAAGGTACTCGGAGGGGACTGTTTACCTGCCCCCCTCGTCTCCAACAGGAAGACACGCCCGCCGGGCCCTGAGGCCAGCCCTTGGTCAGCTGTGCCATAAAGCTTTTCCATTTGGATTTGCTCTTTGCTTGTATTTGCAGAAAGGCTGATACACGCTCTGGTCTCCCTCAGAGAGCCCTTTCCCGAATTCCCAGACCGACCAGCCGCCCACCCCGGGATTCCTACACCTGTTGCTTCTTTAACGATGCTGCTTGTTCAAAACAAGGGGTCTCTCGCTTCCTTTGAACTCTCCCGAGGTAGACTGATGATTCCGTCTCTTGCCAGGCATTCTTTGTCAAAGACTACATCCTGAGTCACCCTGAGGATGGCGAGAAGATCGCGCGGCTGAGGGAGCTGATGCTGGAGCAGGTAAGGGACAGGGGCCGCGCCCCTTCGCGCATTCCCACGCCAGCGGCTGCGTGCTTCCCCGGGGCCCGTGCACGCGGTTCCCACGTGGGTGCCCGCCGAGGGTGACGGGGTCACCTGCCGGTATTCCAGTGCCACCTTCTACCCTCTCCCCCACGTGGATGCAAAAATAAATCAGAGAATGACTGAGCCCTCAACACAAACATGTCACGAGTCTCTCGTGGTGTCTGGGGCCCTCCCTGAGGACCTGCTGTGGGCCTGATGCTGACTTTCCACTCAGAAATGGGGGCTCACATACGTTCAGTCCAGCCCAAAGTGCGGGCCCCCATGATCCGTGAGCGAGCGAGCGAGTCTTCCTCGAATGTTCCAGTTGAGGAAGTGGCGATGCGCAGCCTTTGCGTCAGGATAGGACCGTGTTTTGCAGACGGAGCTGACAGACTGGACAGAACTAGATACAGCCTCGCTACTTTGTACTCCAGAGAGGCCTGTTGGTTGGCTTGTTCGGTTCCCTCAAGTACAGAGAGCTGGAGAGAGGCGGCTGGCGGCTGGCGCCGGAACCGGTTGGACCGGTCTGAGGGCGGGACGTGTGTGGGAGACCGGGTTCGAGAGGAAATACGGACATTTTACACTCGAAAAATGGAATGTGTATGATGCTGTATGATAAACACATCCTTTCCTGCTTGATACCAAGTCAATACACAAACAAACAAAAATGCCCTTTTGGATTAGAAAATGATGCGGTTATATCTGATGTTAGTGTATATTTTATGCTCTGTGGGCTTAGACTACACATCTTCATTCTGGGGGCAGAGAAGGGGCGTGGACACAGGCCAGGGCTTCCGGGGGGCAGTTGTACACCTTCTGGAAAAGAGAAAGGGGGTCCTTGACATGGACCGTCAGGGAAAGAGAACAAGGTCAGTTCTCCCTGTGGCCCTGGGGGTGATGCAGATTCCAGGAGGGGGCGGTTTAGGTTATCAGTTCTTAGGAATGACTTGGACTTTGCTGACTTTTGAAAATCTGTCTTGAGCCCGAGCACAGTTTCTCCTGAGTGCTTTTCCCCACCCCAGGACTCTGCCCGGTCGAGGTCCAGAGCCCCCTACGTCTGCCCCTCCCTCCCACAGGCAGTGACCCCATGGTGACTCCCCAGTAAACATCCTAATCTCTGCGCCACCGATCACTTCTGGGGAACCCAACTCAAGCATTATGTGGACAAAAGGGACGTCACCTGGTAGCAGGTGTTTAAAATGGTGGAGGCTGGAGGGTCCCCCACAGAGGCTCACCCGCCTCCCCACCCCTGCTCATCCCAGGGGTCAAGGGCTCGGTGCCTCGGACGCACACGCCGCCACTGTTCCCTCCACAGGTGCCCTGGGGTGTTTCATCTTGATGCTGGTGGCTGATGGGGGCTGGGAGGGGCCGGGTGGTCCCCTGAGCCTGCGTGCCAGAGGCTCTAACCGTCAGGGAGCCACGCTTGAACCCCCACAGTGACCCTCGGGAGCTGCAGAGAACCTGCTTTCCTCCCAGCCCAGGAAATTCTCCTTCCGACCCTCTAACGCGCGGCTTTTCAAAATGCAGGACGGCTGCTACGCAGCTCCAGGGAGTTAGCCACTGCCGGCAGTGAGCAAGGGGCCCTGGAGGGTTGTGTTCCTCCCTTTTGGGGGTCCTCACAGCTGGGAACCACGTTTTAGATGCAAAGCGTCCTGGTTGCGCTGTAAGTGGACAGGAAACACATTTCTAATGAAAGCAAGAAGCACAGCCCCCGACCTACAGTCCCTGTGCGCTTTCTACTTCCTCCTTGGAATGTTTTCAGAATCTGGGGGAGGGAGGGATGGGCACAGAAGAACCTGAGGAAGAGAGGGGTAACATGGGAAAGGGGGTGTCTTCCGGAAAAAGAGACCCCTCGGGGAGAAGCACCCAACCCTCTTCACAGGGAGCAGCCGCGGTTCCATCGGGGACACGCAGGAGGGGCCGGAGGGGCACACACTTTGCAGAAGGGTGGTTATCCCGGGCGTACGGTCCATGGAGGAAACTTGGGGGAGAGTATCAGGCCTTTGGAATCTGAGAGACCGCAGTTCCAACCCCCACCCGTGTCTCCCTACTCGCAGGACCGTTCTGCCCGCGTTGCGCCCTGCAGAGGCAGGGCCGGGCCTGTGTTGTGGACAGAGAGGACCTAGCAGAACTGCGTGGCCACGGCGCTCGATTCTCAGCAGTGCTCAGCGGAGTTGCTCATCCGTGTGGACTTTTCCCCATGTCATTCTCCAGGCGCAGATTTTGGAATTTGGGTTGGCCGTGCATGAGAAGTTTGTACCTCACGATATGAGACCCCTTCACAAGAAGCTGGTCGACCAGTTCTTCGTGATGAAGTCCAGCCTGGGAATACAGGTAGGTGCCCGGCGTCCTCTGCCCTTGGCTCCGGGTTAGGGCCGACGAAGTGTTCAATAGTGACATCTTGTGGTGCTTCTACCCAACTGCACCATCTTACCGAGGAGCCCACAGATACTAAAATGGCATCGTTTTCTTTTTGCCGTGTTCAGCTTTCACAAAAACAAAAAAGGAGGCGAGAGAAAGCTTAATGATACTGAAACTCACCTTCATAGCCCTGTGTAAAGACTTCAGATACTCAGAATGCGCACCTGATATACCGAAATGTCTCGTAAGTCGCTCTGCCCAGGCGTTACCCTTCTGAAGGGTTTCTGCTCTCCTCCGCAGGACTTCTCTGCTTGTACCCAAGCCAGCCCAGTCCACTTTCCCAACGGGAGCCCCCGCGTGTGTAGGAACTCGGCACCTGCCTCCATGAGCCCGGACGGTACCCGCGTAATTCCCAGACGCAGGTGAGTGGTGTCCTTGGTTATCGTACGAGTTGGCATCCCCACAAGGTGATCTGGAACGGTCTTCTCGTTGCTTATGGTGCCGTTTGTCAGATCCGCTATTTCGTGATGAAGTCATGAACCCGCTAGGCAGCTGCAGACACCTGCTGCTGGGCACCACCGACAGCACGAGACAGAAAACTCACGCATGCGATGAGGTCGAGGCAAATGGGAGGCGGTCTTTCTCCTTTGGTTTTAGACCGGCCAGCATGGGACGGAGCCAGTTCAGAGACCGAGTTAATGACCCTCTCTCCCCCGCCCCCAACAGCCCGCTGAGTTACCCGGCGGTCAACCGGTATTCCTCCTCCTCGCTGTCCTCACAAGCCTCGGCCGAAGTGAGCAACATCACGGGGCAGTCGGAGAGTTCTGACGAGGTCTTCAACATGCAGGTACCCGTCCCCTTTCCGTCTGGCCTGCTCATGCCTCTCTGTCTCCATCCCGAGCCCTTCTGTGCGCCCGGCCATGCTGGCGGACAGCGCCCACGGGGGAGAACTCGACCTGAGGGCAGACTTGAATCAGTCGTACCGGCTGGAGTCGCAGGGACTGTGCAGAGCTGCCCCACCCGCTGTAAGACAGGAGCAGGCGAGGGGACAGCCCGGGTGCAGGGGGTCAGCTCTGAGCCCCCTCTGATGCTCCAGGATTGTTGTCACTGCATAGCCACCTCTCAGCATCTCCACGTGGCTTTTTCTCATAAAAATACATGATTTAGGGGACCATGAAAAAATCTCCTTCTTATGTCTATGTCGGAAAATTTCTGCAATCGTTTTCTCGCCAAAGAAAAAATACCGTTTTTAGGGATTGGAGAGTCAGTGTAACTCTTGCAACAAAACATTTTATGTTGGCGCCGCTAATGCGGTGTGTATAATAATTCAGCTGAATTTTCCTGCCCACTGTCTTTGCAAAAGAGGGTGAATGCATGTTGCCAAATACATGCTTTGGACACATTTTTGGAGAAAGTGGGGAGGTACATGCTGTGCCTCCAAGGAGCACGCACCTGCTACCCGGCCCTGGCTCAGGGTCCTTCTGCTGTGTCAGCCCGGGGCTGCCTGCCCGCCGGTCCTGAGTCGCAGGGATCGCCGGCTAGCACAGATGCCTCTTTGGCAGGAGTCAAAATCTCAAATTCTCTTTTTCTTTTTTTTTAAGAGTCCCCCCCCCCTCTCATTTTATTGATTTTTAGAGAGAGAAGAAGGGACAGGAAGAGGGAAAGAGAGGGAGAAACATCAATGTAAGAGTGAAACATAGATTGGCTGCCTCCTGCACGCCCCCTACTGGGCATCAAGCCCAAAACCCGGGCATGAGCCCTGACTGGGAATCGAACCGGGACCTCTCAGTCTGTGGGACGATGCTCCATCCACTGAGCCACACTGGCCAAGCGAGATTTTTCTGTATTTCTAAATGGCTCTCTTCTGTTCTTTTGGCTAATTAGAAAATAAAATGACATGGAGCAGGGCACTGGTTGTGTTTGGAATGTGGTGTGTCTGTCGTGAACAGTGTGTGATAACCGCTTCCCTGTGTTTCCAGCCCAGTCCGTCTACCTCAAGCTTGAGCTCCACCCATTCCGCTTCGCCCAATGTGACCAGCTCTGCTCCATCGAGTGCCAGAGGTCAGTGCAGGCCATGGGCAGCCAGCAGTGCCCGGCCCCAGCTGTCTCCTGCACGCAGGTCGGGCCCACCACACTGACCGCCTGTCTGTCCTCCTCTTCCCAGCTTCTCCGTTGTTGTCTGACAAACACAAACATTCCAGAGAGAACTCCTGCCTGTCCCCGAGAGAGAGACCGTGCAGTGCCATCTACCCGATACCCGTGGAATCTTCTCAGGTAACCCTCTCGGGACGGAGACCCTGGAAAACGAGGCAGGGTCCGGAACGGCAGCTGGGCTGAGCTACAGCACGTCCCGCTGGGGCGAGGGGCCTCTGCTCTGTGCCCGTCGCTGGGAGTTCCCGCCTGAGCCACCTCTGGGGCAGACACACGGGGCGTTGCCCGAGGAGTAACGCTGAGAGGGACCGGGAGGACTTTGCTTCAGATGCGGCTCTGTGCTTCATCGCTGCAGTCAGACAGCGCAAGGGCTCACGTTTGGGCGGAGGAGCCGGCCGGGGTGGGTGCTCATACATACAGGGACCACAGATGGGGAGATGTGCTCACATCAGCGGGGGTCCCGAGCAGCCTGACCTGCTCCTGCCTCCAGAGAGCTGAGGCCATTCCCTTCGGAGACACCCGAGCGCCCAGGGCCGTTTCTGTTGGCCTTTGTCACCTCCAATGCCTCGAGGGAGAAGGGGCCGAGTCCTGGGCTGGCCCTGGGCTCCGCAGGAGTCAGGGACCGTGGCCCCCACCTCCCCCAGGCTTGGATTTGGAGGGACCCCTCTCAGTCTGGGTGAGACCGGGCCGAGGGCTTCGTTCTCCATTTAGCAGTTTGTTTATTTTCCGCACCATCCTGGCAGGGGTCCGGCCGCCCTGGACACGGGTGAGGGTGAGGGGGTTGGGCCGGGCTTCTCTTTGCTGATCGAGTGGACTCCCGACACCTCGTCTGCATGGCAGATGCACTGTCTCAGTGCCCTCCTTCCCTCCGTCCCTCGATGTGGCCAAGGACGGTCACCGGGGGTCCTGCCGCTCTAGGAGAGCATGCTGCCAGCGGGGGCTCTGGAAGCTTCCCTGAGCAGCTCCTGGGTTTTCGCTCCGGGTGAATGTAAAGCAACGTCGATGCTGCTCATCCCCGTGGTGCACCCGCGTGGACGGACGTGCACCGCCTCTTTCCTGTGTTCCGTAGAACCGTGTACAATGGGCTTTTTTTTTTTTTTTTTTTGGCTTAAAGGTTGTGGAATGTTGACCATGTCCTATGTTTTAACCTAATCTAATATTTAGAATGTGCAGCCCATTCACTAGAGATTTTTGAGCTAATATTTCTCTTTAATTCTTATTTGCATTTCATACTCCCTGTCTGGCGCGCGCGTGTGTGTGTATAATTAATTTTAGAGAGAGAGGAATTCGGAGGGAGAGAGGGAAAACGAGAGAGATTTTGTTGTTCCACTTATTTATGCATTCACTGTTGACTCTTGTAGGGTTGAACCCGCAACCTTGGTGTATTGGGACGACGCTCTAACCGGCTGAGGCTCCCAGACGGGGCAGCACTGTGTTTATAAAGAGCACGTAGCCTAGCTGCTGCTTACTGTTTATTTTTTTCTCTACATTTTATTGTGAAAGGTTATTTACCATTTTTAAAAATATGTTTTCTTTATTGATTTTAGAGAGAGAGGAAGGGAGAGGGAGAGAGAGAGATAGAAGCATCGATGAGGGAGAACATCGACTGGCCGCCTCCTGCACGCCCCACACTGGGATCAGGCCCACAACCTGGGCATGTGCCCTGACCGGGAATCTAACTGGCGACCTCTTGGTGCCTGGGCCATGCTCAGCCACTGAGCCACACTTTGCCATTTTTATTTAAAACCTATGATGAACTTGTGAAGCACTGTGTTCTCTCTCAAAACCTAAGGCTCTTCTCCTCTTTTTTCCTTAAATATAATTTAGTTCTTTGTTGCTAGGGCCATCAGATACCATACAAAAGTTGTTTTGAACAAAAAGTTTCAGTGACGAGATAATCATCTCATTTTCTAGAAGGTTCTGCACATCAGCACCCTGCACTGTAAAAACAGCTTCTTGTGCTTTCCAGAGGCTGATGTTTAATCACACCGGAGACGGGGCCCTGCCACGCAGTGACCCACACCTGTCCGCGCCTGAGAAAGGTAGGCAGCTCCTGCGTCAGCCCTGCGCGGTGCACGGGTCTGTGTTGTCTTCATTTCCTCCGGCCTCCACGTGTTTAAAAAGTGTATTCCTGTCGGATTCAACAGCAGGACCCGAGCTGGTTAGGAACTCCTGTTAAGTGGCTCTTGGTGTCCTTCAGTGAGTCACGGGGCAGATCCTGGCTTGCGGAGACAGGGGTGCCAGGTAGGCTGTGTGTCCACACAAGGAGGACAGGGCCTTCCCGACGGCCCCTGGTGCCTATTGTCCTCTGGCGGCTCACTGTTGTCCACGGTGGCTCAGATTACTACTTAAGAATCGCAATCTGGTGCTTAATGGCGTGTGCCCTGCCCAAGGTCACGCTGAAAAGGAGAAGCATAGGAATTGCGGGGGACAGCCAATTAGCACAGCAGCGGACGTCCTCCTGCTTGGGGGTCAGGGAGCAGCAGGTCACCCGCTGGCCTCTCTCAGGGTCAACCTCACAAATTCCAGCCGTCCACCAGCCTGGGGATCAGGGGTCACTAATGAGCTGTCCCGGTAAAGTGCACTTGAATCGCCCCCATTAAGAACTAGACTGTCTTGTCATTTGCATATACCTGATACATTAGCATCAAAACTCCTCGGGAGATCAAAATCAGTGAGATCCTAGCCCGAATTATTTTAAGACACAAATTTTGCTTTCATGTTACAAGTCAGACATTGGTCTCTGTCTGGAGGATTTAGGAAGGTGGTATTTTTCTCATCCCTGCAATCAAAGAAAACCACAAAGCAAATTGAATCGGAACCGAGAAAAGGTATTTTCGACAGTGGTCATTTTTCATCCCATTAAATGAACGTTGTGATTTAGTGGCAACATGTTGGAGTCCTAGCCACGTCCACCAGATGGCGGTGTCTGCACAGGGAGCAAGCTCCGCTCAGGGCAGAGCAGTTATTTATAACCTCGTGCGTCTAGCCCATGCTCCTATCAGGGTTGTTCCATATTTCTGCATCTCACTGAAGCATGCAGCAGGCAAATTATAAAAAAGGGATGATGCTGTCAGCATTCTAAATTATTTTTTGAGGACATACTTCAGTAGAGTGCGTTGATTTCGGGACCAACGGTCCTTTTCTCAGGCTGGTCCACAGGATGGTGTTGCTGTGGCCGTTCCCTTACCCATGAGTCTGCCAAACAGCCGGGAGATAAGCTTATCCCTGCCTCCCCCCTTTCTGAGTGCCACGTGTCCAGAGATTTCCACTAAAGTCAAGTTTTAAAATAGTCTAGTGACCGCATCTTCCATCTGCTCTCCAGCATCTAAACACAGTTGTAGTTCTCGACGAGCTACGCCGTCCGCGAAGAGATCTGCCTTCGTCTGAGCACCACAAACAGACCCGGCATCGCCTAATCAACCGCCCTCTGTCACTGAGAGGGGCCGTCAAATCAGGCTTAGCATGGAGGAGCTTCCCCGCGTGGCTTTTCGTTTTTGTTTTCCTTCCTTTCATTCCGGACAGTTCCTTCTCAGAGCCCCAGCGTTCGCAGGGCAGTGTGTTTAGCTGTGTTATTCCCTTCCAGCTGTGAACCCCACCCCTAGCAGCTGGAGCCTGGACAGTGGGAAGGAAGCCAAGAGCGTGTCGGACCGGGGGAGACTCCTCTCTCCCCCTGTCCCTCCAAGACCCACACAGACTGGTGGGTATCTGAAGCGCGTGAAGAGTCGCTTTTGTACACTCACTTTTACTAACTCCTCCGGCGTGCGCGTTGCTCAGAGCCGTGGGCTTTTGGTGTTGGCCGCGGACACCTCAGTCGCTCCCTCACTCGCTGCAATGTCCTCTGCCTTCGCTGAGCTCCCGGTCCACGGGGTCCGACCACGCTCCGGCCGTCAGAAACCCCACACAGATTCCGTGGCGCTCTCCGGGCACCGTCCTCAGGGCGGCGGCTGTACTAACCTTGCTTAAGCCACTGCATGGTCTCGTTTGAACGGCCTCCTTCTTACCGACTTCTGCTAACTCCACGGCTTCCTTCCATCTGATGTGCAGCCATGGCAACGCTTCGGGCCGCCCCGAAACAGGAGCCGGCTGCGGCTTTGGGGGCTGGAGAAGACTGCGCCCCCGCACCCACCGCGGTCCGGGCAGAGGGAGGACCGTATTCGAGTCGTTTCTCAAAGTGCTGACTTCGATTTCGGGAACCACTGCAGATTATTCTTAAGAACGTCCCTTTGAGAGGTGCTAGCATGAGCGGGGGCCCCTTTCCTCCTGCACAAGCCATTTTCTCGGTGACCGACATACGGTCAGTCGTGAGGGGCCCTCACTGCTGCCTGACGCCGGGCCCTGGCACCAGGGACAGTCTTTGTGGCACATGTGGCGAGAGTAGATGCGGAGCTTCCCACGGACATCCTGGGAGGAGAAAATGAGATACCGTTCCTTCATGGGTCCTGTTTCATTTGCTGCATTCTGGCATCTTTTTTTCTTTTCTTTTTTAACTAAGAAGAGGAAAGTGACTTTCTTTGTAAAATAAACCCCGCGCTCCCAGTTCATTGTGTACTTGCGGGAGCCAAACCCCAGGGGGTGCGGAAAGACGAGACCTTGACGCAGAACGAGAAACCCCCGGGCTTAGCGGCCGGGCCTGTCCGTCAGTGTGCCCGGCAGCCAGGTGAGCTGTGTTCGGCCGCCGGAACCTGGCTGTCGCTCAGGCTGGGACACGTGAGTCCCAAGCAGCGCTCACGTCGGTGGCGATGCGTCCTGGGCACAGACTTGTGGACAGCGGTCCTGATAGGACTGGTTTCGGTTCCGTGGGAGAACTGAGTCCTTTCCAGAGGAACACTTCTGTGAGCATGAGTGGGTGGGAGTCCACGGGGGTCACTGAACCAGAGTCACGAGGAAAAGGCCCGAGCTACAGTGATCCTTGGCTGGGGCCACAGTGGCGGCCAGAGCACAGCTCCCGGCCGGAATCTGCTGCTCCCTGCCGCGGCCAGCGGCCAGGACGGCTAAGGCCTGAGCATGCCGAGCACCCGCAGCGCGCCCTAGCCCGCCAGGCGGGGGCTGCACCCCCTGCGGGGTCATAGCCGACCCCTCTCGCTGATCCCCTGGCTGGGGCACTGGGGCGACCACCCCTCTGCAGGCTGACTTGGCGTGACTGGCCCCCGTTCTGCACAGATTGCTCTCAGGCTCTGTCCTCCGTCACTGTCTGTGCTCACTGTTGGGAGCTGTCTGGAGCTGTCTGTCTTCGCTCAGCCTGTCTGTCGTTTTCCTGTGAGTTGTAAACCCCACTGTGGCCTCTGGGACAGTGGGGGCTTGTGACAGAGCAGCAAACCTGAACGCACAGACACCGTGTGGGTGGTTAGGAAATGTGCCCACACACCATGTGGACAGTGTCACAGCGGGCGGGGCTCTGCCTGCCAGAGCCGATCTGACCCCAGTGGACGCACCCAGAGCGGCCCCATCGCCCCTGCTGCATCCCAGACGCAGGGCTGGACGCGCCTCTGCCTGCTGATGAAATCTGGGGGGAGCCCTCCCCCCATCCAGGGACGAAGGCAGGACCCGGATCAGGCATCGGGGCTACACAGAAAACTTCTCCCCTCCCCTATGGACATGGCCAGGGGTTTCCGCGGGTTGGGGCGTGCGGGGGTGTGTTGGGGTGTACAGTGGGAGGCTGGGGTAAGTATATCCCCTGGACCTAGTCTGTACTGCTCCAATGCCCTGGCCTTCCCATGGCTGCTCAGGCCAAAGGCAGCAACTTTCCAAAGGCTGCTCCCTGGTGCCCCCCCTCCCGCCCGGAAAAGCACCTTTTCAAACACATGAAGCACCTGGACGTTGGGAAATGGAAGGGCCCTGTCACTGGCTAAAGCCTCCCGCACACTGACTCTTCACTCCCTGCCCTGGTCTTGGTGCTGCGGTCCTTCAGGCAGGCGGCATTTCATTTCGTCCCCACCGCCCTTGCCCAGGGGGTCCCTATGCCCCGCGTCTGTGTGGCTTTGCAGAGTCAGCCTTCTGGTTCCCTCGGTTGAAATGCTCTCTCTCTTTACAGCTTCCCCAGCGAGACACACGACATCGGCTTCCCCCTCCCCTGCGGGGCGGTCTCCGATGAAGGTACGGGGTGGGGGTGGGCGGGGCTCTTACTCTACTGAGGCTGGAGAGAGGGCCCAGATCCCCCTTTCCCGTAAGAGTCCCCTCTGGTCCTCAGTGTGGTGCTTGTCTGCAGAGCAGGGGAGAACACAGGAAGCAGGGGTGTAGGGAGGTGGGTGAGGGGACCGCCCTGGCGTTCCCTTGGGGGCCTCCTCCGTGAATACAGCCACTGTGTGCAGATTATTGGCCTCGTGGCAAATGGTGCCAATGAGAATGTGCAGACTGGAGTGAGATACACCCCGAATTAGGAAAATATCGGGTCCGGTGTTATCGACAGCCTGGCCTTAAGTCGACGTTAACAACCCAGGTGCACCACCACCTATGGTCCTGCGCCCTCTGCCGTATCCTCAGCCCCGCCGTTTCAACAAAGCCAAACCCAATTCTTTTCCCTTTTCCTATTTTCTACCATGGCTTTCGAGAACATTCCTGAAAAGGCAGTGCCACAAATTTGTAAGTGTCCAGGGAACACACCGGAAAGCCTTAAACATCAGACGTTTGGCTCGGTTTGCAGACACGGGCCACTGAGCGTCCTTAAGCTCACACGGTCCCTCGTGATGGTAGAGAATCCGAGTCGCTGTCCGAGTGGAACCGGCCTGGCTGCGGGATGGTCAGCGCAGGTGACCCGTGCGCCCTGCCGCCGCCCCCGAGGCGAATCCGAGGCCGAGGGGGCGATTCTGTCCCTGGTGGGCGCAACATCTTCCCTGTCCTTTTGCGGGTGAGCTATTTCTAGGGAGCGTGAAAAGACAGGTTGTGAGGCATTTGATGCAGCGACTGCTCACAGAGATGGAGAATCTGGGGAACAAAACCGAAAGGATCGGGATGTCCAGCTGAGCTTCCGTTGGCACTGCCCACAGCCCTGACGTAGAAATGGGCTGGCGAGCGCAGGCGGGCTCTGCGCCCGAGACCGGCTCCATGTGACGGGGGGAAGGAGCAAGGTGGCTGCGGCGAATCCACAGCTCCCCACGCGCCCGCACTTGCCACGAGCCCCCGCGTGGTGCTATGGGGTGAACACCTGCACCCCTCCATTGGCTTTGCAGAGCAGTAATAAGACGATAAGCCTTAGGGATTGGCTCTTAAAAATCAAAAGGCCTGACGGGATGGAAATGTGTAAATAGCTACTGTGAGTCCTAGTTAGCACACCTGCATGTCCTCACGGCCGTCCTTCCTGTGGCCACTCCGTCACACTGGGCTTGGAGGAGACAGTGGACGGGCCGGGTGTCGTGACTCCTGGGCTCCAGGAGAGGGCACTCTGCCCCTAAGTTCCTCGCTCTCCTGTGACTTGAAGGCAGTTTGTGGCCTTGAACCCAGGCGGAGTTTTCAGCACTCCAGTGATGGAGCTGACCCCTTGGTGAAGGTTACCTGCCTTATTTTGGACGCAGGGTCTAAATTTTGACAAAAACAGTGGTGAATTTGGGCCTGTCAATTGGCCACGCTAAATAAAAGGATGTATGTCTACCAGCATCATTTTGTTGAAAAAGAGAGACCACGGCCAACCTGGTCCAGGTAACACTGTTCAGAGTGTGCTCCGTAGAACATCAGAGGTACAGGCCATTCTGTGATCAAGCCAAGGGTCCATGGTCACCACGTTTGGAAAGTAGTGAGCTGAACAGCCGTCCAGGCTCCTGTGTGGTAAGACTTGGAGTCGGTAGTACACAGCCTTTCCCAGGGGAACCCTCTTCAGAGACCCTTAGGACTCATTCTTCTGAAGACATCAGTTAGGGAATTAGCAAATTCGGGGGCCCTGGGGGTAGACAGCTACCATGGGCGAGGGGGGGTAGGGGGACGCCATGTGGTCTGGTGGGGACATCGGTAAACGAAGGGCAGCCCCTGCTCAGCTTCACAAGATGAATAGAAACCAGACTGTTGCTGTTAGAACTTCCAGTTCTTCATGAAATGCCAGAAATCTGCCTTAAACAAAGAAATGAAATGTGTCCTCTGACTGTTCTGGAGGTGTAAGTCCAGGATCACAGCGAGGCTAGGTTTCTCCCCGCATGTCAACGTGGTCTGTTCTCTGTGCACGTGCGCCCATGAGTGTAGGTATGTGTGTGTGCGCGCGCGTGTGCACGCCCATGGGGGGGTGTGCATGTGCCCATGGGTGTGTGTGTGTGTATGTGAGCCCATGGGTGTGTGTGCGCGTGTGTGCACGCCCATGGGGGGGTGTGCATGCGCCCATGGGTGTGTGTGTGTATGTGAACCCATGGGTGTGTGTGGGTGTGTGTGTGCGTGCGCGCCCATGGGTGTGTGTGTGTGGCCGAGTCTCCTCCTCTCCTAGGGACAGCAGTCAGATTAGGACTCACCGGGGCCTCATTTTAAGGCAGACCCTCTCCAAAGGCCCTGTCTCCAAATACAGCCCCTCTCGGGGATCTGGGGGTGGGGCTTCAACGTGCGGGGCGCGTTCAGCCGGTCTCAGGGTTTGACCCCGCTGTGTACCCTGCGCTTCTCTCCGTGTCCTTTTCCGCTGGAGCAGGGCCCCGGGCAGTCGTTCACGCCCTCCCCCGTGGAGTACCACTCACCCGGCCTGCTCTCCAACTCCCCGGTCCTGTCGGGCAGCTGCAGCAGCGGGATCTCTTCGCTCAGCCGGTGCAGCACGTCGGAAACCTCGGGCTTTGAGAGCCAGGTGAACGAAGCGCCGGCGCCCGCGTCGGGGTCCGGCTACGGCGGGCCCGAGGAGCCCGTGCGCAAGGACAGCAAGACGCCCCCGCCCTACAGCGTCTACGAGCGGACTCTGCGGCGCCCCGTCCCGCTACCTCACAGCCTCTCCATCCCCGTCACCCCCGAGCCGCCCGCCTTGCCCCCCAAGCCTCTGGCCGCGCGCTCCGGCCACCTGGAGAATGGGACCCGGAGGACTGACCCCGGCCAGCGGCCCCGGCCCCTGCCCAGGCCGCTGCCCCGGCCCCTGCCCAGGAAGGTCTCTCAGTTATAATGTGACTGCGACGAACTCTTTGCCGTTTACAGGAGAATAACAAGTATGATGAGAAGACGGTTAGTGTAGGCACTTTAATAACTTAGATTTGTCTTTACATGAATGGAATTAATACTTGCTTGTTAATATCATGTTGCACAACATTAAAAGTTACTGACCTGAAACGCCAGATGTTACATGAGGTATGGCTGAGTTTCATTAAAACGTTTCTCATTTGGAAGTGGTAAACAGTGATCAAGACTTCTTTTGTATCTTTTTATGTTCACTTTTTTTACATAGTTTAATGTTAAAACCAATACAGTATTGTCGGACAATACGATGCGTGATAATGTTGTATATTTTTTACTGAATACTTGATGCTCTCAGAAAGCTTAGTGAGTCCGTGCACATCTTAACACAGTGGCCCCGACTCAAGAAGCCTTTGGGAAACAGTGTGAGGTCCCTGGGTCCTTGCATGAGCACCTTGCTCGAAGCAGGTCATCAGCATCCAAAGCTAAATAAAGCAGGTGTTCAGACGACATATTTCAGGGGTTGCAGGGATGGGACTGGAAATTGTTTTGTTCTTAAGGCAAAATACTCCTTTGAGGTTGCTTCTGGCATAGGATAGCTGGCACATCCTTAAAACTCTGCTTGGTGAATTGGTTGGTGGGTCCTTTAGTGCCCCGACACCATGGTGTCTACTGTGTTTCCGCTCAAGGTGCAGTTTCCTTTCAGACAAAGATGAAGCAGAATCAGGCAGATGAAGTAGCAGACGCCAGGAGAAATGTTTACCTGAAGCTCGGGCTTCCTTGCTTGATAGTCCTCTCTCCCAGACTCGTCGTTGAAGAACGGCAGGTGTCCACGTATTCAACAGGCACCATCACCGGGTGCCATTAACAAGAATTCAGGAATGATTACAGGACAGTATTAAAGCAATAGCGTACGCGAAGAAAAGAAATCCTTAGAGAAAATATATTAGCGTGAATGAACGGCAAAAGGACTTTCCGTAGGCAAGGGCACTAACTCTCAATCCTGCACAAAAGAAAAGAGTCCTCACAACTCTCCGTTCTTACTGGTGGAGCTTGTCTTCCTGCTCTCCTTCGTGGAAGGAGGGCGGCTGCAGACTGTGAGGGCAGCGTCTCAGACCCAGGTGGGGACGCCCACGCCCCAGCTGGAGTAGGAACAAGGCACCTTGTATGTAGTAATGCATTTTGTATCTTTGTCTTTTCTTTTACTGACTGTTTCTAACACTCGATTGACAATAGAGATGAACTGTATTTTAAATCATACTGTGGAATATTTTCCCTCTTTTGTTGGGAAGCTCATTTTAGTTTAACTGTGTTTGCTGTTGTTGATAGCTCACCTGGAAGGCAGTGACCACTTTTTTATACTCCTTTAATGAAACCATTCAGCAGGGATACGCTGTTGAGGCTGGTTATAGAGGTTTTCTATAATAAATGTTCAAGTATTTTTGTACATAACTGGTTAATTTTAATAAGAGAGACCATTATGTGTAAAAAAAAAAAAAAAAAAAACAGTAAAAATTAAAGCAGACAGCTGTGGATGCAGTATGAGTGTTATAATTATGCCAAATACTTTATGTATGGAAAAGAATATTTGTACATAATGTGCTTTTAACAATAATTCTGCCATATTGACTTTACAACTTTGAATGTCAGAAAAATTAATATATGTTAAAATATTTATGTTTAGTGAAGGTATTCATAATTGAGAAAAGGAACATATACATTTTAGCTTTGTATCTTGCAAGTTTCGCAGTCAGAAATTTCTTGAACTAGCTTTTGCTTTTGATATAACACTTTGTGTTTGTAATCACACCCTTAAAAAAATAGAGAAATATGTAGGAATCTCCATATTTCTGTTGCTTTAAAGAAGTAAAACCTTCCATTTAAATAAGGTGATGTGCATAAGATAACAAAGCTTCTTTGATTTCCTTTTCCTCTGTAATTTAATAGATTTGTTGACTAGTGCTTGGGCACAGTATAAGTCAGTGTTATTTGCTCTTGAAGCCATTTTTTAAAACATTTTTTTGCAATGAACAGTTGATCATGTGTGTGTATTTCTGAAGCAGCTATCTAGCAGAACACTTCAAGAGAGTCTGTTAGCTCAGATGTTCCTATTGGTTGCTGCTGAATGGTAAATATTAAATAAAATTACCTGATTAATCTTGATAGTTCTGTCTGTCTTCTTATCGGTATAATCTTTACCTGGAGGAGAAGCTGTCTAAATCTCGTGGTGATATAGTGAAGTTTTCAGCTTTCTTTGTTGCTAGATCCTGTTTTGTTGTTGTTTTGCCTTGGTTGATACATGGTCTCCACCTACAAAGTTTATTTATGCCAAAGGAACAAAGGTTGAAAAGGTGACAGTGTAGGTTAATATCAGTAGAGAAGGGAACATTTACCAGGGTGGCTGACCGTTCATTGGTCTAACCAGGACCAATTTAACAAGACAAACTATTAAAGTGTGTTTGCATTAGGAAACTTGACACAAAACATATTAACTGCCAAATGCAGGAAATACATTCCGGAAACAATGCAATAATACACATTGACTACAAAACGTCTGTTCATAAATCCTGGCTTTTAATTTTGTGAGACGCTGTTAGGTTTATGGCATTTATGTAACTAGTGCTAAGCAAGCCATTGTCTAAAGCGTCTGTCCCATTAAATACCAAAACCCCTGTAAAGGCCTTTGTCAA